AACCAATGCCACGGCTGTGTCAGCTCAAGATCAAGGTCACCTAGAAGGTCAAAGTCAAACATAATACAAATTGTTTCAATTCTATTAATCTATACCCCTATTCTTCAAATAGGCTCACATGTACACCTCTACATGGCAATGTACAGAACCCATGCCACTGTTGTAATAGCTTAAATCATCAAAGATAATGCACTCAATCTTGGCATACTTGCTAATGATGACAAGGAATATCTGCATGACAAGGGACATTACTAAGTGATCAGTATTTCTACAGTTATGCCAGTTTTTTTAAATGGAAAATAATTAAAATTTTGTATAAAACCAATATCTTGAACATACAAATCACAAAGTAAATATTCATCTTATTTGATGTGAAATGCATAAAAAGCCGTAACATTATTGAAATGATTCTTTTTCTTTATTGCCCTGAACAGACAATGTTAACACATCATACTGTGCTTTTAAGTTTTATAACTGTCCGCCATTTTCTCACCAACAAGAAAATGATTTATCATGTCTGCTATTATCTCAAATCACGATTTATTGTATTTATTATATAAAGCAAGGAAGTGATTAATTATTTGTGATTACCTCTTGAACAAGGAAGTGATTAATAGTGTATGATAGTGTATGTCATTATGTTACTAACAAAAAATAAAATAAAAAAAAGATTTTTAGTGTCTACTATATCTCACAAACAACGAGGTGATTTTTAATGTTCCCATCATTACATCACAAAGGTGATTTTGTGCTTACCATTACTTCATGGAGGGAAATGATACTGACTGCTACTAGTATTATTTCTCAAACAACGAGGTTTTTAGTGTTTACAATTACCTCAAAAGCAAGGAAGTGATTTATAAAGTATGTTTCTTACCTCACAAACAAGAAAGTGACTTTTAGTGCCTGCCATTTCATCATTGATATTGATTATGTTGATTTATAATGCCTGCCGTTAACTCACTAGCAAGGTGATGGAATAGTATCTATTATTACATTACAAACAGTGAAATGATTCAGAGTCTACTTATCCTCATCAACTTATGGAACGCAAGTGGTTCTACTCAGGTGCCCATTCGTGCCTGAAATTATGCACGGAGGGGCACCAGAGGCCTACCTCCACCAGTAAAGCTGGAATGTCGCCATGTGACCTGTATTGTGTTGTGATGTAAAACCAAATCAAAACAAAAAACAAAACCTCATGTACAAGGAAGTAATATATAATGTCTGCCACTCCATAAAATAAGGAAGTGATTTAAGTGTCTGTTACTGTTACCTCAACAACAAGGAAGTGATTGTATATGTCTGCCATTACATCACAAATAATGAAGTGATTTGTTTTGTCTGTCAGTACCCTATAGTACCCACCATTACATGACTAAGATAAACAAAATAACACAATATAAAGCTTGTAATTTGTATTTCAAAATGTGTAAATTATATCAAGTTGCATAGTTAACATGTTGATCATTTGACATTGTCGTAACAAAACAAGAAGGCATTAATACACATGGAAAGTATAACAAGTTATATATGTGGAGCATATAAAGGCAGGATAACATGTAACATCTAGCATTTATATATATCACAGCATTTCATTACATCTGCCAACTTAACAATTAACAACTTCTCTTTCAATGTCATAGATATAAACAAAGGTTACTTTCAATTTTTTAGCGAAGTATTAACATAATATAACAATATCTGTACATTATTAGTATATCTGAAAATAATTAAACCTGAAATATGATAGTTAAATATGACATACTTCTGAGGTATCTATGGGATATCTGTCTTGCCATCAATGATTTGGCCATATAACCATGTATATAATATTCTAAGAAAGTTATGTGCATGAATTATTTGACATAAAATTTTGATTTAGCAGCTTTGTTTATTGAAAGTTTCAATGATTTCCATGATAATGATTATAGATTTAATTTCCTAGAAATGCAAACAAACTGTTCAAGTTAAGTCAAATAACATTTTACAATAAGCTTCCTATATGACTTAATAACTTAAGAAGCTGAGTATCAAATATGATCCAGGCAGGTACATTATAAGCACATTATAATAAATTTTTACACTGATTTACTGATAATAAAAATGAACAAAATATCTTGAAATGTTAAGTAATACAATGGAAGTATAATTATAAGGAATGTTAGATAACAAAAATAAATAAATTCAAAATATTTTAGTAACTTTACATGACTTTAAATGTCTCGAAATGTTGTTATGGTATTAAAACCTGTTGTCTTTCATATCAGTGAAACATAGCAGTACAAAATAATGGTGAAATAACTTTGTGGCAAATTCTGTAGAATGTCTTTTATATTAAACCATGCCATTTTATTTCCTTATGAATAAATGCATGCCTATTTATTACACGCCATTTCAATATAATATGGGTTTTTTCATATGGTTTACACATCAGAGATTTCTATGTAATATAATGAAGTACAATATGATTGAATGTAATGTGTAACTTCTCATAATGTATTCTAATATTTTAAATGCCATATCACATAGAAATATTAATATTGACTAAAGATAGACTTCATACACATATATGAACAAAAATAATAAAAAACAGAGATTAAAATGCCTTGTTTGATTGCACAATACAGTAGATTAGTCATCTGTAACTGAATGATCACAAAAAGTCATGAATTCAAGTAACATGGTTAAACATGATTGTGAACTTGAACAATCTACCTATCTAATTTAGTATATCATTGTGGTGGCTATATATATATAGGATGTTTAGCATGATATTTTATATATATTGACATGTTGTGTTTATTTCTCACAATTCTGGCATTAATTTACTATATACCAACATTAATCTATATTACCTGTGCTAAGACATATAATTTTAATATAACATCGATTGCCTAATACATGTTCTTAAGACAAATTTGTAGAAATGGCAAGTGCAATGTGCATTATATAAATAAAATATCTACTATACAGAACCCCTTTATGAACTTCCAGGGACATAATATATCTACAATACATTGGCAAGAATGTATATAAAACAAATTTTTCCATTAAAATATGTCATTTCTAATATATATTGAAAATATATAATAGCAATTTAGCTTCTGACAACCCCCAAAATAGTAATTAAGCTTAATCTCTCAAATTTTGGAATACAAATTTGTATATGAAGTAATTATATTTATATTAACATTATAAGTCTGAAACAATGGAATGAAATGATGGAGGATCTTGTTAGAATATCTTAATGCTCAAATATGAATAAGTTGCTAATATAATAATAACTTATTCAGTTTAACAATACAACATACTACATTAAAGTTCATAACAACATGTATATATTAAATGGCTTTACTTATAATTCAATAATCTCATTAAAATATGCAACATTAAAACATAACAGTGTTTACTTCAACAAATACTACAATTTTTAATCTGTTAAAATTACATAAGAACATCTGTGCACTTTTGGCTACAGCACCAAGTAAAAGTCCACGCTCTTAAATAGCTCTAAATGCCAAAAAGACAAGATATTGAAAAAGGCTATTTCATGTGTATCTACTGTTTAAGTTAAAATTGACCTATGTAACAAATCTGTCCTGCTTTTTATTTGGTATTCTCCATTGTAAGATTATGGCATTTTATTATCAAAACTATCAAATAAAGCAGCTGAATTTACAGAGCGAGCCTTGTATGATTACTGTTATGTGTACAATAACTGTGAACACAGGCTATTTTACTTACTGCATAATTAAAAAGAAACAAAAAATTGAACACTTATTTTATACAGTTTCCTAAAAAACCATTATACACAAATTATGGATAAGAAAGGTATCTAGAAGCATTGAAGGTCATAATGAGTTATGTCAATGAACATTAACAAATTTTATCTCAATCAAATAAACAGTCATTTGTCTAAACAGGAAGTGTAGGTCACAAAATTTAAGAAAATCCATCATTAAAACAATAAGTTTAGGATGATTTATGAATCTGTAAAGTAATCTATATGTTTGTACACCATTGTATAAATAACATATTAATTGCCATGCTTTCTGCTGAAAAGGCAAAGGGCCATAACTCTGCCAGAAATGATCAAATCTGTGAAAGTTTGGTTGATGACCTTTGAGAAATGAACAGAAGAGTTTTTGATGTACAAAAAACTTTTTAATTACGAGCTTTTTTTCATTAAAAAAAAACCTGGCAAAAAATACAGTCAAATCTTTGATATTGCTCTAATTAAACCTCAAATTTAAATTTTTGTCACAAAAATACAAGACAGATTGAAATGTGACGGCATATTCTATAAAAAATATTTAGACAAGTCTAAGCAAGCATAACATATCAACTAAAATTCAAAACCAAGGTAAATTCTATTGTTCATTTTCCTAACTAAGATAAAATGTTATTTCCTGTAGATACAAAACACACTTGATTACTACATTTAAAAGTCAAAATAGCACCAGTATGTTTTAAATACAATTTCTGTGCATTGAAATTACTTTCACAACAATTACTCTGTTCAGGCACTAATTAATGAACAAATATTTCTGTTAACTTTAACAACTCCTTTTTTTTTCATCATCAAACACACAGCAAAATTAACTTAAGAAAATGTCAAACCTTCTAATTTCTTTAGAAAAATGTCAAAGGTTCTAATTTATAAGTTTCTAATTCAATATGCATAATGAGGCAAAGACATGTATAGCTATAGTTTCAACTTTGTTTTGAAACTTACCCTATATATTGGTTCCATTTATCTATCAGCCAAAATATATATTTTAAATAAATTAAGAACAAAAAAACATTTCAATTAAAACAAAAAGATAAAAACATTTTTAAATAGTCAAGGTCAATTAAAAGAAATTACCCTGTTTACTGAGTAATGTTATACAATACGCTGAAAGACATTTCAAATGAGACACATTTGGAAATTGATTTTTCATAATTATGGTTTGAGATATCATTTTCAAATCTATCCTCTATGAAACTAGTATAAAATTAATTGTCATGCTTTCTGCTGAAAAGGCAAAGGGCCATAATTCTGCCAGAAATGATCAAATCTGTGAAAGTTTGGTTGATAACTCTTGAGAAATGAACAGAAGAGTTTCTGACGTACAAAAAATATTTAATTACCAGCTTTTTTCATTCAGAAACCCTGGCAAAAAATACAGTCAAATCTTAAATTAAACCTCAAATTTAAATTTTTGTCACACAAATACAAGACAGATTGAAATGTGACAGCATATTCTATAAAAAATATATAGACAAGTCTAAGCAAGCATAACATAACAACTAAAATTCAAAACCAAGGTAAATTCTATTGTTCATTTTCCTAACTAAGATAAAATGTTATTTCCTGTAGATACAAAATACACATGATTACTACATTTTAAAGTCAAAATAGCACCAGTATGTTTTAAATACAATTTCTGTGCATTGAAATTACTTTCACAACAATTACTCTGTTCAGGCACTAATTAATGAACAAATATTTCTGTTAACTTTAACAACTCCTTTTTTTTTCATCATCAAACACACAGCAAAATTAACTTAAGAAAATGTCAAACCTTCTAATTTCTTTAGAAAATGTCAAAGGTTCTAATTTATTAAGTTTCTAATTCAATATGCATAATGAGGCAAAGACATGTATAGCTATAGTTTCAACTTTGTTTTGAAACTTACCCTATATATTGGTCCCATTTATCTATCAGCCAAAATATATTTTTAAATAAATTAAGAACAAAAAACATTTCAATTAAAACAAAAAGATAAAAACATTTTAAATAGTCAAGGTCAATTAAAAGACATTACCCTGTTTACTGAGTAATTGTTATACAATACGCTGAAAGACATTTCAAACGAGACACATTTGGAAATTGATTTTCATAATTATGGTTTGAGATATCATTTTCAAATCTATCCTCTATGAAACTAGGGAATATTACATACCTATATCTAAGCAGTGTAGTTTTAAACAAAAAGACTTTAATCTTTTTTCCTTTAAAAGAATTATATACTAAGTGACCCAAAGTGTGGGGCAAGGCCCATGATTTATATAATTTTTGCAGAGGACCACAATGTGGTGCTGCAAGCCAAATATCTATGAATATGGCATTGGATTTTCTAAAGAGATATTTTTTAGATATTTTTTATAACACAAGTCTATTTTAACAAATTAACCTCCATGTCAGGGCCAGTTTTGACCCTAGAGGCATGGTTTATATAACTTTTGTAGGGGACAATGAGGTGGGTGCTACATGATAAAACAATCATCAATGCTCACCTATGAGCACTTTGTGATGCTAATATGTTAGAAATGTCTTTCAGTGTAAACTAAATCTGAAATATCTATATGTCATATTTTCTTGTCTTCAAAAAATATCACTCACATCAGTGTACACTTCACTGTAAAAACATATAAGAGTGTTATTTTAACACTCTGAATACTCGTTCCCTTACCCTAACAGTTTTGTCAGTCAAGTTTATTTAGTGTATAATTTCATAGTATCTGCTATGAAATGCTTACTAATCCATGCATTCTGTAAAGATGAGCAAACTATCTAACCATGACTTTAAATAATATTGACAATCAGAGAATTTAAATAAAATGGTTGGTCATATTATGCAGATATTATGCAGTATACAAAGTTTTGTTCAGTAAGCTGTATTTTGATTGGTCAACAAAGGTAAATTCATGAATAATTAATTAACACATGACATAATGTACCACATCCTACACAACTCCATACCACTCATAACATACACATGTAATCTTACATTATATCTAAACAATTATTTCTTAAACATTAAAGTATTTAATGTTAGACCACCTTTGCCATTCATGAATAATAAGACCAACATTTTGCTGTCCAGCATGGCAAACCTAGCATGACGAAAAGTGGCTCATAAATAAAGGCTTTCACTCTTCAGTATAAAGAAAACATATGTCCTCTAACATCTATTTGACTGTACAGAGTTCAACTCATATTCAACCAATAAATTAAGTAAGTTACAAGCACCAATAATTCTGTACAAATAATAATGTAGACATATTTGAACACTTTATACAAAACAATAGAACTCAGAAACTCTGATAATCATTAATATATCACAAACCTGAATAAAAACATGCATTATGTTTGTCAACACAGTATCTTCCTAATTCTTATACAAGAATAACAAAACAAAATTTCCCCAAAATACCATCAGACAATATCTGACGGGATTTATAAAAAATATTATGTTATGTACAACTTAAAATAAAACGACAAATGTGCAATCCTCAAAAATAATAATTATTCCCACAGTATAAAACTCTATCTATACTACTAAGGGCCCACTTGTAAACTTAAGCAAATATGTAACAATAAGTTTCTTTTTCTACAGATACATCAGGGACTTGGAGAGAAATTTGTAATGTCTTTGCGTTGTATGAGTTATAACTGTTTTGCTCAAAGCCCATGAAAAATTATACACAAACTGGGCATTTGTGTGGTGTTTTATGCTCTAATGTGATATCTGGCCACACTTCACAGTTTACAAACAGTTATAGGGTGTATTTCCTAATACTACTTTATTTTAGTTTTGGATTTTAATGCCAAACCACCTTCAATATTATTTAGTTAGACCAATATTTCGACCTACCAGACAAACTTAAGAGAAAATATTTTAATTACCTGGTATATATATTTTTTTCTTATGAAGATGTATTTAAGATAGTAGAATGAGTTGCCATGATTTTTTACATTAATAATGGTTTCTTTATATATACATACATATAACTGTTAACTATTTTTTGATTTGATGTTTTGTTAAACACTTGATCACTCAAGTCTCAGTTCTGATACAATGGTGGCAACTTATTTTTCAAGTCTCCATATTGCATCTGGTAATTATGAATTGATTTCTGTAAATCAACAATTTTCTGTACAGCTTCATTTGTACTTGCCTTTTCATTTTCTAGTTTCTTGGCTAAATCCTCTATGTGTGATTTGTGTTTAGCTTCCAGATTTTTAATATGGTCTTCATACCGAGACTGTATTTTGGTATTTTCAGCGCTTAAATTTTTTACACGTTCATCAGCTTTAGACTTTGATGCATTTAGATTGTCATATTTCATTTTCAGCGTATTATATTCAGCTGTCATAGTTTCAAGCTTACTTTCAAGTTCCAACACGGCTGTATTACGTTCACTAGTAGGGAAGGTCACTATTGTTGACTGATGGTTTGAAAGGGAGGTAACTGTATTTGACTGAAGATTACTCTCCCCTGCACTATCTAGAGAATTTTCCGAGCTGCATTCTGATGAAATTGATTCATTACTTTTTTGAGCACTAACTTCCTTATGTTTTCTTGTGTACTTTCTTCGTAACGGAGGAATAGGTTTCCCATTATTATCAAATGATAATGGAGATTGAAACACTGTTGACATTGGAGTAGTTGGTGAAAATTCAGCTGATTGTGGTGACATAACTCCCCCTAAATCTGAATTTAAATGGTACTTGTTAGCTTTATCTGTTTCTACAAGTAAGTCAGGTTTAAATGATCTTGCTCTCCTGTCTCTAGGATGATCAAATGTGATGTCACTAAGATCATTAACAGCTGAACTACCATTATGTGTGAGAGGTTGTAAAAGGTCACTTTCAGATGATACACTGTCAATTCTTAATAAATCATCTACAGCAACTTGAGCAGATTTTCGTCCCTCATCAAATTCAATCGTGAATATTTTCGTATCAAAATTGATCATCATGTAAGCAAGCTGTTCTGATATATCTGACGTTGTCAACATGAACATTTCTGGATTGTCCTCCATTTGTGGGTGTCTTATGATGTTTGGACCAAAAACTCGTGCTAAATTTTGAGGAGTCATTTTGTTTATTTCTGTTTTATTTGCAACTTTACGCAAGAAATTGCACAAATATTTCAGGGCATTATAATTGTCCTGGGGAAGATCTGCCATGCCCGCTCGTAGACTCTGAACTTGTTCCATTCTATTATTGTCACATTTTGTCCCCTGAAACTTCATCGCTATATTCATAAACTCTTGATAAAATTTATATGGAATAAGGCATTCTGGGAGTTCTCGAAAATACTGTTTTAACAATGATGCAACAGAATGTACATCAATATTTTCTATATCTAGAGTCACAATTTCCCCCTCATCAAATCTGTCCTTCAAATCTCGTACTAGCAGCATTCTTCCTGGTAATCTATAAGTAAACAAACCAGATGTGTGCTATAAATTTTTTACGAATTTATACTTCATCTTCCTGATTATGGTAAAAAATAAACATCATGACCTAATGATCTAAGCATATTTTCATACTGAACATCTGCATGATGCTGGAGAGATAAAATTAATGAATTACCACAATCAAAATACAGATGTCATCAAGATTTGTTTGTAGTGTACCATTACTGTTATTTAGGAGACAAAAGGATCATTAAGGTTGTTTATTTTCATCACAAATATAAAATAATGTTGGTAAGCCTTTGTGTAGTCTGTTACCTAAATATTCCCTCTACTTCCAGGCCATGTTCTGTAAGAAACTCTATACACGATTCTATAATCAGGGGCACTTTTCTTTTACTTCTCTTCTTTTCAAACTCCATTGTCTCTTCTAGGGCAGTTCCAAAAATTGCTGAAATATTTCACAGGTTACAGCTTTAATAAAATACATTTAAATTATATCAATTGTCATACCACGTTAAACAAGAGCAGAGAGGAGCAGAGACCTAAACCATTCTCAGTACAGGATAGTAATTGCACAATTTCAAAACACAGAGATAATTTGAAGTTAAAGGCACATAGACCTTAAACATACACAAGTTTTATAAAAATAAGGTAATCAAATGTCAGTTTGACCTTGACCATTAAGCTTTTGACCTACAATGAGTATCTATGACAGGTAGAAGTAATCATGGTGCATCTACATACACAGTTTGAAGTTTCTTTGTCAATAACCTTTGATTTAATGACCAATTAAATGTTTTATAACAGGTCCCTGTGATCTTGACCTTTGACCTGGAAATGGGAAGGGTAGGTAGAACTAATCAAGGATCATATTCTCAATTTGACTGAAGGCCAGTTTAATGTTTGTGATTACAGATATCTAAAACCTTGAACATTGACCTTTTGGTCTGTAAATAGGTGTGGCTAGTTGACCACAAGACAGTGCATCTATATACAAAGTTTGAAATTCTTAGGTTCATGCACCTTGCTTCAAGATCCCTGTGACCTTTCACCGTTTGATCTGAAAATTGGTCTGACAGGTAGAACTCATTAAGGTACTACCACATATAAGGTTTCATGGAAACAACTTTATTAGCCATCAATGACATGACACTTTTTCTTCAAAAACTGGAGCTAAAAAAATCTTTGAATGTTTCTTTCCTTTAAAATTAACACAGAGGAAAGTAGAAATAGTCAAAGACTTAACAACACTTTCGAGTTTGATATAACTTTCTTACTTATTTGATGCAATCAGGACTGCTTCAAAGATAAATACTGGGTGTTACTAACTAAGCCTTCATTATTAACAAGCACTGTGCTCCCAATATTTATCTTTCCAACCCTAGATCTAGTAACAGCAGCATTCATATAGAATTGAAATAAACAAGACTGTGAACTTAATAAGCATGTTTGGACTGTTGCTAAAATTTTAAACAGCTCACAATTGATCATTTATTTACTTTGATGATTATATTTAAAGTCCTATACTCACCACCCCCTATAGAAGCAAACATGACTTTTCTTATCGCCTTGATCCAATCCTGTCTCTCAGCATCAGTTGCAGCAGACAACAGAAATGATTCGTGATTGGGTGCCATCTTTTGAGGGTTCCTACCTTTAAGCATAAGATTAAAATAATGATGGTGTATGCCAGTAATAATAAACTCTAATAATAGTGATAATGACACGCTATATGACCAGTATAGAGCCAGGCCAGCCTGTATTCTGATGACTTGTTACCAGAATCTGCATGCAACTATAGTAAATAACCAGATCAGCCTGCACATCGATGTCCTGTAACCAGACTGTATATCACCAGTATAGAACCAGATCAGCCTGCACATCGATGTCCTGTAACCAGACTGTATATCACCAGTACAGAGCCAGATCAGCCTGCACATCGATGTCCTGTAACCAGACTTTATATCACCAGTATAGAGCCAGATCAGCCTGCACATCGATGTCCTGTAACCAGACTTTATATCACCAGTACAGAGCCAGATCAGCCTGCACATCGGTGTCCTGTAACCAGACTCTATATCACCAGTACAGAGCATGGCCAGTCTGTACATTGAAGCTCAGTAACCAGGCTCTTTTCGTTGTCTGATCATTTTAGCATGATGATACTGAAAACCCTCTAACACTAAACAGTTCCAGAATCAAAGAGGTCTGAGGACATTTTAGCTCATTTTGTAAAATCTAGCAGGGTCATAATATCATTTTGGTCTGGTGTATCTATTTGATGTAATATAAACAATTTATAAATGTTTTTGTGTGTGTTCTGATTACAAGTTAAGGTTGAGGACAGGTAAGAGTAACTATTTTTACATTAACAAATATTGTGACAGAGAATAATTGCAAAAATTTTATATCAATGTAAAAACCAGATGATGAAACAAATTTGAAAATAAGTAAATTCATTCATTTTGTTCAAATATGTTCCTATTTAGTCATTTATTAACATAATTAAATATATCTACAAGAAGGTATACTACTTTCTGGACTGACTTTATAATGTTTAGAGCCCTTTCAATTTTTCTAGCATAAAATAAGTGAATTCTTTTAAAATATAAATTAATCTTTAATGAATCTTGTCGGCATTTCTGAGACAAAAATAATACATGTCACATTTTAAAACATATACTTGATTGGATTAAACTGACATAATGAACACTGAATTAATAGTTGGTCTGCTGACTGACTTACTAAATGGTGAAACGATGTAACCAGTTGTACCCAATGGTGTAGAACTGTAACCTACATGTATTGTATCCAATGAGAAAATCAATGTAACTTATTGCAGTCAATGGTTAAGCACTATAACCTATTGTACCAAATGTTGAATCAATATAATCTATTGTACCCAATGATGTAACCTATTGTACTTAAAGGTGAGTCATTGTAAGCTATTGTACCGGATAGTGAAAGACTATAACCAGTAGTACCTGTAACACTGTAACCTATTGTACCCATTGGTGAAATACTGCAACCAATTGTACCCAATGGTAAAACACTGTAACTAGTTGTACCCAATGGTGAAACACTGTCACCTATTGTACCCAATGGTGAAACACTGTAACCAGTTGTACCCAATGGTGAAACACTGTCACCAGTTGTACCCAATGGTGAAACACTGTAACCTATTGTACTCAATGGTGAAACACTGTAACCTATTGTATTGAATGGTGAAACACTGGTACCTATTGTATTGAATGGTAAAACACTGTTACCTATTGTATTGAATGGTAAAACACTGTAAGCAATTGTACCCAATGGTGAAACACTGTAATCTATTGAATTGAATGGTAAAACACTGTAACCTATTGTATTGAATGGTGAAACACTTTAACCTATTGTACCAAATGGTGTAACACCTTTATCTATTGTTTTGAATGGTAAAACACTGTAACCAGTTGTACCCAATGGTGAAACACTGACACCTATTGTATTGAATGGTGAAACACTTTTACCTATTGTATTGAATGGTAAAACACTGTTACCTATTGTACCCAATGGGGAAACACTGTAACCGGTTGTACCCAATGGTGAAACACTTTAACCTATTGTACCAAATTGTGAAACACTGATACCTATTGAATTGAATGGTAAAACACTGTTACCTATTGTATTGAATGGTAAAACACTGTAACCAGTCGTACCCAATGGTGAAACACTGTAACCTATTGTACCCAATGGTGAAACAATTTAACCTATTGTACCAAACGATGAAACACTGTTACCTATTGTATTGAATGGTAAAACACTGTAGTCAGTTGTACCCAATGGTTGTAACCAGTTGTACCCAATGGTGAAACACTGTCACCTATTGTACCCAATGGTGAAACACTGTAACCTATTAACCCAATGGTGAAACACTTTAACCTATTAACCAAATGGTGAAACACTGTTACCAATTGTATTCAATGGTAAAACACTGTAACCAGTTGTTCCCAATGGTTGTAACCAGCTTTACCCAATGGTGAAACACAGTAACCTATTGTATTCAATGGTAAAACACTGTAACAATTTGTACCCGATCGTGAAACACTGTCACCTATTGTAACAAATGGTGAAACACTTTAACCTATTGTACCAAATGGTGAAACACTGTTACCTATTGTATTGAATGGTTAAACACTGTAACCAGGTGTACCCAATGGTGAAACACTGTCACCAATGGTAAAACACTGTAACCAGTTGTACCAAATGGTGAAACACTGTAACCTATTGTACCCAATGGTGAAATACTGTAACTTGTTGTATCCAATGACAAAACACTATAACCTATTGTACCCAATGGTTAAACACTGTAACCAGTTGTACCCAATGGTGAAACACTGTAACCAGTTGTACCCAATGGTGAAACACTGTAACTTGTTGTACCAAATGGTGAAACACTGTAACCTATTGTACCCAATGGTGAAACACTTTAACCTATTGTACCAAATGGTGTAACACCTTTATCTATTGTTTTGAATGGTAAAACACTGTAACCAGTTGTACCCAATGGTGAAACACTGACACCTATTGTACCCAATGGTGAAACACTTTAACTTATTGTACCAAATGGTGAAACACTGTTACCTATTGTATTGAATGGTAAAACACTGTAACCAGTTGTACCCAATGGTGAAACACTGTCACCTATTGTACCCAATGGTTAAACACTTTAACCTATTGTACCCAATGGTGAAACACTGTAACCTATTGTATTGAATGGTGAAACACTTTAACCTATTGTACCAAATGGTGAAACACCTGTTACCTATTGTATTGAATGGTAAAACACTGTAACCAGTTGTACCCAATGGTGAAACACTGTCACCTATTGTACCCAATGGTTAAACACTTTAACCTATTGTACCAAATGGTGAAACACTGTCACCTATTGTATTGAATGGTAAAACACTGTAACCAGTTGTACCCAATGGTGAAATACTGTCACCTATTGTACCCAATGCTATTGTTCCCAATGGTGAAACACTGTAACCTATTGTATTCAATGGTAAAACACTGTAACCAGTTGTACCCAATGGTAAAACACTGTAACCTGTTGTACAAATGGTGAAACACTTTAACCTATTGTACCCAATGGTGAAACACTGTCACCAATGGTAAAACACTGTAACCAGTTGTACTAAATGGTGAAATACTGTAACTTGTCGTATCCAATGACGAAACACTATAACCTATTGTACCCAATGGTGAAACACTGTAACCTATTTTACCCAATGGTGAAATACTGTAACTTGTTATAGCAAATGGTGAAACACTGTCAATGATGAAACACTGTAACCAGTTGTACCCAATGGTGAAACACTGTAACCTATTGTTTCCAATGATGCATCAATTTAAGCTATTTACCCAAAGGTGAAACAAGGTATCCACTCTGTTATCTATTGTATTGAATGGTGAATCAATGTTACCTATTGCACATAATGGTGAAACACAGTCATCTATTGTATGAAATAGTGAAACACTGTAACCTATTGTACAATGTACTACATGTGTATTACCCATTTTCTTAAAAGATTATCTCTAAAAATCTGCTTAACTATGTAAATTGATGGATTAATCATTGAATACTTTTGATTTATACCTGTATAACTGAAGATTACAGTTTTAGTGATTCTTTGTTTGTTTCATTTTATGCTTTTTCCCAACAGTATTTCAGTCATAAAGGCGGGTAGTTTCCTAACCATCGTTCCTGGAGAGTTACACCAGTACTAGACTACCTTCCTCCGCACTAAACTAGTGATTCTTTGACCATGTTAAACAGCCAAACTTATTTTGAGTCTAAGCTGATATCAAGCAGTGACTGACACTTGTACAAACATTGAGTTATCTTTTAAAGCGACAGCTGTTGTTACTGGATCAGATTTCTTGAAGTGTCACTTGTCTCATGTAAAACGAGTGGGAAAAGACATAGGCCAAGAAGTTATAATTGTTTGTATGCATTTGTAGTTTTACCTAACATTATGTTCACATTATGATGCAAAAATTGCTGTGGGCTAAATAAATTTGCATATTATATTTATGTTTATAGTGCAATAACAACAATGTACCCTTATGGTCAAGAACAATATCATTACTAGACATGTACAACTGTACAATATGACTAAATGTTTACACCTGTACACCTTCACTAGATATCTACATTATCCTGTACATCATCAATGGAAGTGTACAGCATCATTAAAAGTGTACATCAGTACAGAATCACTAGAAATGTACATCATCACTAGAACTATGTACATCATCACTAGAAATGTACATCATCACTAGAAAAGTACATTATGACTAGAACTATACATCTGTACATCATCATTCTCTTACATTTTCATTAAATTAAAAAACTAAAAGCTGAGACAACTATGTCTAACATTGAGACAATAAATGTATGAATACAACTACATTTTTCATTATATCTCATACATTTCCTATAATCGTGCAGAAATTAAAATCTTGTTTTATGTAATACATCATACTTCATTCACTATCAAGTTTATACATATTAACTCCTTTAGATACAAGTCTATAGCTCAAGATGCAATTTCCTCACGCATGCTAATATAAAAGTATCATATACGTACACATACTTGCATAAAGGTTTTTATAAAATATAAAGTTACTAGCAAGTTTGTTCAGACATGTTAAAGTTTAAACCTATCGTTTGTGAAAACATTGCAACACTGATGTAACTTGTGTTTCTTACCACCATTGACATAACACAGTATTGCATTTAAAATTTGTATTATGTTTTGGCCGGAAAAAATGGTAACCCTGTCTTCACCTCCTTTCAATAATATACATGTAATTTTATATAAGACATGTTATTTTCTTATGAAATATACAACATTTTGGCCACTCACAGTAACACAGCTAAACTTCACATGACCTTTTGTAGCAGTCCAAAGGTTGCAACATATGTTTATTAAAACACTTGCAATTTAGCTACCATTATTGACAGCAATTAGGGCTATGAATTCAATTATCAAATAGAATACAATGGTTGTTCTTGATAAAAGTAGACTGAAACAGTAACTAAGAGGTTTCTACCATTCACAATGGTTCAACACTGTCTGAACAAACACAATTATGATAAAAGTTTCACTGTGAAATCAACACTATTTGTGAGATGTAACTATTTGTAGATAATTCACAAAATAAGTATACTAATTTCTTTGTTTTCCAAAAGTAAGAACAGAAACCAATTAAAATACCACCGACTCTGAACATATGCTATAATAATGATAGGCACAATGCAGCCTAGCTTACTGCACCAGACTGTAAGATAATGCCACCTTCTCTATTTTGATATTGAAATTTCTTAAAACTAGTAAATGTACATAAAAATTCCACACTCAATGACATGTCTATTATATTCAACAGTTGATTTCAGTAACAGAATTGTTACAGTAAATAAAATCTCAACAAAATATAATTCTCACAAAATATGATGATTTCACAGTATTTCAATAGCAGGAAAATGATAATCTTATATTTGTATATGATATAAGGAAAAATTTTCTGTCATGTAATACATGCCTCATGCTGTCAGGAACTATCATAAGTGCATTATGCTGTTAGTATAAGAAGCAAGCTTGTACAGAAAAACTACAATGTCACTGGCTGGCAATATTTCTGATTATAAATATTCCTTGTATCAAATCAAAATAGAAAAGCAAAAAGGTACTATTTCATTAAGATAGGGTAGCATTACTTTTGTGAGAGTAGAGTATACCTACAGCCAATGATAGGATACTGACAAACTGTATTACATATATAACTGTCTTAAACCAGCATCAAATGACCTTGACAGCTTCACTGTGTTACTATGGTTACATCCATCCTTGTTTTATTATGGAATTATTTAAAACTGCTTCACCTAAGTTGAACAAATCTCTCTGAACAATTTGACAAGTTTCTCTTGACATTGGATGATGCCAACAAAATAATATGACCTTGACCCCAAATTATTTCAGACTGTAATTACATACATTATCAATTTTATGGTTTTGCAATATTAAAATTTATTCTTTTTTAATAAATTTAACATGTCACTAGTAAAGGTAGTAATGACAAATCTTGAAATATAAACTTTAATTTAATAACAAAACAAAGATGGATGTTAAAAGGTGACCAAACCCACATCATACTTTTATAGCTGAGTGATTTGCTGCGATTCAGGGCATAGATTTCTGAAAATATATAAGCATTTCAAACAGAGATAATTAGTGAACATGCTAGAAAGGTTAGTACACAACCATCAGAAAGTCTGCTTTGATTCAAACATTAATTCAGAGGTACTTGCCGGACAAAACAAATCTAGGATAACATTAAAGAAAATTGATGTGTCTGCTTCAGGAACCTTAGTCTATCACACTGAAACCTACAACTCTCTCTTGCTGGAGATATACTATATTTTAGCATAGCTTGATGTCACTTAGTGATATAAGGCTTAAAATTCAAACAAAAAAATAAAGTTTTAACTAGCATCCAATTGTTCTATATAATAAGTAAATAAAACTTTCCCTGACAATAAGCATTTGAATTTATGGCAAATATTACAAATGAACTTAGAAAAAACAGACAGGAAGTTATATCACTACATTTGTTGCCAGGTTACACCTGTTTTGATATAAAGTTTCCTTGTAGTTAATATCAAACACTAAATCAACCTATACATAAACCCATATTAACACAAAATCAGAAAAACAATTAAAACAAAGATTAATGAAACACAATAATAATAAAAAAAAGATATATCAAAGTTAAATTAGCAGCAAGAAAGTGAACTGAAAGTTAAGAAAACACTTTACCTTGACTCATTTTATAGATATTTTGACCTTTCTCTGTTCAAATGTGAAACAACAAACATTATAGTTATATAATTTCCCTTTTCATGTCAAATAAAAATACAGTTAAAAAGCAAATAAATTGTACTCAAGTGCTTGATTTAAATAAATTGCGAAAAAAACAGGTGACAATATTCGATGATATTGCATAATTTTATTGTCCTTTAAGATAATAAATGTGTCCAAGAAGATGCACAAATACATAAATTGGAAATATTTATTCTCCATGTAAAACAAGAACAGACATCTGCTTCCAAAGCCATGATAAGGACAAGAACATGTTTTTCCTTAAAGTTAAGCATGACCTTGACCTACAACCCTTGGTTATAAGCTCAATATGCTGACATTTATGTATAATTATCTAAAATTAAATCCATGAATGACAAAAACATGGACTGGACATGGCCATCTATTCACAACAGACAGAAAGATTGACCATCCACTTCAATGGACTAATTTTAGGGACACTTCTTATGATATTTTCTATTATTTTATACATGGCCCCTGGCCCTTAATCTATATATAAGGGGTAGATACTATTGTCCTCTTTTGTTCTCTATTATTACATGTACAGTTAGATGGCCCCCTACTCAGTTCAAAAATGCCGGCTGGGCAATTGAAATACTATATGTCATCCTAAGAGAGTAAAAAACACAATGCTTCTTATGGCAAAGACTTTAGGACTTTGAAATGTCATTACAAACAAGTAAAGATAATGAAATTTTCATTAAACCTCCAAATATCAATCTCTACCATGTGAAATTTATATAGTACTGATATATTTTTCTTAAAAAAACAGGCACTGATCACATTTTAATACTCCAACATTTTTTGTAGAAAATAATTCAAATAAAACTTTGAAAGAAATATCAATATGAACTTAAATGTAATTGCCTTCATTTAATTAAGTACATATTTTTTTATATTCTTAAGAAGGTGAGGTTATTTTGAACCCAGAAAAAAGCAAGCAATTACTATTAGCATTTTATAAAAGCATAAATTTTGTGTTTGTCTTTATACTAACTTAGTTTCATGTTAAATAATGATAAGTCTACCAGTTTGGATGCTAGAAAATATGTCTCTGTATCTGAAATAAATCCCAGTTCTTCACCAATTAATATAACATGTTTAAAACAAATACAGCACAAAAAATATGACAAACATATAGTATTACATACTATCTCTAAAATTGCATTAAACAAGTCAAATTATTTTTAATTATTATTAACCCAAAACCTTCATTTTGTAAAGTATATGTAATTTTATATTCAGTATATAATAATGGATAGATAGCATAACATTACAATATAGCTTCATCTTTTATTTTCCTTATTTTATTCAACATAAATTGTTTCCTGACCATATAATATAGGCTACTTGAGACAATCCTATTGTTAACTCCTTTTCTGTGGTTGGGTCATACTTAGACTGTCAACACCTTTATGAATTTTTTGGAAATAAACAGGCATATGAGTAGAACCAATGACCTTCCATAAGCTGGCGCGATAACTTCTTCACATAAAAGAATTCAAAGTCCCTGGCAAGGTGTTAAAATAAAGTGTCTAACAATGTAAATGTTGATCAGTGCCACTATCTATACTACATACGCTGTGCAAACCAAGCTAAATAATTTCCTTTGCAATACAAGCTTTAAAAGAACTAAATACATCATAACGAAATGACATTAATTTCCCTAAAATGTGAAATCTTCATGTACTAATTAATCTGATGTTAAAAAACCTAAGAGAGAGGATATTAGGATGTTGTATACATAATTATAATAATCAGTTTGCTACTGACTTGGTTCACATAAAAGCTTTGTTGTTTTCACCTTCTTGACAGTTAACTTAAACAGGACTATACCAGAATATTGTCTACAATGTTTGCTGATGATTCAGCTCATTGATTCATGAGAAAAAACTGGTTCAGAATTATTTCTAGCTTCAGGGTCCCTTTTTGAGTTGGCCATGTAAATACATATGGCTAATCCATCTATGGATGATGTACACCAATGAAGATCTATATCTACTGTATTAATTTATTGGCTATTTAAATGTTAAATATATATTCAGCCAACGAAAGTCTTTAAAAAAAACCAACTAAATATTGATTCCATTCAATTATGATATTAGAGCCAAGTTTGGTGAATATTTATGAACTGGTTCCAGAGTTGTTGTTGAAGGTTTTACTTTTTTCAGCTCTACTGCAGCCAATAAAAGAACAATTCAAACTGATAAAAAAAGAAACAAAAAGATGCCACTGGCAAAGTTTAAAATAATTTGGACCTGTGGTTTTCGAGGAGATTTTTCAGTGTTATTTGCCATATCATAATATGTCACCAAAAACCTTAGGGTGAAGTAAGATCTCAAGGTGTGTTTTCATGCCTTACAGTAGTTATAAATAGAATATACCCAAACCAAATACACAGACAAGATAAAAACTTTTTGGTCAAGATAAAAAAAACATAATTTCATAATTGTATTGTTAAAACACTGACATATTTATGAAAAGTGAGAAAGATAAAATTTGTACAACTTAAAACCATTGAAGTTGTTCAAGGTTTCAGAAAACACATAAGTATATGATTTATTTATGCAACAGCTAGAAAAAGAAAGTGTTCAAGACATGAAAGCCTAGAGAGATAAGCACATTCAGTTATCATTACCCTCTTCTTGTCTCCATAATTGCGAACCTGTTATAACAGTGTCAAACTTTTTAACTATAAAACTGAGCCACGCCATGACAAAACCAACATAGTGCGTTTGCCATCTGCATGGATCAAGACCAGCTGCGTATCCACACAGTTTTATCAGGCTCTATGCTGTTCGCTATCAGTTTCTCAAATTGTAATTAAGGGTTTGTAAGCCAAGAGCAATTATCTTATATTGTTATATGACCATAGGATTGAAATTTAGAAAAAAAGAAAACACAATTGTAGCAAACAAATTTGGGGAAAGGATGAAACCTACCGGTAGTAGCTGCCAATGAATACAAAATTGAATGGGGGGAATTGATGAGTCTGTCTACATTTAAAGACAAAGAAAAGTGCATCATCTCCGTAAACCCTAACTAGCTGAAAACTGTGGTAAAAGCTAGGTCTTTTGTCATTTTTTCCAAAAAAACATCTGAACAACAATGCATACCTCATATTTGTATAGTGTATGTGATGCACTGAGTGAATAAATATGATTTGATTTCAATTTGAGGCCTTCAATAGCGAAACTGAAGAGTAAAATTTCAATTTAGTTTTTTTTAAAGTTTACATGTATTTCAAAATACGCACTGCACAATATTGATTGTTTGTGAAAGTGAATTTTGTTCATGAGGAAAATATTACAATTTAATCAAATTAAACCTAATCTGCCATGTTTACTTTTTAAGTTGCTCTGGTAACAGAAATTATATCCTGCCTATTCTTCATAAAAACACACACACACACACCTGTGACAAAAGGAAAGCTATGTGATGTATTTTTACAATTATTACAGTGAAACAGAGTATAATAATCTTGAATAAAGTTTCACTAGAGTGAGAGTGTTACATGTATTTACTTTCTACTACATATTCATACTAGATTTTGAAATTCAAAGTGAAATGGACCTTTACCTTGCTGGAACATAAAGAACAGTGTTTGACACGAGCATCAACCCAAGCCAGCATGTACATCATTCTGTAAAATCTGACCAAGCACTATACTGTTGGGTGACAAACTTTAAATTTTTCATATTTATACCCCCAAAATTTATTATGCACAGTCGCTCTAAAAATAGAAGCTGTACAAGTCCATGTAAGTTATTTCAGCAGGATAAAGGTAAAAGAAGTCATACTACAATCACATAAACAAGATAACAAATGTGAACAAATCAAGGGATTATATATTTTAAGTTAAAAAAGTAAGGACTATAACATTCATAGAAAAAATCCTCAACCTACCTGGCATAAGTTCAAACAAGAATTTATCGGGCTCCTCTGGATTAGCCTGGTGCTGTATTATCTTGTTGCCAGGGAGATGTATCATACCCAGGGGTCGGACATCATCTTCCTTGGCAAAGTAGAACAGATAATCAGCATTCAAAACAAACCAGCGCCTGTGCCATGACTTCACCATGCCACCCTGTTTCCTCAGCCATCCGCACTTGTTTTGGCGCCCACCCGCTGCCGGCGAACTCATACTGTAATATACAATAATTATTGTTTGTCTAATTTGTTTACAACCTTGATTATTATACCTTAAACCCATTATATATTTATTTATTATCATGCAAAAAAATAATGAATATTCTGTGTGCAGACTGAAAAATGTGCCAATTCAACACTTGATGCTCAAGAAATATGACATTTTTAAACTAATGAACAACCTTAATCTGGTAACAGCTCCCAACAAAACCCTGATACAACCCTGACCCTGGTGAAGACATCTACTAAATGTTTTGACCCAAGCTCCTACTGCACTTAAGATTATATGACAAAAAAGATTATATGACAAAATGCTCAGTCAAACCCCTTGATGTGACCTTGACCTTTGAGCTAGGGAGTCTTGCTTGGGACCAATCATCTACTTTATGATAATCATGAGTTACAGGCAATTTAATTTAAAATCCTGTCATGTATGCTGAAGCTATTGACCAGAAACAAACTCAATGTATTAGCTATTAATATGACAAATAATTACATTATTTATTATTGTCAACTTTCCTATTTTATTTGTCCCAGATAAAGAAAAAAACAAACACAGGAAATTCAGGCAATTAATGAAAGATCCAAATACATTAATACCTGCAAGTATATGCCAAGATTTCAGTCAGAAAAGAAAGAGAGAACTTTGTCTATATTCTAAAGGCACCAATCTCTTAGTTAAACAATATGCCCTACCTTCTTCTTAATTTCCTTTTCCAATCTTTCATGGCTTTTATTCTTTTATTCATGGGTAAATCCAAAGAAATTCTGTTAATATGTAATTGTCCTTTCCATACTGTTAATTTAACTTGATTAAAATCTTATGATCGTGACAAACATAAGAAGATTTAAACGTAAAATGAACAAGGTTCGTCGTTTCACTAATTGATCATTTCCTAATTATTGCACACTTAAGGACGTCATAATTACATTAATGCCTTTATTTGCACATCATTCATTAAAATGTTTGTAAACAAATAATATATAACATTTCAGGCTAAGCATTGTTGAAACTTTGAATGGACTTTCCCGAATTTAAAGCTAGGCAAATCTATTACACAACTTCAGGAAGTTAATCCTTAAGAAGGTTATCATTTCAAAGGTAAATAAACATATTAATTTGGCAGAGTTTTCAATCATGTGCAGCATGACAGAGAATATAAAGCAAATACCTTATAAGTGAGAAAATTGATTATAATTGTAGAAAATAGAAAACATACATTAGAATGGCTGTTAACTAAAGTCTCCAAATAATGATATTATCATCCATTAAAAGTTAGTTGTGTTTTTTTGTGTTGTGTTTCATAAATGGCACTCATTGGCCATAAAGCCAAAAGCATCTTTTTGTTTTTTGCTTACAGATATCGTGACTTTGTATTTTGTAAGAAAGATTAAATACCACTTTCTTAAATTTCAGATTTTTGGTTTTGATAAAATCTATTCAAGATATGTACATCACTTGTTGATAATATAAAGGAGACAGAAATTGGCTGACAGCTGCCTTAGCTCATGGTTATCCTTGGTGAAAATGCCCGATCAGGCTTATGACATAAACAAGAGCTGTTGGTAGGACAGCAACGCTCGACTATTCTTAGTGCTTGATAGTAAAAGAGCCTTGATATTAAATGTATTTGGAGGTTATGATTTTCTAAATGCATAGATCCCTGACCTGTCCATTTCTAATTATCAGATTAGTTGATACAATAAGAATTTCACCACACAAAAGAGCACATGTCAATGTTTGTGGTAAAATCTATTGTTTTTCAAATGTAAAGGTCAGAGTAGGGATCTATCAATTGTGTTGGGTATGGATAAAGAATATACATTCTGGGCAAAAGTGTTCTCAAGGATGGGGTTTTATATACTGTGATATATATCATGCATTTGAGGTATGGTGATATATGCAAGGCTGATAGATACTGCTCATTGTATTCTATACCTGGCCTCTGACAAGCTTTGTGCCACCTGTGTGTCTGAGGTTTTATCTGAAACCTTATTTTTTAGATTTGATGCCATTGTGGAAATCTTGTCCATGATTATATATGTCTGAAATAAAATATCTATAATGACTGTAAATGAAATAAGCAGGTACTGGGACAGCCAATATATGTTTATCCTACAAATAACTACAAACATGAAATCCATTGTAATGCATGCCAGGTAAACACCAAAGCTACCTTTTTCTGAGGTATACAGTAAATTGCTCTGAGCTAGTACATGTCGTCAAATTTTGGTGTCAACTAGAAGGTGTCAACAAAAAGGTATAATGTTGTCTTATATATGTCTTAAAAGCTCTACATTAAATATTGAAAATCAAAGATTGCTGTATTAGCAGACTTGGAGAAAGTTTCCAGAAAATGTAGTTAGTGAATTCTTGTTAAATTGAAGTTGTAGTGACGTTTCACATTTAGTATTTAATGCAATTTGCCTCATCTTTTCAATCATAATTTAAAACAGATAAGTTTCAAGTAGATGTTACCTCTAGAATGAAATAAAAGTTAAATCAGAACAAAAACTTAGTTTCTGAAGAAAATTTATTATACTTATTGTGCAAGACAATTCTGCCATGAAGGAGAGAGTCCTAGTCATGTTGCCAAGGAGATAGTTCTATAGTTACTGGCTATACGTTTATTTACAGAAGTATCCTATGTGATGGTTCAAACTACATGTATAAACCTTTATGAACAATGTTGAAATCACCTGTATGTCCATGTTTATTAATTACTACAACTATGTTGGATGACTGACTTTATATCACATAATTTTAGGATTTATTCTACAACACGTTTATTTCCCATCAATAATCTTTTCTTTAGCAATGAGAGGTAAAAAGCACATCAGTGAGGAAAAAAAATAAATATCTCAAACAAAGAAAAGAATAAACAACACATAAGAAATGTCATGCATATGAACCTAGAATTATAGAGCTATCTTCTTTGCAACATGACTATCTCCTTCATTTCAGAACAGTCTCAAAGAATAAATATCATATATTTCGTTTAAAAACTACTGTTTGCTCCATTTAAGATTTTAATTGCATTCTAGACAAAACATCTACTTTAAATGTCAATTTTTTTTGTTAAAACAACAACATGAGGCAATAACAACTAGCTCTTTCATGATGAAACAGTCCATTTCCATGCTGAGTTTGCTAACTGGGAAATGCTGCTGTGGCTACAGTTCAAACCTAAATTTATCAACTTTACTTTCCCTAGAAACTATAATCAAATCTAATTGGTAAGCATTCTTTGATTGCATAGTTTACAAAAAATATATAATAAGACTATAGTGAACCTTTGTTGACACTTATCAGTAAATTTGAAGTAGCAATTTATTGTATACCTCCAAAAAAGTAGCTATGTTGCTTACCAGTGTAATTTGCATAATCATTATTATTAAAGACCTGTCTTTATAGTTTCCATGCTGTCATAGGTTTAATTTCCCTTTTCACAACTTTTTGAAAATATTCAAGACATTTTAGACTTAGATCAGCAGTTAGATATCTGCTCAGTCTTGATCAAAAAAAAAGACAATATAACTATACCAGACATATCACTAAAGGTGATGCATGCTCCATGAACATGTAATTCAATGTACAATGTCAAAAAATTAAGGCTTCGCTGTATGAGTAAAAGTATAAGTATTATTTCTACCATCCTGACCACAAGTAAAACATGTATATGATTGGTCAATTAGATCAATCCATACTCAGGAGTCAATGAAAACATAAAAACAATTACTTACAAGACAAATCACTCATGAATTGCTAGTAATAGCAGGAACTCAACACGATCTAAAAGGCCGGGAGCCAGTGTGACAATTTCTATACAGTGTTCAATAATTATAATCTATTACCTAGGGATAAAACTGTATTACACCAGTTTTAAATTTTTGAGAGTTTTCTTTCCGTATATAAAGTCCATAAAATGTTCAGTAGACCATCAGATAAGATACATGTACACCTTTAACATATTTAAGATGTTATCAAAATAATAAAAGTTGTAATTGTTGTTGTTGTTATATCACAGTGATCAATTTGAGCATTTATTACATTCAATAGAGAGTAACCTCCAGACATGACTGTACATTAAACAAAATAATAAATCTTTCCCATAGTGTATTGTTTGGTTTTATTAACCTGTCAATTACATACAGATTACACGGTCAATGCACCCAGTATATTAATCTTCGGTAGATGTTCGGTAAGTTCCGTGAGATGTACGCTGTATGATAGAATTTAATTTAATTTGTATCTCTAAACTAAGTGTACTCAGCGTTATAGCGCAATAGGGTAAATCGCGAGTTTATAATCTAAGTGCCATACGTGTTTTAAGTTCGAGGCCACGTTAGTCCATGTTTTTTTCTTATTAATACTTTCAACATTATTGAATCTATATATGATTATTTTATGTTGTTTGTTTTGTTTGATTATGTTTTACTCAATTTTGTTATGTATGTACTCTTTTTAAATAACATGTTTTTTAAGAATAAATGTTTAAAATTAAAACGGATTAAAATCAATAAATGTCTTTTCAATGCCCTACAACACACTACAAATCTGTTCCATTAAAATATACTGCAAAAATAAAGAAAGGGTACTAAAACAATGGCAACAGTAAGGATCGAACCACAGACCTCTCAATTATCAGGCATTCTCTTTACCAACTGTCCTATTGTGAATTAACGAAAACCTTCACATTAAGCTGGCGTGACTTTCAATCCATTACTAATATACTCCACATTAATTCTCGTAAACTACACGGACCAAACCGAAGTGGGATCGAATATTTAAATGAGTCCTATAATGTATTCATAATTGACAGGTCAATAAAATCAGACTATACATTCTTTTTTTATATCAGACAAATATTTATAACATTTCAAACCTAATACTTATGCTATTCTTATATCACCTTCAAAATTTATTATGTAAGAAATAATTGGATTTACAGTAATATCTGATAAAACTAGAACTGTGTCCAAAGGACACAGATGCCCCCACTGACAACATGTATCGTCACCTTAATGCAAGAACTCAATATCTGCTTCTTTATCTATATGCAGTTATTGAGTTTTTGCACTAAGGTGACGGACTATATGGTATATAGTGAAAAAATCAACAAAGGGCCATAATTCTGTTAAATTTGGTCGCAGCAAAAATTCCTTCCTTTACTTCAATCTACACATTAAGGTTGTTCATCCCTGGAAGTTTAAGCAAAATCTGCCATCCAGTTTAAGAGGAGTTGAGTTCACAAAATTTCTATATGGTATATAGTGAAAAAATCAACAAAGGGCCATAATTCTGTTAAATTTGGTTGCAGCAAAAATTCCTTCCTTTACTACCATCTACACATTAACCCTTTACCTCATATATACGTGAAACAACGCACTTTGGACCCCCCCTGAAATAGTGAAAAAAATGTCCTATTTGGGCCCCAAACACATGTTTTCCTTTTGAGAAATGTTGCTAAAAAAGTGATCACTTTTTCGGCGCTGCCCCCCATCCAAAAGATACACCAGGGTGTTGCTAGAAGGGGGATGTGGGTTTGAAGGGGGGCGGAGTCCCCCTCATCGCCAAGAAAATTTTGGACTTGTGAGAGGCTAAAAATGACCCCAGGTCGATCATAAGGTTACGTGTAACCAACGCTGAAAAGCCTTTGACTCTATCTCAATCCCTTGAGAAGTTGCAGCACTTTGAAATAAATTTTGATGGAAAAAATTGTGGCAAAATAGTGATTTTTGGCAATTTTGAGATGTCCCCTCGTTGCCATGGTAACAGGAAATTTAAGACTGAGCATGTCGTTACAAAGGTAATGGTCCAGTCAACATGTGTGCCAAGTTTGATTAGTATTGAAGCATTTTTCATAGTTTCATAGCAGTTTGAACTTGTAACAGGAGGCTTTTCAGTGAAAACGGCCATTTTTCACAATATGCTCATGAGGGAAAGGGTTAAGGTTGTTCATCCCTGGAAGATTAAGCAAAATCTGCCATCCGGTTTAAGAGAAGTTGTGTTCAGAAGATTTCGGGACAGACAGACGTACAGACAGACAAGTGCAATGCTATATGCTCCCATTTTGTGGGGGCATAATGATCATCATTTGAACAAGAGCTGTCGGTAGGACAGCACAATTGACTATTCTTAGTGCTTGATAGTAAAAAAGGTCTTGATAATAGTTCACAAAGGGGCCTGTTTATAACCTTTCAAACCTAATAATTATGCTATTCTAATATCACCTCTGAAATTATGTCAGAAATTTATTGACTTTACTGTAATACCAGATAAAATGATCATCATTTGAACAAGAGCTGCCGGTAGGACAGCACGCTCGACTATTTTTAGTGCTTGATAGTAAAAAAGCCTTGATAAGGTAAAATATTCTTAGTTCACAAAAGGGCCAATTTTTTTAAAAAATCTATATTACAGTTTTAGGCCTTGGAGAGAGCCCTATTATCCTCTCAAAGAAGTGTATAAATTCCACTTGTTTCAAAGCCAGATGTCAATGGACTTATAAATATTTGAGGTGGTATGCAAACTTTAATGTAAATTCTAAAATGAACAAGAGCTGTCGGTAGGACAGAAACGCTCGACTATTCTTAGTGCTTGATAGTAAAAAAATATGCTTGATACAGTTACCTCCTCCTGTTTACAGGTTGGGGTCATGATGGTGAACAAGTGTGCAAAGTTTCAAAGCCATATGTTAATGGACTTTGAAAATATTTGAACTATTACAAAAACTTTAACATAAATTCTAAGTCGAGAAGGGGCATAATTCTGTCAAAATGCTTGATAGAGTTACCTCCTCCTGTCTACAGGTTGGGGTCATGATGGTGAACAAGTGTGCAAAGTTTCAAAGCCATATGTCAATGGACTTTGAAAATATTTGAACTATTACAAAAACTTTAACATAAATTCTAAGTCGAAAAAGGGACATTATTCTGTCAAAATGCTTGATAGAGTTACCTCCTCCTGTCTACAGGTTGGGGTCATGATGGTGAACAAGTGTGCAAAGTTTCAAAGCCATATGTCAATGGACTTTGAAAATATTTAAGGTATTACAAAAACTTTAACATAAATTCTAAGTTGAAAAAGGGGCATAATTCTGTCAAAATGCTTGATAGAGTTACCTTCTCCTGTCTACAGGTTGGGGTCATGATGGTGAACAAGTGTGCAAAGTTTCAAAGCCATATGTCAATGGACTTTGAAAATATTTGAACTATTACAAAAACTTTAACATAAGTGGTTACGCCAACGCCGACGCAGACGCCGACACTCGGGTGACTACAATAGCTCTACTTATTCTTATCGAATAGTTGAGCTAAAAAGGGACATTATTATGTAAAAATGCTTGATAGAGTTACCTTCTCCTGTCTATAGGTTGAGGTCATGATGGTGAACATTTTAAGTGTGCAAAGTTTACAAGCCATATGTCAATGGACTTTGAAAATATTAGAAGTATTACAAAAACTTTAACGTAAGTGGTTACGTTAACGCTCAAGTGACCTGGATAGCTCTTCTTATTCTTATCAAATAGTCGAGCTAAAAAAGTTTATTTTCACTGTACACAGTTGTTATGTTGGTTATGTAATAAAATATAATATTATATTCATGTTGATTAATTAGTTAAATTAATTAATTGATTTTGTTGAATAAAAAAATATTATACTAACCAGAGGCTTGCATAATATGATTTTATACAACTCATACAAATAAATTCAGTGAATTGAATCTGAACTCTTTCAATATCTTCTATTTAGTTTAAACATGATTGTAGGTTTTACATTCGTTCTCCAGCAAAAAACTGCCATACGTGTAAGTTATTGACCACTTGCTTTTACTTAGCAAATTTCCTCAGAAAATATTATAATCAGCATTACAAAGAATGAAAGAAATGTTACATAAGTCAAACTTTTATTCTAAGTTATTATCAAGTGCAAGTTTTCTTTGATCAAACTTGACGTAAAAAAAAAACTTCCTGTACTGACCCAACCTCTTGAAAATTAAGCTTGCCAATAGGAATACTTATAAACTTTGTTAAAGCTACATTTTTAGTGTACAGTTACACTATACATTTGTCCTACAGTATATCAAACTACACATGGTTAGGGTGTAATTAAATATTGCTATATTGATTATAATATATCATCAACATTCAACATTTGCATCAATACTGGCTTGCTTTAAATGTTAAAACTGTCAATACACTTTAAAACCAATTTCTTCAAGTGAAAATATATCTCTCTATTATATTTTGAAAAGAGAAGTTACTTCTTTCATTTTTCCTTGGTTGAATCTTCAGATATCAGTGAGAAACAAACAAATGAAAACAATTTGCTTTCTTAAAGTATGTTGCATTTGTGGTGGCTAAAACAAGGATACATAACACCATGGGGTAGAATTTATCCATCAATGACAGCCCTAGGCTAGTCTTGGTGGCCTTAAATTGCTCTCTGAGATCAAATACTACTACTAATGGTCAATATTCTTCCTCTGCAGAAGTTAGTAATTAAATCACATTCATCATTGTGTCATTTTTTACCACAGTCCTGATAGGGAATGCTACAAGCCAAGTATCTAACCTCTACTCTAGGCATTGTAGTTTTCCACTAGATTCAAATGCATTTTACTATATACTTTCAGTCTATATAAACTAAGTAACACCTGGCAAAGATCAATTTTGACCCCACAGTATAATTAATATAACTTAATGTAGAGGACCAAAAGGTGATGCTACATTTAAATGCCAAATAACTAAGCTCTAGGCATTGCAATTTTAGAAGATAAGACTACATTACATGTTTGTTATATATTTATAGGTCTAAGCAATCTGACTGAACGACCAATCCCCCCCCCCCCCCCAAAGGCAAAGCAACCTTTGGCATTGTAGTTTCACACATCACTAGGATAAAACTGAATTAAATGTCTTTTCCTATACAAGTCTATAAAATCTAAATGATTCCTGATGCGGGGCCAATTTGACCCAAGAGGCCATGATTTACTTTTAAAACTTTTCTATAGAACCACAAGGTACGTATACATGTAATGCTGAGTTTTTCTGTATCAGCCTCTATAAAGTAAGTATAACCCCCAGAGTATGATCAATTTTGACCCACAGGCATGATTCATTAATGAATTCAAACAAAAACTAAATAAATGTTCATGACTTCTGTTTTCGAAGTTTCCTATCCATTGTTTATATATCTGTGGTATCAACATAAACTTCAACATTATCTTTTGACATCAAAAACTATTAAAAGTTAAAACTTACCACCTGTTGGCCATTTTACATAAGATTTATACAGAGAGATAATCAGGAACTTATCTTTATTCAAAACACAACTGATAAGAATAGGGTGTCGTCTGCTACTGTTTATTTGTGTACTGTATTGAAACTGGTCAGCAAGTTGAGCTACTAAATTATTAGAGTCAATTTTAGCTACTAACAAGATAATTGTGTAAGGATCTTTTTAAAGTTCCGTTCGTGTTAATCAGAGAAATCTTGAGTAACAAAAATAGCCCACATCTCAAATGAAATGAATTGATTCAAAATAGATGACTGTTTCTCTCAACTGCTGCAACAATCATGACAATCATCATACTTGTCATGACCATGATCAACATGAAAACAAATAAAAATTGCTATGAGAAAGAACCAAATTATAACCTCTAAATTCAAAACAATTTCTATGTACCTTTTTTCTATGCTGCTATAATAAATCAATTAGATGACATGACTTCAACATGCAATTACTTTCATTAAACTCAAAATATCTAGATTTGACACTTTACATACATACTTCCGGGTGTGTAGTTTACCCATAAAATGATGACGTCATGAAATATGGTTGTCAGACCATTATTTTTTATTCGAATGAGTTTTAAAATACTTTTTATCGATATACTTCAGATAGAAATTACAATGCATAGTGTAAATTGAATGAAAATAATATTTTATATGAAATTTATACAAATCTCGTTTATTGATTTTTAGTGAAACGATAATTAAAATAGCGGAAAGTGATGACGTTTTACACATCGTTCACAATCTTCAATGAATGTTGACAGACTAAGGATAATTAGTTTGTTCTTTCGACAAAATCTACCCTTCATTGAAAACAACACTTCAGAGTTCTTTCTAGCTATGATTATACATGAAAAAGTACGTCATTTTCTTTATTTGTTTATGAAATAGTCCATTGAATCACGTTTGTAGAATGTAAGTTAATCATGTTAATTGTCAATCTCAATTCTCATGTCAAAATTATTATCTGGTGAACTTGGAGTTGGGTAAATTTATGTGAGTCAGAAATTGAATGTTAGGTACCATTCATTTAAAACACAATTTAATAAGAGAAACTAATGTTTTTCACACTGATTTGATCAAATAAAATGTCTGTAGTTTAAGACTAAATTTACACTACACATTTATAAATTATATACTGGCATGTGAGCAGTTCCCATTGAGAAGCACAGTACCCATATTTTTGTTTAAAAGCTTGATTTTTAGTTGCATCCTTTAAAAATTGATAACAAAGCAAGCAGATGTACAAAAGAGACAAAATCAAATTGTGAGTTTGGCAGTACATATAAAATTTTTTCATTTTAAATCAGTGTCACTAGGTCTTCAGCGTACCTGTTTATATACTATGACATGAATGAACGATGAAGACAGACCCGTATATTCAAAATAATTTTATTTAAGTACCAAAAAAAATAAAGACAATAAGTAAAAACATCTTGAATTATAAATATTGAAATCATGTCTACAAATATGTTCTAAATATAGTACACAAATCTACTCTTATCGGTTCCAGCGTATTACGTCATACAAGGTCTCGTGTAGCTCCTAAATGTCAAGGCCGACTGTAGTCGGCGTAATTGATGTTTCACAGTTAAATAGGCAATTTTAATGACTGTATTAATATTTTGATACTTTAGATGGTATAGAACGATATTAAAATAATTGCACAATTATTCTGGTTAGGTTTCGTGAAGGGTCCAATCCAAAACTTATATGCCTCATCAAATGAAAAGCGAAAATGTTAAAAGCGGCTTTTAAAGTTTTAGAAGCCAGAACTACACTTCCACAGGTCTGTCTATTGTCAAAACATGACCTTGTAAATGATGGGGAATTAAAATATCTACCTGTTAGGCCTGTTAAAGGGTTTTCCACTTGTACATGTACGTTGTACCACCTGTGTACAGATAAGAGGGAAATGTGATGAAAACCTGTTTAATTATCAGAATTTGACCTATATCACTTTATTAAATAATCTTATGGGTTTAATTAGTAAAATATCATGCATACAAGCACGATATTGCATTTTATTGCTTTCGGGGTACAGTGACAGGTTACAGATACCAGTGTTCAGCCTATGCCGTATATTCTGAATGACATCTATTTATCTCTGGCAAAAACGGTCTCTTCAACAATTATAAATAAGTCTGATATAACAACATTGTATAATTATAATTGGTTATATTTTATGTATGAGAACTAAGTACTTCTCTTCATATAAAGTAATGGGTAATTTTTGAATTTCCATAATTTGTGTGGCAAGCCGAAGGTTGACATGTTACAATCAAATTTTTAGTGAGTAAGCGGAAAATAGAATTTTTTAGTAATTACAATTTTTGAATTTGAACTGCTTGCATACCATAGACATAGCAGTGATACTAGTCCAAATAATAAGACTTGTCAAAGAGACATTAAAAGCTATTTCTTGAACGGACAATGTCTTTTTTTCAAAGTCCAACCATAAACTGCATTTTTCTACACTGACACTCCCCAATTAGAAGCTGTTAGTCCTAAATGAAAGGAAGAATTTAGGGCCCTTTTTACCTGATACAATATCTGTTGTTTTTAAACTAATTCCTAAGATTTCATTTTTCAGTGAAGAAATGAATACACATAATCCTGCTTTGCCTTAATTTGTCTGTCAACAGTAATTGGGTTTAATCTTTAATAGTAATCAGTGCAAACATAAACAGTATCCCTCTATATTTCTGGTGTCCTCTGGTCTATATACCTGCAAATATTGGAGACCAGCTAACAACTACACACATTATTTTCATTTATCCTTCTAAATTCAAAAGCACTCATTTCAGTTGTTAAATCTTTATATTGCCTGTAGTATTTGCCGATTTAGAGAGACAGGATAAGACTCGATCGGCCATATTCATTTCATTTAAAGTTATCATGACATTGATTTTTTACGATGCTGTCATAACATGTCCGCTGAAGAAATAAAAATTTTGACTAGCAAAAGTGGTGTCTATAATTTTTCTTTGCGTAAAAATGACAGTTTAAATTAGGGGTAGTGGTTTGACAGTAGAAAAAAAAACCAGTTAAATGGGTCAACGCTTAATTAATTAGGCTATCACTGATGCATACTGATGTGAAAGTCAGATAAAGAAACTTAAATTAAACTTTTAACAATCAATCTCATGCATGGTTACCTAGAAATATAAGAGGAGGACTAGCACTGATGATATAGCTGAATTCTTTTAGTTTACACTTTTTAGTCTGTTTTTATAGACCTTACATTTATGTTTACAAAAATTCTTTTAACAAAATACAGTGTGGACTGTGGTACTGACTCTTTCTTACATCATGTATCTTTTATTTATACAGATATAGTTGAAATATAATATGCATATTTATAATGTTTGCTGATGATATAGCTTTTATTGCAGATACAGTTCACTGTCAGTGTTTTTTTTCTTCTTTATATAACTTATTACTACCCTAAAACGGTACTGTTCCCAATAGAAAATAGACATTAAAATTCCCAATTTCCAATGTTTAAATTCCCAAAATGGCTGTTCAAATTCTTACAAGGCTAACTGATTTTTCTGAAATCATTTAATTTAAATCCAACATTTTCATATAAATTACCACTCAATAGTTCTACCTGGACAGTGGAAGCTGTTAGCTATCTTTATTCATGGTGACTAATCTTATTTGTAGCTGAAAAAATGCATTAAAAAAATTCCCAATCTAAGTCAAAATAACGCATTTTTTCCCAATCCGTCTGGTACCGGCGCCATTCCCAAAGTAGAGAAAAAAAACGCTGACTGCGTTCAAAGTAAACTTAATTTTCTATATGAATTTTGCAATATTTGGGGATCAATATTAATAAAACTTAAGAAATGGTGTTTAAAATGGTGGACATAGCACAGGAACTATAAGATGGTTTTATAATGATTTCCCCTTTGAGGTTGTAGATGGTTTTAGTTATGTTTATACTTTTTATGTAGGTGTCATTGCATAAAATGGCAGAGAGCACATCTGTTAAAGCAAATCAAGTTCTAGTAATATCTCTATTAAAATCATTATATCATCTATTTCCTTGTTCTGAATCAATTTTTTTTTTAATTATTTGATAGTAAAATAGCTCCAATGTATGTATATTTATGGGGCTGAATTTTGGGGAATTGAAAAACAGGATTCAGTTGAGCGGATACATTTACATGTATATGCGTGAAAGCGATTTAAGAATGCTTCAATAAAAGCATGTAACACAGCAATCCTTGGTGACTGTGGACGCCATAGCATGTACTGTGTTACTGCCAAAAAGGCTGAAAAGTATTGGTTCTGAATATTCTTAATATATACCTAAGCCAAATTACTTTTTTGTCAAAAATCTTACCAGAATTCTTGTCACAGTATTATTTGATTCTAATGGTTACAAAAACTGGGCTACAAAATTATATTACATCTACATGTATACCAACTTTGGTTTAGTTATGTTTGGGATGCCTAAGGTGTTGGTATTATTAGTCTTTTTTTGTTTGTTTATTATCATCGCTTAAGTTAAGTGGTCTAGTAAGTGCCAGGACTCAAGTAAACTTTATTTTACCATAAAATTACATTGATAAAATTAATATATAAATTCAGAAAGCCCTTAGTTGCTTTTAGAACAGCTTCACATGAACTTAGGATTGGCATCTGAAATTATCACAAGAAGAGAGAACTTGTATATCATTGTCAAAAACATGATAGAAGCAGAGTACCATTTCCTCCTTATTTGTCCACTTTATACTAGTTTACGTTTAAAGTATTTAAATGAAAAGTTCTATGTAGCACCTATTATTTTTGTTTGTTTACTATATTATATCTAAAAATTTCATCTACTGTAGTGTATAATACAGTATATGTCATTAATATTTGAATTTATATTTTACAGGTGATATAGTGTATGAGCATATTCCTATTTGAGAGAATACAAAGTCTGGTGTTGATTTGTGATAGCTTTCAGTCAAACATTCTGCCATGGTGCACTAAGAGTCTCTAGCCTCAAACAACTTCTCAACATATACAGGATGAGTAACAATCCTAACCATTCGTCACAGTATGTGACAGTAGAAGTGGGTGATTCCACGTTCACTATTCTAAAACGTTACCAGAATCTCAGGCCTATTGGCTCAGGTGCTCAGGGAATTGTCTGGTAAGTTGAAGTTATTAATTAATTTTGTCAATCAAAATGAGACTGCAAAATAAGCATTGGCTTAACAGTTACAAAATGACCAATTCAAGGATTGGTTTCTTTAGGATATTCATAATTTAAAACTCTATAATAGTATTTTAAAGAAATTTTTATGCCTTGCCATGAAATGAAGTAAGGGAATATAGTGTTAACCCTTGGCTGCATGTGTTTTTTAGTGGGTGTGTTTAAAAAAAGTGTATACTATGTGTTGGTTCATAACTTCTGCATGCGTGATGGGATAACTTAAATAAAGAAAACACTATGTTGAGCTCAAGACACAGGTCTGCTGCTCAAAGACAGAAATGGTTAAACTTAGTGTTTTGTCATATTGTCTCAAGTGCAGAAAGTGTTTTTGTTTGGTACTAAATTCTGCATGCATGATGGGATTTCAAAATGAAATTGGTATGCATGATCACCATAAGGTCAAAGTCCACTTTAAGGTCAATGGTGTCACTCAAGTTTGTCCACTTTCCTCTTTTGCTTTTAACTTTGGATTGTCAAAACTTTTGACAAATGTTTTCCCTAATCCCCATGGTGAGAGGGTTTGTCACTATCAACACCAAGGTCAAGGTTGGAGGTAAATATGTCATATGATTGGGCGGGCTATGGACACGTTTCTAGTCTTTAATTTAGTTGATAGTATGGCAAGAGCAAAGGTGGTTGTTTAATATATATACCCATTGAACTATACTGTTACCATGTTTTACCCTTACATCATGATGGTATTACATTCTGTAATAGATGTCAAAATCATTTACACCAAGTGTGTTTGTTTTTTGTTTGCACTTAGGTTTGTTTCTCTTGTTTTATGGTACAGGAGTATTATACAAATTCCTTAGTTTATTGTTACTGAAAACTTGCACTTGATGAGTTCAAAAAGTACAGTCATTAGATCAACAAATCTTTATTTATAACTTTGGCTCATTATAGAGAATGTTAGGTCTGTGACACCTTGTTCAATTTAATTTCAGGCATTGTACATGTGATTTCTTTAAAAGTTATAGCATTCCACATCCACTCTGTTATATTGAGTTATTTATTGGAACAAATTGGCAGTCTTTTGTGTAAAATCAAGTTAGTATTGATGCAGAATCTTAGAACACTTACTCTGTAACATTTAACTGCCTGCCAATGCTTACAGGAAATATCATTATAGAACTTGCAGATTAACTATAAATACAACAAATCAATTGACAATTATGAATTTAAGAAAGAAGAATACATGCATGATTTATTTATTGCAAGATTTAATTTTTGTCAATTATTGTATGTGACATAATGTTACACATGAACTATTGTAAATGATTTGTCATGGTTACAAATTTGAAGCAACTGGATGAAAACTATTACAATGTCATATAGTTGACTAAGTATTTTGTTATAAATATCTCATTCAATCATCAATAATTTGTTTTAACCAATATCTTTTATAAAAATAAATTTTGTTAGCAAAGTGAATTTTACAAAAATGCGGAGTCCAAGCGGGAAGACATTTTTACTTTTAATCTGTTCTAAACATAGGGATGGCATAAAATCATATTCTTTGCTGTATATTTTTGTATGTAAGGTTTTTGTATGAACTGCCAATAAATAATGATACAGTAAGAAGCTAGATAAGCAGGTTTGTGAGCAATCTTTAACTGTTGTTTGATTTACAATGTTGTCTGGGGCATAAACCATAATTATAGTACTTATAAACTAGTTGTAAATTCTCTTAGACTAAGTTAGGAAAAAATAAATGGTAAAACCTATTAAGTTTCAGGAAATACCTAAAATTTCTTATAGTCAACATCCACTTGTTATTATTTATTGGATGGACAGGCACACATTTGATTTATCTAGATAATAATACTCTTGGAACATTATTGTTCAAAATCAAATCATGTCTCTGTTTAAAGAAACCCAGGTCTCATTATTACAGTGCTAATTAAAACTGCACCTTTTATATTATATAACTTAAACTCGTCAGGAATTTTGATAGTTTTTGTTAAATTATCTTAAGTTTTGTTGTTCTATTCTATAATGATAGCAGGCTGTTTTTTGGGGGCATTCTGTCTACTAGGATATTTCTTCTGAAATGTCATTGATTACTGGGGATTTTCTTAACATCACTAAACAGTCACTCCCGATATAGTACTTAAGTCAATACCCATCCATATCATTGATGTATATATATTTTTGTATCAGCTTTAAATTTTAACTAAAATAGTGCCATTACCTTTACGTGCATGTCTGTAAACTATCAGCAGAAGATAAAGTATAATTATAATGATTTTGATCATGAGACAGTAAGATACACAAATAGAGAATCTGTCTGACACACTGACATTCTTGTAATAAATCATTTATTCAGGGAGTGCTTACATTTTTTTTTCTCTCCCAGAAATGTATAAATTATTTGGAGGAAATACTGGTTACATTTTCTCAGAGATTGTAAATGTGTTAGGCATTAACTTGTTTTACAAACCTAATTTCTTAATTAAATCAATCAAATTGCTAGTGTACAGTAATTTTATTAGTACAGGTCAGTTTCAGCATAAATCTTCATTAACCTCAAATTTACATCTTATTTTTATTTCCATCATGTGTGCATCATAGGATAGTATCAAGCCTACAAGTCATCTCATCCCAAACAACTAATGATATTTGTAGTTTTAGCACACACCTTATCAGACTTCTCCTTAATTCTGTATAGCTCCCCTATGAATGGACATTACTGCAGCCAATTACCATGGCTGACATTATCCCTGACAGAATCTGTCAGAACTATAAACACTAGCACTATACTATGTCACAAAAACTCCATACAAACATATTGATTGTAGACCTGTTTGTGGGGAAAGTCGGGTGTAGAATGACCTGTTGTTAGGATATGTGTGTTCTCACTGACAAACTTATAAATATTTAAAAGGATATTGCTGTAAAAAACAACTGCGTCTGTAACACATAAATACATGGCAATATAAAATTTCAGTACACAAGATGGTAATTTTTCTGTTGTTTTCTATACACAAAGTTAGCATTTTGAACTTTTGTCATAAAGTAGCCTATATCTGTTACTTAATGACATTAAAATTTACTTAAAAGACATTTAATTACAGGTAAATGCTTGTTATCATAAAAACTTATGAATTGTTTTTGTTAACATGTAGAGATTTTGCAATGTATACAATGCCATGTTTCACATATTACTAGCATAACAAATGTCACTTCTTTTTAAAGAATGTACATGATTTGTCGAATTTAGCCTATTAATGATAGGAAAGAAAGTGGGCCGGGAAGCTGAGTCAGTTGCTGACTGACTTGCAATCTTTTGCCCTTCATCATTGTAGTTTCCAATCACTTTTAGGACAACAGTTTATTACTTCTTGTAAGATAGATACTTGTATAAACTGTGTGTAGGACTGTTTTCCTTCTATAGCAGGGACCATTATAGGGCTGCTTCCTTAAAGAAAAAATCTTTAAAAGTCATGTAGTTTCCCCAAAAATTGAATTTACATCGAGTTTTTTCTTCCCCTTTTACAATTATACTGTGTATTTTTTTCCCAAAATTAAGGGCAGGGCTGCTTCCCCAACCTCTTAATTAAAAGAAGTCCCAAATACACATATCCTGCTAGGTTGTAGAAAGGTCAATTGGTTCCTTGGGAAATGATGGAATATTGTTAAATGACCATGACAGTATCATTGTGACTGCCCCTGCGAGAATTCCATGAATAATTCATGAACTGTTCATGAACATATTCATGGACAAGTTCATGAATGTGCATGAACAACAAATGAGACTTTTTTTCGTTCATGAATATATGTTCATTAACATTCATGAATATATCGATTCATGAATTGTCCATGAAAGAAAAAAGTCTCATTTGTTGTTCATGCACATTCATGAACTTGCTCAAATGCACATTCATGAAATTGTTCATGAATATGTTCACGAACAATTCCAAAAACTTCTCCCAGGGGTCATAATAATGTGACATCACAATCAATTTTCATTTAATTCTAAAGACTGCTGATTTGTACCAGCCATAAAATGCACAATAGGACAGTGTTTTAGTACAAATACAAAACACAAAAGCCCATTACACAGGTAATGAAACTTGTTAAACACTGTGCTCATTGATTCCCTATGTAACAAATTGAATTTGTCATTAGAATTCATGACTTGCCAGTTTGCTCTTCAATTTATTTCTTTGACACAATTTTTCCTAAGATTTTATATAGTCCATTATGTAAATACATCATTTTTCGTTCATTTTGCTAAGTCATTGTTATTTATTCCATTTTCAAGTAAGTTTGCACCGAAAAGTTTGTTAAAACACATGTAGACCTTTGTTTCTGGCGGCCATGTTGACTTTGCATTATGGGTTTACCAAGGTCAGCCAACTCTTTTTGATGATCAAGTGAGTTCATGAACTCACGAGAGTTCATGAACTGAAATTTTTCAGTTCATGAGTTCTGTGAATTTTTTCTAACACTAAAAAGTATTCACAAAAAAAATAGGGTGGGTTAAATTGTAAAGACAAATTGTTTTTAAAAAGTTCATGATTATTTGTCAGCTTTGTTCAAATGAACATACCAAAATTGTTCATGAACAGAGCAAGAATGATGCCAAAATGTTCATGAACACATCAACTGATCATGAACAACCATACATATTCATGAACTTTGAATGTTCATTGAATATTTTGTTCATGAACATTTTCTGCCCAAGATGAATGAACAATTGAAAGATGTTCATGAATATTCATGAACTGTTCATTGAAAATTCATGAATTTGATGAACAATGCTTTCGCAGGGGGGGTGGAACATAAATCCCATCCCACTTGCAGGGGGGAAAAAAGGTGTTTTTTTTCTATCCCCAAGAATAAAAAAATTTTAAAAAAAAGCAAAACTTTTTAAGCACCCCAAAACTTTTTTTACAAAAATAATGCAAATTTTAATTTTTTTTATTTATTCTCTATAAATGTAGTTTAAATGTTGCTTTCATAATTAAATAACACCATCATTAAAATTTTATGATAAATTTATCACCTATTGTTTTTTATTTTTAAGTAAAAAGATTAAAAACTGCTAACAGTTTTTAATGGGTTTTAAAAAATTTTTTTCATCATTATTTAAAACAGGTTTTTTTGGAAAACTTTTTAAAAAATAACTTAAAGGGACATGTTTTTTTTTCTTTGGGAATTTAATGCTTCAATTTCTAGAAACTTTCCAAAAACTTTAAAATTTTTTAAAATTTAAAAAAAATTTAAAGGAAAAAATCACAAAACATTAAATATGTAGTTTAAAAGACATTTTTTAAATGCATTAAAGTGAAAAGGGTTTTATCTTTTTATTTAAAGTTATTTTCTGTTTTCATATAAGGAAGTAAGAACATAATTTTACCATGTATAAGAACATATACCAGTTATATAGTCAGACAGGGAGATGTCTAGCAGTATTATAATGACAGTAACAGGTTGTTGTAAGTCGTCTCTCTGGCAACAGGTCAAATATCCCAACAATTGATCATGCTTTACTTCATTCTATCCTAAACTTACAGTTGATTAGTAATTTACAATATGGACAATAGATTGAGTTTGAAGGTCAATGATCAATGTCTTAAATTACCTTCCATTATTGTCTCTCAATATATATTTTTCATCTCATTGTTTACTATGAAAGGCACAGCTGTAAGGTAAATTTTCTGTCATTTACACTAGGAAAACAATGTGAACTAATCTACCCTTATTAGAAATGCTGTTTGTGGCTTATACCTGAAATAGGAAGCAGTTTCATCTGCTCACTATTTAATTTTTCCTTTTAAAAAAGTCTTTTGGAAATTGGGAAACCTTGCCGTAGTGTAAAATATTTAATTAATTTTTCATTTTTTTAACACTCAATCCCGAATATTCCAAATCTCAGTAAAAATTTGAAAAAGTAAAACAAAATCTTTGTGTTAAAACCCTTTCCCAGGGATATTGAAAGGGGAAATTTGTTGGTTTAAAGTATTTCCTGGCTAGATATTGCTGCATAATTTCACTGTTCCTCCCTGTATGTTTTATTCCCTGTTGTATACAAGACAGATTATAAATCATTTGGGCATATACTGGTGGTCAGGATGCTTTATACTGTTTATGCTAATTCACTAGACAATCTTAGAGTTTTCTGAAACTTCTTAAGATGTTTCCTTCAATTCTAAAAGGTTTTGTCTCCTCCTTTTTTTATTCTTAAAAAATCTTTATTATCAATAATAATTTAAAAGCACCGTTGGATTATTTGCAAGCCTATATCTACACTTAAGTGCAAGTTCTTTCCTGGTTCTTTGGATTGGTTAAAGTAATTAATTTGACTACCAGATGAAATCATTCTAACAATAGAGTTTTAAAAAGCGTTAAGAGAATATTGTTTCTGAATCAGATTTTTTTGAGTTCCCTAGGGAGTAAAGTAAGGAGAAAACTGTAAAGATGTGTGAGATTATTGTAAGATATGTCAGACATGAATCATTGTATGACCCATATCTCCATACACTGTCAGATCAATACATGAGTAACAACATAACAAAATCAATCAAGTCTTCTTATTGACCTTAATAAACAAGATCATGTTCTGCCTTATTAATGATAGCATGTTCTCTGTCGACTCTTATTGGAAAGTAAAGGTATGTGATGTAATTTCCATGTTCACAATCATTACCATTTATAGAATAAGCCCATAGAAAGAAGTTACATCGTTTTCATTGGTGTTGTTAGGTTTTACATTAGCATATCTGACATTTATTTTATTTCCACAAATAACATTGAAGCATAACAGGTGTTTTAATTTAATTTTATTGTATAAAAATTCAGACCACATCTTGTAATAAAGTTTACCTGATTTACATATTGAAGAAATGATTTCTGTTTGGTTTATATGGTGAAAAAAATCATAAAATTTAATGACTTCGAATAACTTTGCACTTGCTTGGCTATTACAAGTTTACATTTCTAAAATTACATTTTAGCTATATGGTATTATGATAAGATTATATTAGTCTAATTATATATTTTATCAAAATAGAATTTTGCCATACCCCTTCATTTTGGGCATATTGGGGTCAAATTTTATTCTTCAAATTTTGACAAATTAAAGGGTGTTTAACTGGTCATGGGTTAAAACTTAAATTTTTTTTTTAAAATTGGATGGGTAGAAAACCAGGTTTTAAAAAGGTTTTTCTGTTGTCCCCTTTATTTAAGTTTGCCCAGTACAGGTTTTCTGTATTTATGTTAATTATGAACATTTTAATTTAAACTGGTGCTTTTACTTTTAAAAAATTTCCCAAACGGGCATTGATCAGAATTAAAAGTTTGATGCCTTATTATAAAATAAATTCCCATCTGATTAATTATCAGATTTTTTCATTAAGAAATGTTTCATGGAATGCTTAAATCATTGGAATAAAAAACAAAGTTTGTCTTTTAATCACTTGAAAATCAATGATCCCCAAAAAAATCAAGTTAAATTCTCTGGAATAGTCAAAAAAGATTTGAGGGTTTTTTAAAAAATTGGGTCTGTGGTCTTTTCTACCAACCAGAGACCCAAGAAATAAAATTATCCCTTTGTAAACATTAAAATTTTGTTTTTTATATAACTTTTTAAAATTTTTACGGGTTTTCTGGTTCATACAAAGACTATTTTTTGGAAACTTTAAATGATTGACAAGGAAACAAAAACCCTTTTAGATTTAATTTTGTTGCTTTCAAAAAATTTTTTAAAAAAAAAAATACATAAACAAGTTTGACTTCGGGTTAATTTTTCCTTTTTCCTCACAACTTTGACATTACTGTGATGTTCTTATGCAAGACATTATATAGTTATTTGGATATCAATTGTAATATTGATATCAATTGTAATTTGTTTATCATTTTTAATTTGGATTTCAATTTTAATTTAGATGTAACTTGTAATTTAGATATCAATTGTTATTTTGATTTCAATTGTAATTTAGATATCAATTGTAATTTTAGTATCAGTTGTGCTGGTTTAACATGTACTGTAAGCATTTATTGCTTTAATGAAGGATTTACTGTGGACATATATAGTCACAGACTTTTGTTTTGTTTCCAATCATCCACAAAGTGAATATGTTATCTGTTTAATGATCTTAATTGTAGATTAAACTTGAACCATTCCCAAACAGTTGCTAAGTTAAATCTCTGGAAGCTAGACATATAATATGGGGTTACAAGAAAGTAAATGAGACACAAGACTTTTTCTGGCTAGTCTGTAATAGTATAGACTGAAAGTTACGGTATTCAATATATTGAATATATAGTTATGTACATGACCCTAATTCATAGAAATCTAAACATTTTAATGGTTAAAGGTAAAGTTTTTCTGTCCACAAATTTTTTTAACAAAGACCTTAGTATCTATTATGTGAAATCTGCTGATATAATTATGATTGAATATTATAGTTATGGTTTTTTGTTTTTTTGTTTTTCAGTGCTGCGTATGACAGTGTTACAGACACAAATGTTGCAATAAAGAAATTAAGTCGGCCATTCCAGAATGTAACACATGCAAAACGTGCTTATAGAGAATTTGTCTTGATGAAGTTAGTGAATCATAAAAATGTAAGTTTACTATTTTACACTTAAGATGTACCATTTAATTTAGAATACTTTAAGTTGACAATGAATTGATGAAAAAGATCTTTGAATTCAAAATGATCTTTCTGTAGCGACTTAGTTTTCAATGTTTGTGTACACTTGGGGAATGTTTTGCTTGTAGTCTTGAATGTATGGTATGGCTTATTAAATTTTGACTTTATATGTAATGTCTGAAAAAGGAATAATTTCATTATTTTGGAAATATTTCTGTTATCTTTAAGATGATTCACAAAATAATGTAAATGGCAATAGTTTGTGTGGTTATGGCATTTATTCTGTATTTCATTCAGAGACTTTCAAAAATAAAAATAAAATGTCTGCTCCAGCCAAAACATTTCACAACAAGAGTTAAACTTGATATGTCTGTAAGTGTTATGTCACCTAGTTTAGAGGGTATAAGTCTATAATGAATTGTTCCACATTCACAGTTATACTCAGTCTCTCTTGGCATAGAAAACAGATTTTACTCTCATTGTCTGACAGTTGAAATAAAAGACTATTGATTTCTGGTGAAATGTTTCTTTATCCGTTTGTTTTAATTGTCACTAACCACGCAATATACATTCACAGGAAACATGCTTCTTCTCTTATATTGTATGTCTTTGTTAATTGCTTAAAAAACAATCTTAGAATAATTATTTTGCTATGTATATATGATTTATATATTATATTAAAGTTCTTTCTATTAATACCAGTATATTTTGCCAATTTTTAGCTCGACTTTTCTATGAAAAGGGGAGCTATCCTACTCGCCCCGGCGTCGGCGTCGGCGTCGGCGTTGGCGTCACACCTTGGTTAAGTTTTTCGTACCACCCCACTTTATTTCAGAAGTATTACAAGTATGGCTTTGAAACTTACCATACTTGTTCACCATCATAACCTCCATCTACAGACAAGAGTACATAACTCTGTCAAGGTTTTTGACAGAATTATGGCCCTTTTTTGACTTAGAAAGTGTATTGAGCTTGGTTAAGTTTTTTGTACCACCTCACTTTATTTCAAAACCATTGGAGGTATTGCTTTGAAACTGACCATACTTGTTTACCATCACGACCTTCATCAACAGACAAGAGGACATAACTCTGTCAAGGTTTTTGACAGAATTATGCCCCTTTTTGACTTAGAAAATACATTGAATATGGGTAAAATCCACTTATTGCCTTAACCCTTTGAGATATTGCTTTGAAACTTTTAATGCTATTTCACATCATTACCCCCATCTGTACGCAAGAGAAGGTAACTCTGTCAAGGATTTGTTTTAAAAATTAAGGCCTTTTATCGACTTAGAATCTTGGTTAAGTTTTTAGTACCAGTCCACTTTTTGACTGAACTGTTTGAGATATTAATTTGAAAGTTGGAATACTTGTTTACAATCATGATTCTCAAACATGTCCAGGAGAAGGTAATTCTGTCAAAGATTTTATTTGAATTATGGCCCTTAACTGTCAATGTTTTGTATTATAGGCAAGCACTAAAAAACTTAAAAAATCTTAAAAAAATTCATTCCTATCCACTTGTTCACTTTACCATATATATGTCATATAAACATTGCTGTGTGAAAGAGATCCACTTGTGACCAACTGACAACATCTAAAAAAGCTTGATAAAATTTATCTATTACTTGTATTATAAGGTAACTATAATACTTTCACATACAAAGTCAAATCTATATATTATGCTGATTGTACAAAAATATACTGCTTCCTTGGCATAGATTTCTTGAAAAATTATGTTATTATGTCATTTACCAAGGTGTTCTGAGTGACGTAAAAATACCTTATTCTCTTCAAAGTGGGTTTAATACTATTAAATTTATTTAAGGCTCAACTCAGTTTTTTTTTCTTTCTTACCAGCCCTCTTTTGACTTAAACATTTCAAACTTTGCTGCAGTGTTCAAGGGTATCACACAATTCAGTAAAATAATTCTTCACTAAATATCTTAATGCTCATGGCCATTGTTCACTTTAAAAATACAGAGATTCTTGTATTGCCTTTTACTGCAAAAACTTTTTTTATTGGCAAGCAATAAAAAAGTCGAGCGCGCTGTCTTACGGACAGCTCTTGTTATAATTAAAATACCACAATTTATTATTATTGAAGATTTCTGTCTATTTTCTGACATGGACGTTGTTGAATAACTAATTATGGTTGCAATTATGAATATTATGAAACAAAATATTTGAAACATGATTAAATTTATTGAATTTTATATTTGCTTGTTAAATACAATTCCCATGGGAAATTTATAGAAATAGTAAAATATTAGATGAAAGTACCAAACACTGGTTTAATTAAGTTATTGAGCATTTCTCCCCTCAAGGTTATTCCAGTAAAACTAAAATAGACATTTACTTAATTGCTTTCAAGAACAATACAGTAATGCTCTCTTATACTTCCATAAATCCTGTACTGAATTTTTCCCCATTATTGAATTTTTGTACTTATTGTTCTATTTAGTCACATTTTATTATATTTGGTAATTATAATAGTTATTTTCTGAATAAGTTTTGTAATAAAGTATATGTTGTTCTATGAAGACTTATTTGTTATATAAAATATGAATTTTTCAGATTATTGGTTTGTTGAATGCTTTCACACCTCAGAGATCTTTAGAAGAATTTCAAGATGTGTAAGTGTGGTAACATATTGTTTATCAGATCATTAACTGTTTTATATTACAAATCACCTACACCTTGTTACAGTTAAATATTTAGTATTGTTTCTCTTTATTGTAATAATTTAAGCCCTCATAGAGGTGTCTGTGGTGAAGTGCCCCTCGCCCCAGTGGGTTCAAATCCCACCAAGGACTTTGGATTCTTTCATGTGAGGAGGCTATCCAGCAAACTAACAGAATGTCAGTGGTTCTACTGGTATGCTGGTTTATGCCTGAAATAATGTACAGAGGGGCACCTGAGGTCTTTCTCCACCAGTAAAAGCAGGAAAGTCACCATATATGACCTTTAAAACGTAATACCCAACAAAAGAAATAAAAAAAAAGTCTACATATTTACCATTGACCTGTTAAATATCTTAAATGGACTGGTTTATTTTTAAGCCTCGACAAAACCATTTGAGCCGCGTCACGACAAAACCAACATAATGGGTTTGCGACGCAGTCTGATCAGGATCCATGCTGTTAGCTATCAGTTTCTCTACTTGTAATAGGGTTGGTAAGCGAACAGCATGGATCCTGATCAGACTGCGCGGAAGCGCAGGCTGGTCTGGATCCATGCTGGTCGCAAACCCATTACATTGGTTTTGTCGTGACGCGACTCATTTATCATTTTTAGGGAAATTTTGTAAATATATACTTACAGAAAAAGAAACTGTGCAGTTCTTGATTAGACAGCATGGATGTGCTTGCTGATCTTGGTCTGCACAGGTTAAATGGGTATGTTCACCTGCAGGCCAAGGGTTTGAAAAGAAAGATCATTGTTTACAGTAAGAAATTCTAAGCAGAGAAACTGTGGGCCCCATAGTGCACACTAGTGAATTATATACATGTTATCAAAGTGATTTAAAAAGAATTGTCATTGTTGCTTTCTTTAACACTTACAGATATCTAGTCATGGAATTGATGGATGCCAACTTGTGCCAAGTTATACAAATGGATCTTGATCATGAAAGAATGTCATATCTGCTTTATCAAATGCTTTGTGGTATAAAACATTTACATTCTGCTGGAATAATACACAGGGTAAGTGACCAGTATATTATATTGTGTAGTTCTTCAGTGGTAAAACCTCATGTCATAGTGAAGTGTTGCATAAGTGGTTAAGCTATCATGTCATATGTTGGCGATGTACAGGGGATACTAAGCACAGTAATATATCTTTCTATGTTGTCACCCGGGGATATGGAGACAGTTTTAAGTAATGATAAGTCTGATGTCATGATAAGGTTTCATGCCAATGTGTCTACAACATGTTATTTCACTTAATGCTTATTGCTGTAAGTAGAAACCATTGCCTATACTTGTATATTTATGTCTGTAACAAAAGCTGGAAAAGTTGCCATATGACCTTAACTGTGTTGTGCCTTTAAAACTTAGTACCCCATATAAAATATGATATAGACTTAAGAAATATGAAAATTATTCCGATCTTTTCTTTGTGAACACGGGGCCTGCAGGCCAAGGGTTTGAAAAGAAAGATCATTGTTTACAGTAAGAAATTCTAAGCAGTGAAACTGTGGGCCCCATAGTGCACACTAGTGAATTATATACATGTTATCAAAGTGATTTAAAAAGAATTTCATTGTTGCTTTCTTTAACACTTACAGATATCTAGTCATGGAATTGATGGATGCCAACTTGTGCCAAGTTATACAAATGGATCTTGATCATGAAAGAATGTCATATCTGCTTTATCAAATGCTTTGTGGTATAAAACATTTACATTCTGCTGGAATAATACACAGGGTAAGTGACCAGTATATTATATTGTGTAGTTCTTCAGTGGTAAAACCTCATGTCATAGTGAAGTGTTGCCTAAGTGGTTAAGCGTCCATGTCATATGTTGGAGATGTACAGGGGATACTAAGTACAGTTATATATCTTTCTATGTTGTCACCCGGTGATATGGAGACAGTTTTAAGTAATGATAAGTCTGATGTCATGATAAGGCTTCATGCCAATGTGTCTACAACATGTTATTTCACTTAATGCTTATTGCTGTAAGTAGAAACCATTGCCTATACTTGTATATTTATGTCTGTAACAAAAGCTGGAAAGTTGCCATATGACCTTAACTGTGTTGTGCCTTTAAAACTTAGTACCCATATAAAATATGATATAGACTTAAAGTGATGTGACATTATGCCCATCCATGGGTAGATATAAAGTGAACAGGTGAAAGTCAAAATAAGTTAACATTTTCTCATAATTCATTTCAATTATATAATTTACTTCACATGAACGATAACTAACTCACTTAACCCTGTGAAATAGGTGTAATTATCCGTCGGAATGTATCTGTAACTTTCAATTTATAAAAAGAGTGGGACAGTCTTTTTATATATTTAGGTAGATTTTTTTACCCTAAACATTTTCAAATATCATGTGTTGGTCAATTACCATTATAACGACCAGTTTATTGAAATATATAGAATTAAAGTCAATTTGACAATGAAGAAATTAGCATCATGTCACTTTAAGAAATATGAAAAATTATTTCTTTCTATAGTTTTACATTTCTGTATGAGACATAGTAAAGTATAAGACAGGGTATTAAAACTTTGTCTTGAATTTTGTCTGCACAGGTGATTATATGTATTGACTTAAAACATAAAGACCATTTTGAGTTCTATATAGACAGATGTCTGACACTTTGTAGTGTTTTAATCTCTGAGAAAACCACATCAATTTACCCCCCCCCCCCCCCCCTCAGCTTTAAACTATAGCTTAGAATCTGTAGTGAGAGATAGATAAAATAATTGATCAATTCAGATTTATATATTGTTACCTAATTTACAAACATTTATAGTTTGGTAGCATGATTATCAAGTTAATTGAATTAAACAGTGTCCAATGAAACAGATTAAAAGGTACCTGGAATCTTTATTCATCATAAACATTAAGGCATGAAACTTGTGATTCCCACATAAAAGAATTAATCAATTCAGATTTATTACCTAATTTACAAACATTTATGGTTTGGTAGCATAATTATCTAGTCAGTAAAATAAAACAGTGTCCATTGCAAATAGACTTAAAGGTACCTGAATTCTTCATTCATCATAAGCATTAAGGCATGAAAGTTATGATTCCACCATGACTATGCCAGCAAAAGAATGAAAAGGATGAAAATTACAAGTACACAACAGTGGTATAGAATTTTTCTTTTGTTTATTTGGTTAGTAATTGATTTTGTTGAAATATTTCAGGATCTGAAGCCCTCCAATATTGTAGTGAAATCTGACTGTACATTGAAGATATTGGACTTTGGTTTAGCAAGAACGGCGGGTACCGGCTTTATGATGACACCTTATGTTGTTACAAGATACTATCGTGCACCAGAAGTCATTCTTGGTATGGGATATAAAGAAAATGGTAAGCTATAGATTTCTTTATATTTTGTTTTTTCATAACAATTGTTTAAAGCATATTTAGTGGACTTCTTTTCTTGTTTGTATGAAGTCAGAAGAGGTATTAATCAGACAAAATGGGTAGCTAGCTTGGACATTTCAAGATGTCTAGTTGTCTTGTTATCCAGCTCATACTTTCATCAATTACCTGTTCAGCCTACAGTTATAATTATAGCAGTTTAGCTGAAATGATTTAAGGTATAGCTTCAAAGATAATGTATGTTTTATATAAGATAGTCATAACTTTTGATAATGACTAAAATGCTAGGAAAATGACAGTATGCTGAGGTTATATATTCTACCAATAATATTTTCATTAAGTAAGAAACAACAACATATCTTAGCCAGTTTGGTTTTATAGATAACAAATTTAGACGATGTGTGGGAAGTTTGTGGTAAATGAAGAATTTTGTATATGTTTCAGTGGATATCTGGTCGGTGGGCTGTATCATGGCAGAGTTAATACGAGGGGGTGTCATGTTTCCAGGAAGTGATCGTATCCTTTCACAATCATCTTCAAATATTTTACATAATATTTATACTTAATTACTAAAGCTTCCACGCCTTTATTATTGTTATATATTAATATACCTGACGTGATATAAATTTGATGTCATTAATATAGGGATGCGATATCATGCAGTTTTGTTTAATAGGTGGACTGGAAAAGTTTCACTTTGTATGTTTAAGTTTGTCAAGATGTCATTTACATATGATATAAAAATGAAAAATAGATAAAAGATGGTGAATTACCATACTTATAATTTAGTATCAGACAGTTTTCAAAAATGAACAAGTATCTGAAAAGTTTTAACATGTAAGTGTCTCACCTCTATTTTTGTTATAGCATGGTATTCTCAGTAATTGTCATACTTCAACATCTTGTGTAAGATGTCAGCAAAAACAGTTATTGTTTATCCCGATTTTAATGTTTTCAGCCATATAACTAAACTATAAAAAACCTTATTTATCCTTAACCTAAGTACAGACATAGACCAGTGGAATAAAATCATAGAACAACTAGGAACACCTTCACAGGAATTTATGAAACGTTTACAACCAACAGTAAGAAACTATGTGGAAAATAGACCAAAATATGCCGGCTATAATTTCGAAAAATTGTTCCCTGATGTGTTATTTCCTCCAGACAGTACGGAACATCAAGGATTAAGATCTACATTTTCACGGGACTTGTTGTCTAAAATGCTTGTGATAGACCCTGATAAAAGAATATCTGTTGATGATGCATTAATGCATCCATATATAAATGTATGGTATGATGAATCGGAAGTTAACGGGGTAAGGATTTTAAAATTAGTAATTAAATTTAATTATTTTATCACTAAATACAATGTATGTGAATAGCATCACACAATGTTTGTATTATTAGCAAGCTGTCTTTTTGATGCAGACTCTCAGTAGGGACAAAAATGAATTATCTTTTCCAGCTTGAGATTTATCCCTTCTTGATATATGTTACTACACAAGATCGATTTCTGTCCCTGCTTGAAATTAATCCGTGTCCCTACTCAAGATTGATACTCAAGATTGATTTCTGTTCCTACTGTAGATTAGATTTAATTGTCCCTACTTGAGGTAACCATATCAAACATGTTAATTTCATGTAGGCATCTCAATTTACATCATAATTTGTGTAGCTAGATTTTATTTAGAGTATTTATTTTTCACATGTGACAGTTTTGTAGCTATTTCAATTTTTTTATACCATGCCTGATTTCACTAGGCCTGTTAAACAGTACCAAGTTTCTAAAGTGACATTTAGACTTAGATTTAATTTCTTGAATACTGCAACAACTTTTCACCACAAAAGTCTTCGACTGAGAAACATTGACATTCGATGTAATATTTCATTGGAAAAGTAAAAAATATTTCATAATTTCCAAGCATAATAAGCAATTATTGTAACCTTGTTTAAAATATAAGAAAAAAATCCAAGAAAAGATTTATTTTTTAGTATGTGCATTTCAAATTTAGAATTACACATTGTAACAACAAATTATGATGGAATGGATGTTTAAAATTTAAATTGAATACAATAAAAGACCTTTTTTGTCATTTCATTTCTATAAAATCATGATGAAAGACTGGATTCTGTATAATTTTACCCACTTAAGAAATATATGTCATAATTACAGACAATAAAATCCCTGGAGACAAATGTATGCTATATAATATGAGACAATTGTGATTGCTTTGTGCAGATATGATGTATGTGCTTGTTTGTAACTTATTTTTATGTAGAATTAAATAGTTTAGTACAGGATTTTGTCTATTGTTGGGGAAGGAATGTAGAAAGTGGGATATTTACAGTTGATTTGTCAAAATACTGTGGCACCTGTAACAAGTGCACTTCACAGACAAAAGTCATTTATAGTTAAGAGAAATTATTATTTCCAGAAACATTAAATATATGTAGATATTATTTATAGTCTTTCCTTGAGTCTATAATGTTTTTAAGAAAATAATAAGCTTTGAGATAACCTTAAAATAATTTCAAGAACATTTATAAATAAGATTTTCCTTTTAAAGCAGATTGTTTAAATAACAATTAAAACAGTTGATAACAATTTACATATAAACATTATAACATACTGAAAATGTGACCAATTTTTAAAAAAATGTAAATAAAAGGTACACAATATTATCGTTAATGTTTATATTAGATAGTATGTATAGGTTAAAGTTTATTGGTATGTATTTACAAAATTAAATAGGTCAGGCACGGCACTGCCGCACAATCAAATTAATTTTGTAAATACATACTACATTGTAATAAATTTTAACCAGCATAACGTTTTTATAAACAGTTGATTTACAAGACTGATTACAGAAAGTAAATGTGTTATGATTCATTTGAAATACTGCAATCCTATTGGACAAAAAATAATTCCAAACACTAAGTAGATATAAGAGTATATATGAGCCGCATCATGACAAAACCAACATAGTGCGTTTGCAAACCAGCATGGATCCAGACCAGCCTGCGCATCCGCGCAGTCTGATCAGGATCCATGCTGTTCGCCTACAAACCTTATTACAAGTAGAGAAACTGAAAGCGAACAGCATGGATCCTGAACAGCATGGATCATGCTGGTCGCAAAGGCACTATGTTGGTTTTTGTCATGACGCGGCTCATATATGTATGTATATATTACAGGCTGCACCGGGTGCCTACAACCATGCTGTAGATGAGAAGGAGCATACAGTGGAACAGTGGAAGGGTAAATGTCCTCTATATATATCTGTCATAGACTATTATTGGCATAATAGAACTGATTCACTTACTTTGTAAATTAAAACCCAGTGTTCTCACATTAATGAAGATCTTTGTACATGATTTAAATAAATTCATTAGTTTTAAAGTGTGTTAGTCAAGAAAGACTACTTCAGAGGGAAGAATTTAAACTCGAAACAACTTGTTTCACAGTAAAGTTTGAATAATTATGTTTTTTGATCCAGGTTAGAGTACACAATTATTTTGTAATAAATATCAAAATTTAAATCTGTTTTGACAGCTTTGCAATTATTTTATTGTGGTCAGTTAAATATGATATATTAGCTTGATTTTATGTGCCTCAGCTGTAATTTATGACCAACTGCCTTACCTGTGTGCTTGATTACCCAACTTTTGCATGATCTGGCATAGCGTATAATAGCAGCTATTTTCTTCTTTCTACTGGCATGTGAACATTTTAAATTCCTTTGTGATTTGCATAACTTATTAAGGTTTCTTCAATTCAGATTTTAATTAGTACTGTGTAACTTACGAATTACATTGCTTCTAAAATCTGGAAACTTCTGAAATCCGAAAGATTTGTCTTGTCACAAAATTGTTTCACCTATTTTCTATGTAATTAAAAAATGTACATAACTTCTTAATTCTGAATTGAGGACAAATTGTTGGTTAGATTTGGGTCAGGATAATGAAAATTCACTTCAAAATCTGGGGCTTTGAAATCAAAATTTAAAAACTTGCAAAATGTCTTAATTGCCCAGTAGGCAGTGACCATTTACTTTGACATTTATTAGAATCTAAAGTGTGACCATTTAGACAAAGATAGCTAGCAAAAACGTATTTACAGATCATGGTATTGTTTCTTAATAAAATAAATGAACACATTTTTGAAAAATCTTAAAAACTAGCCATGATTGTTGCAAGTGAAAGTAAAATTGAGCAAATGATACTCAGGTTTTGGCATTTCATGAAATTTCACCAGGTTCATCATTATGTCAGTGTTACAAATACTGTAAGATGTGAACAATTATTACTCGACTTACCTATATTCAAAACAACAGAGGTTTGACAATTATACTTCAAAAGTTAAACTGTATTTTAATATCTGAAATAGTGAGGATAATGGGGTACTTTGCTGTGATTATTTGGCATTTTAAGGTGTTAGTTTTTTTTCTATTTGGAGATTATGGATTAAGATTGAGTATTATTTTTATATAGTGTTGATTAATTTTTGTCTTGATTCATTAAATAAGTTAATACCTGCAGGCATTTCAAATTTGAGAATTCTGGCATACATCAAAACTATCATGGTGACTAAGCCTATATAAAAGCCTGTACATGCATTTCCATGGAATTGCTTTTGACATGTGTAACAGTTGTCTAAATATTCTAGTAATAATTGATCTCTATAATACATGATATCTTTAAATAGATTGATTTGTAAGAAAATTCTTTTAAAGTTTAGTATAAAAACATGTGTTTTGTTTTTATATTTTCAGAATTGATCTACAATGAGGTAATGGAGAATGAAAGTAGAGGTTACCAGAATGCAGCTATGCAAAACCATACTGGTACCTAGCTTTATATATATCCCTGATATATACATTGTCAGGTGTGTAGCTGAATCCAGGCTGCAAGATTAAGCCCTGGTCTAACTAAGCTGAGCTAGTATAGTATGGAGGCATGCTGTTCTGGGAGATATTAAATGTTTTAGAAACAGAAGCTTCTGTTATGTGTTATTGGGGTATAGGGTATTCATTGATCAATGTAAGTTAAGGGATCAATGGTCTGTTGCTGAACCTACAAGTGAGGGTTTGAGAATTATCTGGGTCATAAACATGTTTACTCTCGTGACATGAGAACTTGTCATAGATACAGATACGAGGGTGACTGAAATGATGTTACTCCTCCCATTCTTACTAAGTTATAATGAACAAGTTTGTAGTCTTAATTCATCTATGCACCTGACTGAAGCCTGAATCATTGTAAAGATTTGCTATTCTTTACAATGTTGTCTGATAAGAGATATTCAAAACTAAAGATATAATGAACAATAATTTTTCACAATATATTCATTATACCCCCGCACAACAAAGTTGTAAGGGGGGTATACTGGAATCAGGTTGTCCGGCAGGCCGGCCGTCCGTCGGTTTTTTCTTGTCCGCCCAATAACTTAAGATTCCTTTGACCCTTAGTCTTCATATTTGGCATGGAGGTTAGTCATGATTAGTAGATGACCCCTATTGATTTTGAGGTCACAAGGTCAAGGTCACAGGGGCCTTGACTTTAAAAAGCTTGTCCGCCCAATAACTTAAGATTCCTTTGACCTACAGTCTTCATATTTGGCATGGAGGCTAGTCATGATTAGTAGATGACCCCTATTGATTTTTAGGTCACCAGGTCAAAGGTCAAGGTCACAGAGGCCGTGACTTCAAAAACCTTGTCTGCTCAATAACTTAAGATTCCTTTGACCCACAGTCTTCATATTTGGCATGGAGGTTAGTCATGATTAGAAGATGACCCCTATTGACTTTGAGGTCACCAGGTCAAAGGTCAAGGTCACAGGGGCCGTGACTTCAAAAAGCTTGTCCGCTCAATAACTTAAGATTCCTTTGACCCACAGTCTTCATATTTGGCATGGAGGTTAGTCATGATTAGTAGATTACCCCTATTGATTTTGAGGTCACCAGGTCAAAGGTCAAGGTCACAGGGGCTTTGACTAAAAAAAGCTTGTCCGCCCAATAACTTAAGATTGCTTTGACCCACAGTCTTCATATTTGGCATGAAGGTTAGTCATGATTAGTAGATGACCCCTATTGACTTTGAGGTCACCAGGTCAAAGGTCAAGGTCACAGGGGCCTTGACCATAAAAAGCTTGTCTGTCCAATAACTTTAGATTCCTTTGACCCACAGTCTTCATATTTTGAATGGAGGTTAGTCATGATTAGTAGATGACCCCTTTTGATTTTGAGGTCACTGGATCAAAGGTCAAGGCCACAGGGACTTTGACTTCAAAAAGTTTGTCCACCCATTAACTTAAGATTCCTTTGACCCACAGTCTTCATATTTGGCATGGATGTTGATCATGACCATAAGGTGACACCTATTGATTTTGAGGTCACTGGGTCAAAGGTCACAGGGACCTTGACAAAAAAAAGCTTTTCTTCTCAATTGCTAAAGAATGCCTGTCCGCAGTGTATTGATTTTGACATTTTCACATTTGAAGCATGTAGAATACATAACTTAGCAATGCACTGGCTTAGTAACCTCAGATTTGGCAGGGAGGTTGTCCTTGAGCTCTAAATGGCCACTGTTGATTCTGACAAAGTGGTATGCGGGGGTATTCACGCCATGATAGTGGCAGTTCTAGTTATTTTTCTTGTACAAACTGTTAGGCTTTAATTAAAATTAAATAGGTTTTTATGCACTCCAATTAAAGATTGGGAGCATACTGTGGTTGGTTTGTATGTGTGTCTGTCCGTCTATATGTCGCCTCTAACTTGTCTGATCAGCAAGTTGTGAAAAAATAAGATTGTTTATATGACTTGGTAGGGATATTGCACTTGGCCAGTAGAGGGTACCTATTGATTTTCCTATCAGAAGGTCAAAGATCAAGGTCAATTGGCCTTGATTACTGAAGGCTTGTTCGACCCATTACTAGGGAACATTTTATCTACAGTTCTAACATTTGGAGTGAAAATTTGAATGACTAGTCAATGATCTCTATTGATTTTGAGGTCAGTAGATCTGTGGTCTAGGACACCATGTCCGACCAAGAATTTGAGAAGACTGGCCTTAAGTTGTAAGATTTGGTGTGGAGATTGGTCATGGCCATTTGATAATTGCTATTGCTTTTGAGATCAGAATTATGTCAAAGGTCAAATGCAACCATGACCTTGAGCACTAAAATCTTGTCCGGCCAATAACAGGGAATGCTGTGGCCTTCAGTGCCAAGATTTAGTCATGATTTGTAGATGATCACAATGACACTTAGTTCAGTAGGCTTAGTTTTTATGTTTTGTTTTTAACTTAATAGGGTGATTGCCCATAGCCAGTAGTTGCTACCTGTTGATATTAAGGTAATTGGGTCAAAGATCACTGTGTTGATTTTAAGGTAATTGGGTCAAAGATCAAGGTCACAGTGATACACAGAGTGTTAATTCTTGTATACCTGAAGAACGAGAGTTTTCATGGTATATATTTATGTCACTGTGACAGCAAAACTGGGTGCATAATTGTCCTATGTACTCATTTCTAGTTTTATTTTATTTATATTTATACATAGTACTGAATGTGTTATATCCTCAGTTCAATTTTTTAGTAGATCTAGAAATCAGCCTTTTAATTAATTTGATGTACTTTTACATGTCAAAATCTAAATTTCAGTTAAAATATTGATGTATATAGGTTCTTTTGAAAGCTCATTTAGCTGGCTTTGTGAAATTTATAGTGATTACTATTTTATATAAATAAAGACTGCCCCAATTTTATGTAATAAAATGAATGTGATATATTTTGAAATCAAGTTGTATGACTTGCTTACATTTCCAATTTTAGCTAATTGTAGATGTAACATTTCAAAATATTCATCTTACCGTATATTTAGACAAAAATTTAGTACTCACTGACAACATTTAAGTTTGTTGGTTTGACGATTTAAAAGATGTATGATACAGTAGGTATAGAGCATATAGATATACCTGTCATGTCTGTCTGTCCTGCTGCCCAGCCTTTCATTTGAGGAAGCTATTCAGCTAATTTATGAAATAATGCATTGAGGGGCACCTAAGATCTCACTCTACCAGTAAAAATAGAAAGTCGCCATATGACTTATACTTGTTTTGGTGGGATGTAAAACCCAACCCAAAAAATACACACAAAAAAACACACTCCAACAAAATCTATTATACAGTTTTAATCAGTACTTCTACAGTATATGAATCTGAAGCATATTTTAAGTACACATATTTAAATGAAAGCTGTTTAGACTTAGAATACTAGATGATATGGTATCATCTCTAGAGACTCCAAATAAGACTTGACCAGAATGACCTGAAAATCTGGTCTATAACAATCTGCTAACTTTGAGTGTTTGATGGCCAATGGTAATCACTTCAAACTTGTACTATAAGGATCACTAGTTGTGATTTAAACTACGCCAGGGGCAGGCTGTTGCGAAACTTAAGCGAGAAACTTTACATTCAATATTTTGTACTTATTAGTTGCAAGAATGGATTTGAAAGTGTGTCTATAAGCTTAAATGCAATTAAAGAATAGTTTGATGAAATAAAAACTACATGTAATAAACTTAAAAATGATCTCAACAAGATTAATATAAATGCAGTTTAATAATATAAGTTATTGATATGCAAGTTCAATATTGTTATATTTTACAAAATGTTTGTATTTATTTCTCTGACTACAGATGTAAAGGTTTTCATTAAGATTAAACAACAATCACTCTTGTTACACACAAAGTCTTATTTTGTTATCACTTGCAAACATTATGTACAGTATATCAGCATCATTTCCATTTGAACTTTTGCCTGCATTAACAGATTGTATTTACATAAAATGGAATACACATACATGCACATTATACTACACACTCTATTTATGATTTATGTTATCAGTGTTGGAACAATACATCTATACATTTTACATTTATATTTGAATACCAGACTCAATTCATGAGTAACAAGCTTAACAACTGACTTCAATATACATGTATATGAAATTTATCAATTTAGCTTATTTTTAAATTTTAGGTTGAAATTTTAGGCAATAGATTGTGCAATAACATTTTAAGCTACTTTTTACTTGACTATTTGAAGAATAGGGAGAGCTATTGTATACATTAAGGCGTCCGCTTCGCTGTCACATTTTGTTAGGTTTTTGTTGGCAAGTTGGTATATTTGATACTACTTAAAGAGAATGGGTTGTTTTCTATGATTATCTAACTTGATGGTAACAGGTCCCATAACTCTTGAGTTTCCTTTTTACTCAGTTATGCACCTTTTCTTACTGTCAGGCACTTAGAATAGTCAAATGCACATCCAGTATGGATGGCTTTTGTTTACTTAGTAAATAACAATGTTGCTATTGATTACAAATAAGAATACAGTACTGGGTATTTGTAAAAATGATTCAGAAGTGTGTATACAGTTACTGTGCATAAAAAGTTTTCGGATAGTAATTGAGATAACAACTCTGATAACTTACCTCTGTCATCAATATGGTAGTTAACAAGAGTGAAAGGTTCATATTTAAATCTGTTCCAACTATGAATAGTTGAAATTCAAGTACATAAATACAGCATTGTAAAAATTGCTGCCCTTGAAATCGTGAAAAATGTAAAGTACAGTTGTTAAAAGAAACACTTGTGCTATATAATATATATTTCAGTACCGGAAGGTGCAGGAAACAACGAGGCCATGATGGACGGAATCGCTAGCGCATCAAAAAGATAACCATTCACTTCAAGTCTAGATTGTATTTGACCATTTACCATATGCTTGGACGCTCTTTTCCATAATTTGGACAATTATTCAAATACGTTTGGAGTAATCTTCCAGACTTGCTGCATTTCCTTGGAAATCTGTTTTACATGATGGCGATGTCATGCAAACTGAGGGCATATTTTCATTCAGGACAAGACCTGATATTAAAAAAAAAGTGAATAGTTTTGTATTGTGATCTATTTTGATGTTACTGAAAGTTTAAAGAACTTTGATACGTGTACACTATATGCAGTTTGTTACGGAGAGTTTTAAATGTTATATGTGAGCCATATTGTGTTACACATTAAGTGTAAGTTTAAACATGACAGTTCAATAATGTCCGAGCCGTAAATGGCCGATATAATTGGATGTCCCGTTCTAAGTTACGTATCATCATACTGGTTATATCATGTATATTCTTTTATTTATGTTGTTTTATACTGTATTATACTGGTCTAGAAATACAATAACTTTATAACTGTTAATAGTGTCCTGCATGGCAACAGAAATTATGATTTTAATGTTATATTGAAGCTTATTAAAGATTTTCTAATGGTTTTATGTCAATAATTAATTATCTGTGTTATTTGAATCAACTTCAGTCTATTTATTCTGTTTTAATCAACTTTGATACAGGTTTTAAAGGTTATATTTAGTTTAAAACACAATATTTTGATGCCTTTATATGTAAAGATGGGTGTAATGTTGTCATGTATTTAACAGGGTGATCTTAAGATAACACCTCAATATTGTACATAGGAAAGACAGACTTTAGAATAGCTCTGTTTGTAAAATACTCATATAATGTATTTCCATTTTGTACATGCATGTATAAAGTCATGTAAATTGTTTTAATATATGTTTTTAGATTTTAAAATTTTAATATTTAAGTCCATTAAATATGAAGATAGATTAAGATATTTTAATCTCTGGGCTATTTTACTATTTACTAAGTATCTGGTGTACACAATAGTTCCAAAATATTGACAGTATTCATAGATGGTTAATTTTTGCCTGAGCTTTTTTATCTAATTACAGCATATATTGTAATGTTAATATCAGATTTGTGTCGATAATTAACAGTAAATTACTTTCTCAATAAGAAGGGGAAAAATTGAAATAGGATTGAAGGAATAATAAAATTTCATGAATTTCACTCTCTCAGTAAACTTGTTCAGCAATCATTGGCTTATAGCTTACCTGTGAAAGGAGAATTTAAATCATAAAGTTATGAGGGTTAATATATCTGCTGTCAACATTTAACTGATAGCTTCAATTCTTTCACTAACAGGAGACTTGCAGAAAAGACCAGTAGTTTCTGTTTATATGTTATCATAGAAAAGACAATAAAATAAGAAACAAGTTTCAACACTATCTGTTGACAGGCAGATATTAAGAGTTGAAAGGTTTTTGATTAACAGTAGATATTTGTTAGAAGAGATTGAGTAAAGAATAAGTATTTATCATGTTGCCAGGGAGTTTTATCAGTTCATGTTGTATCATAAACACATTCCTTATTGAAACCTGTCATGCAATGTATATGTATATAGTTTGTGCTTTCTGTTATTTATAACAGACTTTAGAATGGTTAACATAGTTAACAATAACATTTAACTGTAACATCTGGAATAGGAACACATTTGATTTGCTGAATATTACACTTTTTGCTCTCTTTTTTTTATCAATAAATACAAAATGCTTTTTTTTCTTCAAAGAAATAAGAAATTTTATTGATGTAGCAAAAGTGTAAAAAGATCTGTTACTTGTTTGTATATTTTATGCTTGATTAAGAGCCCGGCTTTGTTTTAAGGCTATGGCTTTATTTTAAGGCTACAATATTTGAAATAGAATCTTATAAATCAGTGTGCTTTATTTTTGTCTGATACTTGAAAATTTATATTCATATGATATTTTATATAATTACATTACAGCCATGTCATATACATTGCTTGACAAAGCTATTTGTGATATTTCATACATCATGTATTGTTCTAATTTATCTATAGTTGCTTTAACATAATACACTAGTTATATACATTCTGTAATTGTATCAAACTGGTTTACTGACTATACTTCTTCACGTGTTATGAATATAGTTAGGTAATCAATCTATAAATTAATCTCTGTTATGGGATAATTGCAAATCATTGCTCTGTATCAATGAATCAGCTCCCCAGCTGTTTAAAAGGTCTCCAAACTCCAGTTCTTACATTATTTTTTATCATATCTCACAAGTATTAAATCTTAAACACTGGTCATCTTATGTATGTTCTCTTTTTTGGGGAGAACTTTGCTGTACTTGTTAACATGATAATTCTTATCCTGTATCAATTTTTATGGAGGAAAAAGTTTCAAAGCATTTGAATTTTCTGTGGCTTTTCCATTGCTTTACAAATTATGATTGCCCAAATGAACACCAATCATCACACAAAAATGAGATGATATTTTCAATACAAGAAAGTATAATTTTATAGGGAGACTAGTTTGATAGTAAGAGATGTATGACTGTGTATGCCAGAGTTGTCATTTATGCTCGTTTTTATATCTTAATTGGCTTAATTTGACAAATTGGTGATTGAATAAGCTGTTATTGACATTTCTTGGTGCCTTCACATTTTGTTGCAATATATTAGCTGTACACTGCACCCACACTGTCTCTGTTTTATAATCAATTGGTGTTCATAGTTTATTGTATAGCAAAATATGAAATTCACATGTTAATGTGTAAAAACATATAGATTGCTAATGAATTTATAAAACATGTATTTATTATGTTTTCCTTGAATGTTTACAATATAAGATAACTATATTAACATCAATGGACTTTAGTTTTTAATTATTAAAAGGTATAAAGCTATATGTAATGAAATATTCTTAAAAAAATTATGAATTTTAAATTTTCAAATTTGGATTGTTTCTGTAATCTTGTGGCCGATTCCTTAAATATTATAACATAGATTGTCTTTTATATAAAAAACACACATGAATATTGTACATAAACAGAATAAAATGGTATAGCTGCTATTTTAAATAGGGATTTAACTGTTTGTTCAGCAGTGATATTTTGCATGCACCATTTGCTTTTAAAGAAATATACATATTACATATTTCATTCATACAGGTATTTTGGAATTAACCTTATTCAAAATTGAAACAATAAGGCAGCAATATATAGCTTTATACACTTTATAACTACAATAATTGTAATTATCAAATGAACATAGAATACACTGATGATAAGTTGTTGTTGCACAGTTAACTATTTCATTATTATATCATATACTGGTATTTATAAATAAACTCTATCTACTGAACATGCACAAATGATATCTTGTCTTATAGTAATTCCTGTAAGAATAGATATTCCTGTAAACCGCCCCTTTCTTGTACATCTTTATATTGTGTAATATAAATTATCAAATACAATGTATAGAGTTATTACCACAGAAAATTGTAAAAATTAAAAATTTAGCAAGATAGAGTGTCATGTTAAATATCATGACTTCATGTTGACAGTCAAGGTCACACATTGGGGTCAATGATTTAATTAACAGTCAAGGTCACACATTAGGTCAATAATTTGATTAACAGTCAAGGTCACACATTGGGGTCAATAATTTGATTAACAGTCAAGGTCACATATTGGGGTCAATAATTTGATTTACAGTCAAGGTCACACATTGGGGTCAATAATTTGATTAACAGTCAAGGTCACACATTGGGGTCAATAATTTGATTAACAGTCCAGGTCACACATTGGGATCAATGATTTGATTAACAGTCAAGGTCACTTACTGGGGTCAATGATCTGATTTCTCTAGACATTACCAAACATTAAGTCAAGCTATTTTTCAATTGTTGTATTAGTAGAATATATAGATTTTGTGTTCATGTCTTTCATTATAGGTTTTAATTTTGTTTGCTCATGTTTTGTTGATTTTGCACACAATACTATACAAAACCATGTCAAGTCTGAGTTAATATAAATGCTGCAAGTTGTTTTATGTTGACTTACAATTTGTTCTCTGTCTCTGTTTTGTCTTTACAAACTTTTCTGTCAGGAGAATCTGCTAAAAACTGTTGTTAAAGTGTATCAAATAATATGGTTAAAATACTCTACATTTTAACGAGATATGAAGTAAAATTACTAACCAGAGTTTCATCACAAGAGGTCATTCCGACTGACCAGCTTCTGTGGCTACTTGATTTTAATATTTTGTTAAATTGGAATACCTTTGATTTAAATGGACTGGTTCAAATTTAAAACAGGGCAATTTCAATGCACACATTAAGGGATGTAAAAGCTTTGACTCACAAACTTGTTTTTTGTTAAGATTCTTGTTGTCAGTTTTTGTTTTCTCTTTGTTTCTGTATGTATCTTGTTGTTTTTGGTTGTTTTTAGGAGGTTGTGAGTCATCAAATGACATAAATGGCTATCAACATAAAGTTTTCTATTAACTGTAATACTAGAAAATGACACAAAACTTAACCAAGCTACCAATCATCAGTATTTTAATGGTGAATAATGTGCTTATATCATTTGATTTACCTTGAAAGATAATTTGGGTATCAGTAAAAAGACAAACAAATTTTTTAATGAATAGGATTATGGCAAAACTTTTTAAGTGTGTGAATTGATACTGGTTGATAGGAAACATTGTGTATGACAAGATCAAATGTGCATGTGTACATGTTTTATATATGTAGATGTGATGTGTAAATTACATACCTTATATTCAAGGTATGCCATGGAAACACAAAATATGAAAATAAAACATTTGTAGAGCAAGATAGTGTTATTCTTAACTTAGTACTTAGCCATACTAGTAAAAAACTTCAGTATAATTAACATATCAAGGTAAAGTTTTTTCTTGCATGTCTTTTACCTGTATCAGAGCTATTTAATAAAAAAATTCTTTGGCTCCTTGATCTCTCAGCAAATAGTGGACTACATTTGAGCAGTATCATGACAAAACCAACATAATCGGTTTGCGACCAGCATGGATCCAGACCAGCCTGCGCAGTCTGATCAGGATCCATGCTGTTCGCTAGCAGTTTCTTTACTTGTTATAGGGTCTGTAAGCGAACAGCATGGATCCTGATCAGACTGCGCGGATGCGCAGGCTGGTCTGAATCCATGCTGGTCGCAAACACACTATGTTAGTTTTGTCATGACACTGGCTCATTTGTAGATCAGTTTTGGATCATCCAGGTCACTTGAACACATTTTAAAATTTAGGAAACTATTCTAAAGGTTAAATTGGGTCATCTTGGTACAGTTTTACTAACAAAAGTCCCACAACTCAAGCCAGTATTGTTACAGAATTATAGCCCTTTATAAACTTAAATAAAAAACTTGGTTATAATTTTATGTCTTTATCAAAAGTTAAAAAATTATTATCCTAAAAATCTTCTCCAAAACTACAATGCCTAGAACAAAGATATTGTATTTTTGCCATGAAGAATCACTTGGTGGTCCTCTACAAAAGTTACATAAATCATGCTAATGGGGTAAAAGGGGTGTCACTAAGGTTATAAAGTGTAATGTAGTTACACATTTCAATCTTCCTGTTACTCATGTGAAGTACTTGATATTTGGTATTTAACTTTTCCTAGGAGACAATTAACTAGATTTGATTGAGAAAGATTACATGAAATAAAAATTGGTGAGACAAAAATATTTATAGCAAGTATCATCGTTATTTTCAATGATACAATTTTTGTACTAGTATTTCCTTTGGCAGTTTTTGTAAAATAACAGACAAGACACATATAAACCTGAATATAAATTTATTTGCATATATAAAGAACATGATAAATAAATATACTGGAATGTTGTTTTTAAAAAAATATATTTTGTTCTTAACACATATTACTAGTATATGCCACCAGCAAGAGCCTTGCAGATGTTACTGAAACCACAAATCAAATCTCAGATATTTTAAAGTGTATAAACCACATTTAGCAGGGTATAAACCACATTTAGCAGGGTATAAACCACATTTAGTAGGGTATAAACCACATTTTTGCTAGGAATGTTATATTTCCAGCTTACTATTCAAGTACTTAAAATACCTGAATCTCCTATTAGAGACTATTGCCAAGCAATAAATGGTCTCCCCTGAGAAGGGTCTTATCACATTAAATAAAAACATGTTTAAAAATATTATCAAGGTAGATTTCTATAATTTTTTTTCTTGTCAGATGTGTTCCTTTGCCATGAATTGTATTATTGTTCTCCTATGCTATAGTATTTTCAGTTGCAAAAAGAATATTCAGTTAAATATAATCTTAATTTTAAGTATTATTTACTTAAGTACTATTTATATCATATGCAGTCTTTTTAAATTTCCAATTTATATGTATTTTAGGACTTCATGGAAGTGTCAGTCTCAACATGCTTGGTACTTTTATATCTGGAAAGTGAAACACAATGCAACAGGTTGCTTAAGTTTACTGTCCTGAGGTCATCAAGATATTGGCACAATATCCTACAGCTTATAGATGATCCAGAAAATCCCTAGGAAGTCATTTCTTAAGTTAAGCCCTAAAACTGTTATCCAAATACCACCACTTTTGTGCAAGTGCAATGGAGCCAAGTGTTATAACATGTGAAGAATATATTAACTCTGTGGAGGTAAAAATGTATTTACTGAAACAATTGCCTCACAAAGGTCTTTTACCTGAAGTACAGTAATGATGCAGCAAGACATTAGTATCTATTTGAACAAATCGGGCAGTTCTTCAAATCTGACATAGCTAAAATACTGTGTGACCAAAACCAGTTATCCCGAAAACAGTAATAAAGTTGGATATTGACAATTATGTGAAAAAGGTGGAAAGAGAAAGAGCAGTCTTTTACTCTTGAGTATGATTGGAGTTCCTTTAACATAGTGGTCATGTATGGACTGTCATTATTTTCTTCATTTCAAATATAGCTTATGATACAAGTAGATGCTTCATAAGATAAGACTGCAAGTGTGTTGCATAACTGGTGCTCTAAGGACTAATGCTATATTAACAAGTGTGTGGATCATTGATGCATAGATATTATTTAATGGCTGCCTATATTATTTTTAGATGTCAGTTTACCAGTTACAAATTTCCATCATTTTTACAAAAATTTTATTAGATTAAGTTTAATGTAATACAACATTTGTCATTTTACTCTAAGTTATAGAATTCTATTGAACCTATGCATGTTATGAATTGATCAACTGTCAACTGATCTTAAGCTTTGATCTAGATTAAAAAAGACTGTATGAAAATGTAAAGTAACATTAAGCTTCAGTACTTGTTGTCAAATTTTAAACATTTTATAGTTGTAGAATATGGAAAATACTTTATCTATAACAATGATAGGTCAGTTGAATTTTTATGTTGATATTAGTGTAGAATCACATTGTAAATTATCACCAATCCTTAAAATTGTTAAAAGAAGCAGCAAAATCAAAGAAAATTCAATGGTAGCTAGGCAACCAATATTTCCTTCAGTTGGGAAGGATTTTAAACAGATGCATCAGAATAAAAATACTTTATATGTTTGATCACATTGTAAATTTATAATTGAAAAATAATCATCACTAAGTTATAAAATATTAAAATATAGCACCTTAAATGTACCTGAAAATAAATGTTGTGAACATGATATTAGAAGTTTCATTTTTAATTTATATTATTAAGGAATGGTGAGGCAGGCTGTTCTCTGAATACCTTATTAAGTTCAGTTACACATTATTTGTGGTATTGTTTTCATTTTTTTATAATAGCACAAATTGCTATTTTGTAACTAAGATGTAATCTCCTGTATGCCTGTAAAAATTTGGAAATTAAGAAATTTATAAAAAAATAAAATAATAATTCATTGGTTGCTAAGCAACCTAATTATATGCAGAGACAGTTTTAAGTAAGGAACATATTTTTGTAGGATTTATCTTTATGTCATTTTAATTAAATATAATGCTAGTCAATTCAAAGTCCTTACTTTGTTGTGAAACAGTGTAGTTAACACCAGATGTTACTGAACATACTTTTATGAAATTATTTATATTATCTATATAAATTCAAAACCTATAGTTAAGTGAGTTTAATGATACTTTGATCCAAGAACTATTATTAAGATTGTATTTGCAGTTTTAATAGTTGTAATTTGTTTTTTGTAATCATGCTGCTTTGTTCATGGTATTTTGAGATCTTCTTTTAATCAAACTTTACATTTGTAAAATTTAAAAGGAAATTATGGAAGATATTGTGGTTGCTTGGCAAGACTGATTAATTTTTACTTATTGCTTAGGTATTATGTAAATCAGTTATACAGCAGATAGATATATTTATGTAATATGGAAAGTAACAGTGATTTGATCAAATGCTTATTGGTTATTGTAAAACATACAGAGCAATATACATGGCAAAAATACTGAGTTCTGCTAAAATTTGCATGCCTTACTAACACTAGTCAAGTGTACAGAACATGGATTGTATGTTATATCTTCAATGGAAAATTATTGAAAAGTAATTAATAGGCATTGTGTGTAATATTATTGAAAATTTATTTATTTCTGCTGCTTTGTTAGCTGTATTTTACCAAGAAATTTGTATATTTACAAAATAAATTACAAAATTTTAGAATATTCCATGGTTGCTAGGTAACAGAATATAGCTTCCTTCATGTTGTTTTTGTGTAATTATGCCCTTTATTTAGTGTTACTACCTTTGATGATGTTATACTTGAGTCATCTTTCATTTACTGTTGTATTAAACTGTTGTCTGCTGTCAGAGTAAATATCTGAATAAAGTTAATAAATGAATGATGAAAGGACACTGTGTTTAGTTCTTTTGAAGTTGTATTATGATATCTCTCAACAGTAATATGTCCTTTTAACACTGTAGAAATGCAATAGAACCATTTGCAAATGTGAAAGAAGAATATATTTCGTATTGATACTTGCAAGTGTTGTAAAATAAACCTAGCACATAACTTTTTACACGAAAAAGGCCAGGAAGAACCCAGGACTAGGTCCGTTGCTAGGCAACATAATGTAAATGATGCTTTAATTATGGTGGCTGTATTCCAAAAATATTCTACAACATTTATTAACTTTAATAACATAACCATTTTTTTTCACAAAATTCATTTTAGCTTCAAAAGTTGTTCTCCTCATGCACCTTTAAACATCACAAAGATCAAAGATTTTTATGTGTATTTTTAATTACTTACTGGACACCATACTCACAAAATTATGTATATCTTTGTAAATAAGAAAGACACGACTTTCAAATTTTCAGGAATTACTTCTGATATTTCATAGATTTAGAAAATTAAAAAAAGTGAAAATCAAAAATTTGGTCAAGAAACCCCATTTTTGCATTCCATGACACATATAACCAAAATTCATATTTAATTCATATATAGACAAAAAATATTAATATTTCAAAACACTAAAGGAGGGAAGTGAAAATGTTTATAAGATTAAATATTGGCATAATTTGTAAAATAACAACACAACAGACACATAAATACTGTGTGGTCTGTAAGACTAGACAAATATTGTATTTGTTCTGTGGATAGATTGCTATATTTTCTATTTTTGTCAGTAAGGGAAAAAGCAATGTAACATAATGCATAACCTATCATTACCATCTATAAAATGTTTTAATCAAATGCAACATATGTTACAGGAATACTCAAATAATTGTACATTAATTTTCTTAAAATTTCAATGTGAAAAATGGGGGATTGCATTGTGTTATGTATTGGTCTTTGGTGTCTCAAAACATGTAGGTTTGTTTAAAATGGATTTCTATTGGATATAAAAGTATGTCACCAATTTTAAATTTTAAGTTTGTTAGCAACCACAATTCTCAAGATACGAATAAAATCAAATAATGTACATATTCTCTATATTGCCATCTAAGCATGTTTCAAGTTTCATGAAATTATTCTATGTTATATTTTTAATAATCACATGTTCCAAGTTTTTGCAGGCTGTATGTCAATTTGTTTCTCACTAGAGGAACAAATTAAATTGATGTCCATAATCTCTATTTTGCAACCCATCCCTATTTTAAGTTTCATGAAAATATATAAAACACTTTGAATTATTGCAGTTCCAGTGTCAGTCCAATTTCAAATCTATTTGTTATCATGGTAACCACAGTTCTTAAAATAGGAACAAAGTAACATGAAGTGCATATTCCCCAAATTGCCATCTATGCAAAGTAACAATGAAAATATTCAAAGTACTTTTTTAATAATTGTAGGATCTAGTTCTTGAGAATTTCAAACCTATCTTCAAACACATATCAAAATTAAAATAATGTGCATAATCTCCATATTGCTATGTATCCATATTCTAATTTCAAGAAAAAATAAATAAGTGCTTTTTGAAATATTACAGGTTCAAGGATTATGCTAATTTTAATCTATTTATTGCTACAACAACCATATTTCTCTACATAAAGGAAGGCATGCAATAATGCTATCTTAGTGCCACATATCTATGTTTCCAGATTCATATAAAAATATTGTATATAAAAATATAGGTATTTATTGAATTATCACAGGATTAAGTTTTTTGGACAGAGAACAAATATTCCACTCATCAACACTTATGAGAAAATGAGGACTGCTCATCTAACATGGCAAGAGGGTTAACCAACTGTTAAGACCACTAGAATGATCACAATCTACATTTAGCTATTGAAAAGCATTACTATCCTTGGACCTGTTTTAATAACTTTTCTTTTTTGTAAGAATTATCATCATTATATGCTTTTTTTAACTTATGTAAATTGTATGTACACAAATTTTTAGTAAAATGCCTTTACAAGAAAAATTCTAACACAAGTTAAAACTTACATAAAGCTTGAGCATAAGAATATTAGTAAAATGTCCCCTGGGGTTATAAACAGCCCCTGGGTAAATTCGTTTTGTCCTCATGTCAATATTTCAACTGTGTATGTGTGATACATGCCCCAAAATATCAGCTTCCAATCTTTCTTTACTGAATGTAAACATATTAACTATGATCATTCTGGTGATCTTTTACTTGTAAAACATTAGTGTCCAATTAATTAATACATTAATTCATTATTCATTTAAAATACAAATTTGTGTCTTTAGTTTGTCTATTTTTTGTACCAATTTCAACACACTGTATGGTCATAGCTAGGCTGCCTGTCAGACTGGATAACTAACCAGTAATTAACAACTTCTCCTCAATTAACTCACTACTAATCCCACATTATTTCTAAAGCAGCAGTGAAAGACAAATGAATCATGACTGAAATTGCTCTGAAAAGAAATTTTGATCTCTGGCAGATAGACAGACTACATAATGACAGATGGACATTGGTAAAACTATAATACCTTCTAGTCAACTGGTTGTGGAGTGTGAACTGATGAGGAAATTTTAATTTTTCACTGTTTAAATATATATTACTTTGTATATTCTGTACAATATTTTTTATTGTCAAAAATATTTCAGGTCTCTTGATTTATTTAAAATAAAGTCTTAATATCACTATAATATATCACATAACAATTGAAATACTTTTTAAAAAACCTTCAAGATCTGTTTATCTTAGATAACACAAATATCCTAGATAATACAATTATCATCCTAGATAACACAATTATTCTTGATAACATAATTATCCTGGTAGATAATATAATTATTCTAGTTAACACAATTATCCTAGATAACACATTAACCTAGATAATACAATTATCCTAGATAACCCAATTATCCTAGATAAACAATTATCCTAGATAAACAATTATCCTAGATAAACAATTATCCTAGATAACCCAATTATCCTAGATAAACAATTATCCTAGATAATACAATTATCCTAGATAACCCAATTATCCTAGATAAACAATTATCCTAGATAATACAATTATCCTAGATAATAAAATTATCATCCTAGATAATACAATAATCAAGAGAAGACACTGTTAGCTGTATCATCTATAATATTCATGACAGTTGTATGAAACTTCATGGTTGGTTTCATCAAGTCTAGACATATTTCATAGTGATCACAGTTTGGTATTATACGAAGTGTTACGTCTGCTTCAATACGTTTCAGTTCATCTACTAACTTTGTTGCTGATGACAGAGGTACAACATAATCCTCAGTGCCATGAAGAATGACTATTTTTGGAAAACTGAAACAAGAAAACATGTAACTATCATAGTGATACATACATTAACATACATACATACATGTACACACATGCATGTGCACGATGGACACTGTTTAATTCAACAAGTTCAATAAATTTAGTATTGAATCTACACGAATATAATATTCTATTTATCACATAATATAGATAAGAACGGTAAACTTTTAAAAAGACTCATTTTTCATTGATGCAGTTATAGTGTAAGCTATAAACATTAGGACGCTTTAACGCTATGTTTATATATAACGCTAGTTACTTCATGTCAAAGTGTTATTACACTAGTGTAATATCGTTTTTATTAAATAATTTTTATTACACTCCAGTGCAGTGGTTTATGTGAGAAAGGCCTTTATTTCACACCTTATGACCTATGAACTTTCAGGGTTTAAACCATTTGCATAAGAAATCATTATCGGATCCAATCTTATATCCTCATTTTCATCTCCAGAATCAGAAAAATTCATAATAATTGCATATCACAACCAATATATCCTTATGCTATTATGCATGTTCTATCATTTATTAGAGATAAAAAACATTCCAATATCACTTAAGAAAATTACATTTGTATGCAAAGAAATAAATTACAAAGGCAGTGTCAGACAAAGCATGTAAAAAAGATTTTAAAACACCCATTCAAAACAAAATATATCTTACATAAGAACACTGTTGATACAAACCTGACTGAACTATAAGAACAAAGACTTGACATTGTCATCACTGGCAAATTATGTAAATTATATGTAAGAGTTATCACAAACTTGAAGATTTTAATATTTACCATTGAGCAGAAGTGATTGTGCTAACAATATGTGTAGGTGAGAACCGCTCAAAGTTGTTGTGACCTCTCATAGCTTTAGCCATAGAAGATATATCCTCTACTCCTCTACTACTCTCATGTTTAAAATGATCTCCAATATGATAAACACCAGCAATACCTACAATATATATATATATATCTCTCTCTCTCTTGAAACATCACTATTTTATATTCTATAATTCTATATAAAGTACCTACATGTTATCTGATATTCAGCTAATATGACAGTTGTTGTAAATTATTGTTTGATATAACCAGCTTTGTTATTGGACTTTCATATTACAGTACTGTACATGAGATACGAAAATGAAAAAAAAATCAGAGAATGACATGCTAAAAACTGGAATGTATCTCAAAAAAATAAATATTGTATTATTATTCTATATTAAACAAACTTTATGGCCATAGTCGAGTTGTAGTGTATTGAAGGACTTATGACAATATATGGTAAGCCATTAAATTAGCTGAAATAACTTTATGTTAACAAAAAATTCTCACCTATCATTGCCTTAACTGACTTCCTAAGTTCTGACATTGATGGTTGAGCTATGGTTAAAGACTGTTCAACACCTTGGTTAAGAATGCCAGCCAAATCATCATCACCTGTACCATCATTAATTATCTCCCTTCTTCCCTCGTCAGATGCTCCCTCAACATAGAGGGCACTTTGTTCCCCAGCTGCACCACGATATCTTATACCACTAATTTCTGACTGTGTCAGCTCCTGGATTTCACTTTCTAGTAATGAGCCCTCAGATACTTCTGTTTCAGATTTCTGAGTTTGTAAAACTTCAAACTGACTAGTTGATAATGACATTTTATCTAAGTCATTTGTTTGACCACCATTTCCATTTTGACCATCAACTACTTGAAACGACCCTGTGGAACCAGAACTTCCTTTATCGTTACTATCAGAGTTACCATTAAAATGACTTTCCCTGAAGTGCAGGGAACCAGGTGAGGAAGGTTGGATCCCAGCCTCATTGCAGAGTTGTAACACTGTCATCATACTGAGATGGGCACCAGATGAATGGCCTAATAATATGATCTTCTCCTGAATAATATTCAAATCATCAATGAACAAAAAGTGTTTTATATAAAAGAATTCTCATAACAAGTTTACTCCATCTAACTCAGTTTTGACGAAAACTGATTTTAACAATCTCCATAAGCACATTTTTCATAAAAGTTCCAACTGTTTACCTTAAAAACACTATATTTTTTGGAAAACTATGAATTTTTTTTAACAGAGTTCTGATCATTTTGAAAGCATCAATTTTTCTAGGTGTCTGATTGTGCTCTTTCTCTTATGTAATTCTATATAGGGACTAACAAAATTAACATCAAACTTCAACTTACAGGTAAGTCTTGTTTAAGTCCTTCTATCATTTACAATTAAAGAAACAACCACTAAGTTGTTTAATGACAACAACCATACCTTGTCTCCATTGTATTGATGTACATTCTGATGTAACCAGCTTAGACAGTCTACCATATCCTGAACCATATCATCTACATAGCCCTGAAGTTCATCACTAATATAAAAATACATGTATACAAATAAATACAGGTTTTAAATCAAACAACATTGTTTGTTTCCAATATAATATAATCATTATGTTTTTCTTTATATTACATAATTTTAATATAAAACTGCTATTTAACATTGTGATATTGGCACTTTCTTACTTTATCACCTAACATAACAAGAGCTGTCACAGGAGACAGCCAAGCTTGACTAATAAAATACTGGACGCAGTAAGGAGGACAAAACTATGAAAGAAAAATCAATTATGTATTATTATGTATTAAGTTATAGTAAAAAAATAACATTTGTTAACATAAATTCCAAGATCAAGGGAAATAATTCTAGAAATAGTCACGCTAGAGTTATGAACCTTGTCACACAACATGTGTGTTATGATAAGAAATATATATTTGAAGTTTGAAGTAGTTCCTTTAAAACTAAAAAAGTTATAGTAAAAAATAACATTTTTCTAGTAAAAAAAATCTAAGTTTATGGGGAGATAATTCTTGCAATATTGGTGCTAGAGTTATGAACCTTGTCACATAAGATATGGATGATGATAAGGTACATATATTTGAAGTATGAAGTTGATCCCTTTAGAAAAAAATAAGTTACAGTTTAAAATAATATTTTTTAAGGAAAATTCTAAGTTCAAGGGGAGATAAATCTGAAATTATTTGTGCTAGAGTTACAAACCTTGTCACATAAGATGGAGATGATGATAAGGTACATATATTTGAAGTATGATGTCCCTTAAGAAATAAAGAAGTAACAGTAAAAAATAATATTTTTTAAGGAAAATTCTAAGTTCAAGGGGAGATAACTCTTAAAAATATTGGTGCTAGAGTTATGAACCTTATCACATAAGATGGGGGTGATGATAAGGTACATTTATTTGAAGTATGAGGGTGATCCCTTAAAAAATAAAGAAGTTACAGTAAAAAATAGTATTTGTTAAGGAAAATTCTAAGTTCAAGGGGAGATAAATCTGAAAATATTGATGCTAGAGTTATGAACCTTGTCACATAAGATGTGGTTGATGATAAGGAACATATATATGAAGTTTGAAGTTGATACCTTAAGAAATGACAAAGTTATAGTGAAAAATATTTTACTGCACCAAAACTTTAATCTGGACGCGGACGCCGATGCCGGGGCGAGTAGGACAGCTCTCCATATACTTCGTATAGTCTAGCTAAAAGAGAATCTTATATTTGCTAACAATTCATGATAAACTTGCATAAAGAAATGTTTTTATGCTCACCATAGGCTTGCTTTACAAAACTTTCCAAGATTTGTTTAAGTCTTTTGAAATGATAACTAATGTAAGACCATGGAAATGTACTTTTTCTTTCTAAATATAACTTATAGTATAAACAATTTCAAATCTTAATGAAACCTAACTTTTGTCAGTTCTATAACCAGAGCTGCCACAAAAGTGATGAAGTTACCCCAACAATTGCTATGACACAGGATTTTATGCAGTGTAAATTATAATTACTTTTGAAAGTGAAGATTTGAGCTAAACTTGAAGACAATCCTGTAAGGGGTGTATGACTTATGTAGAGGACAGAAATTGACATTTGACCTTCAATGTCATCTTGACCTTCAGTTAATTCTAAACATTGCCTTGTTGATGTGAACATTTGAGCCAAGTTTGAAGAAAATCGTTCAATGGGTATAAGTTTATATGAAGTGGACATGAAAATATCTAAAATTAGATCAATGGTGACCTTGACCTTGAGCCAACAAAGCAGCGGCACGGGTTTAATAAATTTGTTGAGGTGAACATTTGAAATAAGTTTAAAGAAAATCTCTTTAAGGGGTATAGGATTTATATTGAACATAAAACTGACAGATTGATCAGCATACTTACCGACCTGACAAAGTGATTCCAGTAACCTACTCCATGTTATGCAGTGGAGGTATAATTACTACACAATTCACGTTATATAAATTGTAAGTATTTTATCTAAGGATATCTAACCTGTGGATATGTAGAATGATTAGGACAGCAAACTATTGCACCAAGTTTGTTAGCAACAGCAGAACACAGCATTCCGTACATCTTCTTATTCCCTGACCCCCAGGCTCCACCATAAGCAAATACAACAACTGGGTAATGTCCACTATCTCCAGAACTTCCCCTCCTAGGAAGATACAAATCCAATTTTTTACTTCTTCTACCATACTCTTTGTCCTGTATTGAAAAATAAGTACCAAGTAAGTTAACATATAGAAATGAACTAGAGAAATAGTAAAATATTTATAAAGTAGATAAAATAAATTCATGAAAAGGAAAAAACTTACTTCATGAAAAGGAAAAAAAAGTTCATGAAAAGGAAAAAAACAACTTCAACTTCATGAAAAGAAACAAAATAACTAAGTACATGTACCACAAATTTTATAAGCTTGTATCATTTCTTGTAAAATGCATAATTATATCTAAAAGTGCTTTGTCTGAAAAAAAAACGAGATTTTAAAACAAGAGCTGTCTGTAGGACAACATGCTTGCCAATTCTCAGTGCTTGATAGTAAAACAAAAGCCTGTAACAAAGAGAATGATTTCATACACAAAAATACAATGACATGTACATGACATAAATATGAGTCTTGGATATTGGCCAAAGAATTTTGTAAAGTTCACGAAGACCCTTATTTCATTCAATATCATGCCAGAGTTATGGGTCTTGGAAACTGACTGAATTGAAATTCAAAAATCATAATAATGGATACAAAACCACACTTGCCTCCCCAAGAACTTGACTAAATTTTCAAACTAATGTCATGGTCATAATCACATTTTATATTTAGGTTCACATAAATTATTGTTAGATGTCTGACTCATGAAAGAATATTAGTTTTACTTAGTATTACTTCAATTTTTGAGACAGAAATCAAAGATTACTACAAGTTATTTGAAATTGCATGCTCTTGTTGACATGCGGTAAATATTGCTTTGTGTGTTTATTACATCATAACAGGGTATTCAATATTGAACGAATTAAGTTAAAAAATATTTACTTTTATAACTTCAGGAGCTTTTGCCTTTCTGTAGAAGGCTTTCCACTGTACAAACAGAGTAGCATATCTCAGTGATAACATGAAACTCTGTATGATACATAAGTTGAGTGCATACACTTTACGTGGATTAAAAGCTCTGCGATATCTGTTAGGAACTTGTGGCCAGCCATATGCCAGGTTACAAATGAGAGCGGCTATATATGGTAACACTACAGCTGATGATGCTGCTACAGCAGCCACCTTGGCTACACCACTCAACATAACTGACTCACTATACCAATCCTGTAAATATTAACATTATGTTACACAGATTGATTTTAAAAATATTTGACTGTCACATAGTTACTGAAACTATATTTACAAGCATCATAATTGTGACTAAATGAACATTGTTTCTACTTCATATTAATATATATCTGATACTAGTGCCTGGACAAGACCTAAAATTCTTTAAAAATCAGTAAAAAGTCACTTCAAACTTATTTCTGATAAGCACAGGGCTTGTTTCTCTTTATATGTAGAAGGCCGTGGACTTTTTCATTAGTGAAAGACAAGGCAAGCTTTTCTTGACATTGTGAAAGAAGAAGTGCAATACTGACACAAATTTTAATTCAATTTACAACTCACATTTTTCTTTATTTATTAATGAAAGACAAAGCAAGATTTTCTTGACACAGAGGAAGAAGAACAATAATGAGCCGCGTCACAACAAAGCCAACATAGTGCGTTTGCGACCAGCATGGATCCAGACCAGCCTGCGCATCCGCGCAGACTGATCAGGATCCATGCTGTTCACTATCAGTTTCTCTATTTGTAATAGGGTTGGTAAGCGAACGGCATGGATCCTGATCAGACTGCGCGGATGCGTAGGCTGGTCTGGATCCATGCTGGTCGCAAACGCACTATGTTGGTTTTGTCGTGACGCGGCTCAATTATTAATTCAATTTACAACTTAAATTCTTCTTATTTTATAAAAATAAAGACTTTAGATATTTCAACATGAAGTGTTTAAATAGCTCTCATTTAATAAAATTGTAAAAAAAATGGAATTTATTTTACACTGCTAAATATACTCTAAAAAATTGTTATAATACTGTTTTGTTGCAGCAATGAAAGAATTTTTCAATTGTGAAAGTGGCATTTCTTTATCTGGGCAGCATTTTAGCATTGTGAAATTGTTTAATTCAGCCCTTAGTTATTTTTTAACTAAATATGTACATAAATAAATAATTTTTTACAAATTGAGAATTATTTGCTTTACAATGTTGAAATAATAAAAGACATAACTTAGCTTTTGTGTCTGAATTTTAAAATCACATCAATTAAGCTATTATTATAGAAATGCATTCCATATCATTTGTATAATAATCCATCAAATGTATTTTGTAATGAAAAGAACTGATATTTGTGACACTCTTTGATGCCCCTTGAAACATGCACATAATTATTGATCTTGATTATTGGATTATTGCACTTTTCCAAATTTACATCCAATTAAGCCATTCAATACTATACTAGGGCAATAAGTCTTAAGCCAGCAACTACAGACCACTATATCCCTTACCTGTATCTCTTTTTAATTAATGGAGCATAACATTGTCTCAAATTTGGTGACTTACTAAGACAACTTGCCAGTGTTGTCATGTGTCCCCAAGGGTCCCCACTGTTTGTTTCTGTGATATATCAATTCAATGACCTACCAGAAAAGGTCAAATGTAAAACAAGATTTTAGCGGATGACACTATAGTATATAGAGTGGGTGGACCAATGCTCGGCGTAAAAATACTATATTTGATATGGCAAATTCAAATAAACTTCAACAAACCTCAATGTCATATGTCCATTTTCAAGACCGATGATATTGTTTTAAATAGCCATTGTGTAAAATTCGCTAATCACATAATGATGTGCATGGCTGGAGCTATAGATAGTCCGGATAAACAAGAGTGGTTTGCGTGAAATTGTACCATAGCTCGGCGTACAATACTACATGATGCAGGATTGTTTTTCGAATAAAATCTTTTTTTTATCTTATGAAGAAAACATATTGAATAAATTGTAACAACCAAATGAGGTTCATACATTTACAAGTACCCAACTTTTAGTTTAAATTTTACAGCCCCAGAACTCTAGTGTTAAAAGATTTTAATGATTTATATGTTGCGGATTACATACGGTTGTTCATCTGCTATTAGCATTGTCACGTGACTTTACCAGCAGTGAACCACACCAGGATAAAATGGTTAAAGATGTTAATAAAAGCACCAGTGACCTAAATTGAAGATAACTCGAGACTTTTTCAGATATCCTAAAAAAAAAAATTTTTTACGCCGAGCATTGGTATGCGCCGAGCATTGGTCCAACCACTCTAGTTTACATCATGGAAGTGGCTAGCCGTACGGGCCCGTACGGCTAGCCAAAAGTTCTAGCCGTACGTGAGTCACGTACGACTAGCCAGGACACACTGTATTGGCTAGCCGTACGGCACTTTTCAAGAATATATGGAAGGCGAAAGTGCATATGTTAATTATGACTTTAAGCGAGGATTTTAGTCAAGAATGTTTACTTTTTAGAGATTAATCGACGTGTTGGCTACAATAAACAATGTACTTTGTCATCTCAAGACGTCGAGAAAAAATAGCGTTTGGTTGCATTTAAATAACATCAATTGAAATAGTTTACAAAATTTTGATAATAATCCTTTTTTGTTTCATTAAGTTGAATTTCTAAATTGAAAAAAAAAAAACAACAACAAACAAACAAAAAAAACACTGAAAATAATTGTGGTTGGGCTCTGATAATTGCGTCAATTACCGACGGTATAGAAGTTTGTCCACCGTCCATCATTAAGGAAAGTTTGCATTATTAAATTATTTTTCCTTTTCAACGTTTTTTTTTTACTTTCTTTTTATTTATTTATTTATTCCCCTCCGACAGGGTCTTCTAAATAGATTCTATTTGAAAGACCCTGCCTCCGATCATTATTAATTCGATCTGTGTGCTTAATTAACAGATTTAACAATTCATCTTTCAAACAAATCATTAGCATGAAAATTAAGGACGTTATAACATGCAACTTCTTTGACACTTTATCTTATTAAGATAGATTATATAACGCTTACTCGTATTTTTTTTTTTCAAAATTGCGGAGCATCTTTATTAAAGTGAACACACTAGGACAAATGCGGAGATTTGATTAAAATCGTCGTTTAAGGACACAAAATAACATATGCATGTTCGACTTTCATATAATTTTGAAAAGTGCCGTACGGCTAGCCAATACAGTGTGTCCAGGCTAGTCGTACGTGACTCACGTACGGCTAGAACTTTTGGCTAGCCGTACGGGCCCGTACGGCTAGCCACTTCCTTACATCATACATGACAATCAGGGGACAATCATACCTGGACAGATTACAAAATTATCTTATTAAAATGGAAATATGGGAATGGGACTGAGCAATGGAGTTAAGCCCAGACAAGTGTGAGGTGCCTACCAACTTCCCTTGCACCCTTCATAAAAAAAGAATTATAATCTGCTGAAACACTCAAGTATCTTGAACTGTTGAAGTTATCTACTTATCAAACTCCTGTGGAAATTAAACAGCAGATTTATCAGTTATGGATGACTTTCCTGTGAACTTGGTAATCATTTCGACATCGTCAGACAATAATATTTACCATTGAATTATTCGAAAATAAAATAAATAATTTTCCTGTCAAATCGACAAGTACAGAAATATAGGTGGCGCGATAGCTCAGTTGGTTAAACCACTGACTATCACTCCTGAGGTCCCGGGTTCGATCCTGGGTTACACCCTTGGGATTTTTCAGAGACACTTTCAGTGTTTCCCACCTACCTAGAGGTGTACTGGTAAGAAATCCAGGTAATCCTCGCATGTATCAGTGCTATACACTGGGCATGTAAAAGAACCAAGGGGTCTATTCAATAAGAGCTAGGGACTGGTTCCCGGATTCCCTTGTATCTTAAAGCTGTTTCTTAAATGTATACAATGTATACCTGCTTAGAGTGATCGAAAACGATTTTAAAGCAGTATGATGTAGAAAATATTGTTATGCGGTTTATCAGATTAATTATCAGATACCTGTTATCATGAATTGTTCTTTGGCTTGTGGTGAAAAGAGCTTCATCACCGTTTTGAAAGTAATCGAAACATCTCGGCTATTATGGCATCATCATAAATACCGGAAAGGGCCGAAAAGTTGCGATTGGGAAGGGCCAATTGACAAGTTTTTTTTAGCTTTATACAGTCATACCCTTTATGATATTTGAAAGGTAATGAGTCAACCGATGTTTATTCTTGAACGTTATAACCTTTTTAAGGTGGCAATACTGTTTTTAGAAATGAACAGATAATATTTTTTTAAGTGCCAGCTGATATAAATTAAAAATATTTTGACAAAAAATCAACAGACAATTGTCAGCCATACTGAAATGAAAATGATACAAATAACATTTTGCATATCTAAAAATAGACGTCTTGAGATCACTACACTAATATTCTAAAAATAGGTATTAGATTTATATGGTAGATCTACTGTATATAGATCTATATGTATGATATCAATTTATCAAGCACATTAAACTGGATCTAGCTTTGTATTTCCATATCTTTTCTCTTAATGAAATGATAAATGAACTTTTAGGTAAAATATTTCATTTGTTGGTAAGTATTTTATTGTATTAAATATTATTAGTATAAAAATAAAGAAAATAATATGTTTTGCAATTGCCAGTAAAAGTTATACCTGCCAATGGCTACTTATAATTTTAAAACTGTGACACTAACTGACTATGGCACATTGCATCCACAAATTTTGAAATAATGAATTCATGATGATATAAAGAGTCCTCTATTTGATTTGTAAAACTTTTCCATTTTTATTTTTGATAATATAACAGTTTTATTAATCCTATTGTAACATTAGTACAAACAGATCAGATCAGATGCCACTAAAGTTAAAGGTAACTTGTACATTGCAAGAGCAGTATTTATAAATAACCTATATTTTAGAAGAAAATGCTTAAGTGACAACTATACTGTTTTAAAGGCAACACATCCGACTCATGGGGTTCTAGTTTGTGCCAGCTTTTTTATACCTTAGCACTATTGTATTATACAGGTGTGTGACTTGGAAGGTAACAAATACAATTTTAGACAGCATGGATGCTACTGAAAAGGTAATAATCTTGAAAACATATTTACAATTTTAGCTTCAGTTTCTTTAAATTGAAATTATATCTGCTATGAGTATGAAAGGAATATAACGCTACAAGCAATCATATCATTTCAGATATTATTTGATCCATATTTGTATATAATTATATGTTCATTTCAGATATTATTAGATGCATATTTGTTTATACAGTGTTCAATCCAGAATGAATTCCCAGGGGGCCCTTTGGGCCAATAAAATCATCAACAGGGGGTCGTCATTTGAGAAAAAAGGGGGCCCACACCTAAAATTAACATAAAATTTAAATAAGGTATATTATACCTTTTAACTTACTTGTTCCCACTACTGATAATATGTACAGTATATCCACCAAAAACGGTTGCAAAAAATTGATTTGACTACAAAATATTAATTTTGTTTGGGCCTTGTTTTTGAGAGTTCTGTTAGCGGTGATTCAGACTTATTTTTAAGAACTGATTAGTAGAGAAACAAAGACATAGTGTAAAATAAAAATTCAAGTAAAAAATTATCAAAAAGGATCTAATATAAATGTTGCCAGGGATGTTTAATAATAATGTTCATTTTTTTAATCAGTGGCCAATATACATTTAAGGAAAATCATATTTTGCAATTAACAAAAAACATTTTACTATGTTTTTGGATTCATATTTGTATATATGTTTATTTCAGATATTATTGGATCCATATTTGTATTATTATCTTCATTTCAGATATTATTAGGGGTGTGGACCGTCGGATAAGTGACGATCCGATCCAAACCACGATTCAGCACTTACGATTCACAAATCGAACCACAAATCTTTTGTTATCAAGACACCCATAAAAACATGTACATTAGTTCTAAAAACATGTTTATTAAAAAAAAAAAAACAATACGAAACATTAAACATATACAGTAAAAACTCGCTAATGAGACCAATGAAGGGACTTTACAAATCTGGTCTTAATAGCGGGTTGGTCTCATTAATGAGTTTGGTCAAACAGAAAACCAGGCAATATATTTAGGGATACCATGTACTGTACACATGTTTATTTCTGGGCTAACCTATTTCAAATGAGAAGATATAAAGCATACACTATTATTTTTTTTATTTTCATTTATTTTATTTCACTTTTTAACATTATAAATTTTTTAAACTTCTTTGGAGGTACAAAATGTATTACGAATGTCTTTAAACACAAACATATTTTTACATTCTTGTTAAAAGAATGACACATCTTACTCAATTAAATCACCATTTTACTACAAAGCACACCGAACAATTAACCTTTAATTATTTGCAGATAACAACTTCAAAAACCTAATCGTATCATGTTTATGTTTGTTTAAAATTATGGAACGAAAGAGATAATGATAGCAGCAACACCTCTAAAAAACTTATTGAAAGTTTTCTGTTCAATATTTTGTTGTTTTAATCCTCCAGTTATGACATTAAAGGTGTGAAATTAAGAAATTATCGACAATATTATTGATCATTTCCGGATTTGATACAAAGTAACCTTGACCTCTGCCGTAAATTGGATGTCGTTAAATGTCGTAAAACTAGGACAACTGTTGTTTACATCACGTGTCAAAAAGATTTCAGCAATATACATGCATGTCAATATCAAGGTGAGAAAGTGCCCGCGGTCGTATTAATGGGTTTCCAAATGTACAGAATTTACGAAATGGGACTGAATTTACTGGTCGTATTACGGAATAACGGGGTGGTCTCAAAATCGGGGTTAGCGACCATTAAAATAAAGAATAATAAAATCGGGTCTTTAAAAATCGTTCGTATTAGCGGGTTGGTCTCGAAAACGGGGTGGTCGTAAAGCGGGTTTTTACTGTATGCAACCAGGTTTATATTTTTATTCCTTAGATGAGTTTTTTAGTCCCCTACCGGTTTAACCGGAGGGGACTTTAGGTTTACCCTCCGTCCGTCCGTCTGTCCGTCCGTCTGTCTGTCCGTCTGTCTGTCAGTCCGTCAGTCCGTCCGTCCACAAAACTGGATCCCGCGATAACGCAAAAAGTACTGAAAATATTTTTATGAAACTTGATATATGGATAGATGGCAGTATGGAGATTATGCACGTCTTTTTTTTTTCTTCCTATGTAAAAAATTCTGGTTGCTATGGCAACAAATAGTCTGAAAATATGGCAAATTTAACACATAAACTGGATCCAGTGATAACTCAAAAAGTACTGAAAATATTTTTATGAAACTTGAAATATGGGTAGATGGCAGTCTGGAGATTATGCACATCTTTTTCTTTTCTTCCTATGTTGAAAATTCTGGTTGCTATGGCAACAAATAGCCTGAATTTCAAGATTTCTGATTTAAATTTTTCAGCTTTTTCACTATATGTTCTTTATTTCTTAAGGTGTTTACTTCAAACTTTAAATATAAGTTTCTGGTCATCAACCACATCATATGTGACAAGGTTTATAACTCTAGCACAAAAAATATCAGTATTACCTCCCTTGAACTTAGATTTTTTAGGGGAAAAAATGTTGTCTTTTTTAAATAACTTCTTTATTTCCTAATGTATCTACTTCAAACTTCATATATATGTTTCTTATTATCACTCGACATTTTTGAGAAGGTTAAATACTCTAGCAAGACTATTTCCAGAATTATGTCCCTCTTGAACTTAGATTTTTTTCGAGAAACTGGTATTTTCACTCCAACTTCTTTAATCCTTATAGGATTTACTTTAAAATCCCACATCGTAATAATATGACAAGGTTGTATAAACATAATTTCCTTACTAAGCATGGAAACTTAACACATTACTGTGATATAGACAAACTTATTTTATTATGTTTTGTGGTCGATATTTTCAAATACAGACTTCATCCTCAAATTCATTATAAATGGCAATACACAGGAGTGTATGACAATTAAAGAACTTTTTGAGGGACCGGTAGGGGACTACTGTATTGCCCGCAATACTATCAAATGCTTGTTTGTTTTGTTTTTTGAAACCAATTACTTCCTAGCTCGGCATCATGGTACATGGTCTTTAACTGGCAAATTGTATTTAGGTAAATTTCCCATAATTTATACTCAAATCATATTTTTCTCGACTTTAAGTGTGGGAAACAGTGAATGTATATAAACAAATAAAATCGCGATCCACGATATCTGGGCTTACGAATATTCAAACTCGATTTTATACTTTGATTCGTGATTATCCGAGTACTCGGATACTCGCCCCAGCCCTAGATATTATTGGATCCATATTTGTATATATGTTCATTTCAGATATTATTGGATCCATATTTGTATATATGTTCATTTCAGATATTATTGGATCCATATTTGTATATATGTCAAATACCTGGTAAACAGATAAGGGGGAAATTAGCATTGGTAAGTTATTCTGTTTCATAAAAAAATATCTGTCATGAAAATGTTAATAATGATTGTTTAATAATGTATTATCTATTTATATACATGTATCAGCACATTTGTTTAGTAAAGTGTAAGCAAAGTGGAAATTTTAACCCTGTCTTCAAAAGGATTTTGACCAAAGTTTCACAGAAGCTTTGTCATTAAGACTAAGTGCTCTTGTACATTTTGTCAATGTTTTGAGATTCAAAGATTTTGGCGCAGTTATGGCCCTTTGCTTCTTTTTTTAATCCAAGAGAAATAAACTTCTGTGCTCAACCCCTTCTACATTGCTCTATTGCTTTTCCTTAAACATTTACAGATGCATCAATTCATCAGCATGAGCCATGGTGCATATCATCTCTGTTTAATGAACATTTTTGTCAGAATTATGACCTTTATTTCACATATAGAATATACAGAGAAATACTTTGCTATGTTAATATGATATATAAATATATAATAAATAATATGTGTATATAGTAAATAAAAGACAAGTAAATGTACAAAGCAAACATTCTGACCAAGCAACCTAATATACTTCTATAATCTAATTAAAAGATTAGTATTTATGAATAAAATTAATTTGTTCTTACATTTTATTGTTTGTAATAATATGCATCAAATTAGATACAATCAGCATTTCAATTTTGTAGGAACATATAGGATATAAATTAATATTCATATATGTTACACATCACATCAAAAGGCCATAATTCATCCAAAATGTTCATATTGCAAAATGCTGACAATATGCACATGTAGAAGCTTTTGTGAAACTTGACTGTGGAAAACCTGGTTTTGTCACATTGCAATGTTTCTTGTAATATTGTATGAAACATACCAAATGTTCTGAAAATATTTTTGATACAGATTTTTACATGCATTTTAGGAAGAAAATATATTTAAAACAGAACGGTAGTTAAAAAATACTACATGTATTTAATTTTGACTAGTAATTTTAAATTTCCCCTGTCTGGTGTTTTATTGCTTTGCAAAATAAGATATATTATAAGACATTGAAATGAAATATAGAGAAAGTAAAAGTTTCCTATTTGGATACATTGTGAATTTAATCAATTCAGGCATTTAATCATTGGTTGAGGATACCAGATGATACACTACATGTGATAGGGGAGGCAACTCAGATGTTACATAATGCAAGTTTGATGTATGTATATTTTATTCTTTTCTCTCTCTGCATGGTAAAATACAAGTACAGAATAAAAGATTTTTGACACGTTATATGGTTCAGTGTAAAAAAAATAAAGTAAACAACAATTTCTATATAACCATATAACATGTCAGAAGTCTTTATATAAATATAAAACTGCATAATTTTATTAAAAAAGAAAATAATACTTAAATTTGTAGCAGCCATGTATACAATTATGGAAATATTAAAATTTGTATTATTCAATTAAATTTGATGTTATCAACTTGCAGTAATATCAATAATTTTTACCTAATATTTACATCAAATCACAGCTTCTGATTCATTTTTCCTCAAAATATATAAAATTAAGGCATAAATAGGTTATTTAACATTCAGGGTGTCTGTTTGACCCTTGAAATGACTCTTTGACCCTTTAACTTTCCAAAAGTCCTGATTTGACCCTCAGGATTTTAACTGGAGGGTCAAATTTTGTTAAAATCATGGGATTTTGGCCTTGTAGATGGTAACCTTAGTCAAAATGATCCTCAGGATTTTATGGCCAGTGAACACCCTAATTACATTGTTTAGTACAATGATAAAAATTATTTTAATGTATTTTTAATTTACCATCTTGTGTAATTGCTAATTAAACAGATACATGTATATGAATAAGTATGTTTCTTTACAATTGTATTTATCATTCATATTTTATCAATATCCTCATTATTTATTCTTATAAAAAGGTGTGTGTTTTTTGACAAAGTATATTATATTTTTTGTTTTTTCCAGTATAGATGATATTGAAGATAATTCTAATTTAAGAAGAGGAATTCCAGGTAATATGTGTTACACAATGTAATTTATATGTGTACATAATTATTTTGTTGTACCTGATAAAAAACATCATTTAAGACAAAGTGAGGTTATACGGCAAAGATAAGAAAATAATCTATGTTTTATATTTGAGCAAAACAAACAGTAGCCATTTCAGATTCTTCGTTTATTCAAATGTATCTTAACATCCTAGTGTTGAAAAAGAAAGGAGTTTTCCAATTTTTATATGAATAACATGATAGTTTTCTGTTGTTTTTGTACTGTCAAGGTCTTAATCTTGTTCACTTGAACCACTATTATTTCATCTCAGACCTTTCTTTATTCAATGGTAATTGGTTATCATAAATATGAATTATTTATAGTGATTAAGAGAAAACAGGTGTTGTGATAATTTTATCATTTATTTCAGTGGCTCACAACATTTATGGTGTAGCACATACAATAAACTCAGCTAACTATGTCTACTTCCTTGGTCTACAAAAAGTTCTGACATTACAACACCCTGATGCTACAAGAGTTTTTACAGGTATGTCACTGACCTTAATCGTGTAAAATATTCTCATACCAGGGCATCCTACATAGGTTGAGAGGGAAATAACTCTACCAATAATCAAGTTTTTTCTCCCAGCATCATTTATAATTTAGCATTAAATTATGTTGTTTTTTTAGCTCGACTTTTCTATGAAAAGGGGAGCTATCCTACTCGCCCCGGCGTCGGCGTTGGCGTCACACCTTGGTTAAGTTTTTCGTACCACCCCACTTTATTTCAGAAGTATTACAAGTATGGCTTTGAAACTTACCATACTTGTTCACCATCATAACCTCCATCTACAGACAAGAGTACATAACTCTGTCAAGGTTTTTGACAGAATTATGGCCCTTTTTTGACTTAGAAAGTGTATTGAGCTTGGTTAAGTTTTTTGTACCACCTCACTTTATTTCAAAACCATTGGAGGTATTGCTTTGAAACTGACCATACTTGTTTACCATCACGACCTTCATCAACAGACAAGAGGACATAACTCTGTCAAGGTTTTTTGACAGAATTATGCCCCTTTTTGACTTAGAAAATACATTGAATATGGGTAAAATCCACTTATTGCCTTAACCCTTTGAGATATTGCTTTGAAACTTTTAATGCTATTTCACATCATTACCCCCATCTGTACGCAAGAGAAGGTAACTCTGTCAAGGATTTGTTTTAAAAATTAAGGCCTTTTATCGACTTAGAATCTTGGTTAAGTTTTTAGTACCAGTCCACTTTTTGACTGAACTGTTTGAGATATTAATTTGAAAGTTGGAATACTTGTTTACAATCATGATTCCCAAACATGTCCAGGAGAAGGTAATTCTGTCAAAGATTTTATTTGAATTTTGGCCCTTAACTGTCAATGTTTTGTATTATAGGCAAGCACTAAAAAACTTAAAAAATCTAAAAAAATTCATTCCTATCCACTTGTTCACTTTACCATAAATTATGTCATATAAACATTGCTGTAATATTCAAGGGTATCAAACAACTAGTTCACTTTAAAAATACAGAGATTCTTGTATTGCCTTTTACTGCAAAAACTTTTTTTATTGGCAAGCAATAAAAAAGTCGAGCGCGCTGTCTTACGGACAGCTCTTGTTTAAATGATTGAAATGCTGTATTTTTTTATATGCAGGAACTTTAACAAACTATTTGGTTGTAATAATTTTTGTTTTGTTTTGGTTTTACATCTCACCAACACTGTTTAGGTGAGTTGGCAACTTTCCAGCTTGACTCTCGGTGCATTATTTCAGGCATCGGCATGAGCAGGCGTCTGATTCAAGCCCACAGTGCCCTGAAGTCCTCAATTTAAATGGCAAAACTCTTTATAACCTATGAGCAAAGAGGAAAGATATACACATATCTACTAGTTTTTATCACCTATCTTATAACAATGTTTGTGCATGAATTAAAAATTTGACCAAAATAGCAATTCTTAGATTGTCAGTTTGATTAACTTCATAGTCTTTTTGAAATGGCCTTTTTTGCCTTAGTTTGAACTTGAATTTATTACTGTAATATTTTTATAAAGATAGTGTAATTTTGTGTGTTACATATATAGAGCAGATACTAGAGTTACATCGTGGGCAGGGTATGGATATATACTGGAGAGATACTGTCAACTGTCCAACAGAGGAAGAATATACAACTATGGTGATTAGAAGTAAGTTTTACATTTGAGCCGCACCATGGCAAAACCAACATAATGGGTTTGCGACCAGCATGGATCCAGAACAGCCTGCGCATCCGCACAGTCTGATCAGGATCCATGCTGTTCGCTTACCAACCCTATTACAAGTATAGAAACTGATAGCGAACAGCATGGATCCTGATCACACTACACGGATGCACAGGCTGGTCTGTATCCATGCTGGTCACAAACACACTACTTGGTTTTGTTGTGATGTGGCTCATTTGTATTTCATAATATGTATACTATGGTAAAGGATAGATGGTCTATCATCATCAGAGATCTTCCCTAAAACTGCTGCTAAGATTTAAGTCATACGTGTATCATCAGTGTGTGGTTCTCATTCAAACTTGTTTATTTCAATGATCATGACTCTGTTTAGCAGTCACCAGGGTTACAAATTCTGGATTCTGACCGTCTACCAAACAAAAACTGAACATATTTCAGCGGTGCTCACAAACAAGACTCAAAAGACAAAAGAAAAAATATTTCTTTGTCTATAATGCAGAGTTTGATGCTTTTCCTATTTTCTAATTTTTTTGCCAGCCTTTGTGAATAACAGCTTACTATTAGATACTATAATTATTACTGATTACTGAAATGTATGGAAAATTCAGCTTTAAGACTTACATTCCACAGACAGACTAAACAATGAAATGCTGGAGCATTCATAATGTGTGAACTTTGCTGATTTAAGCCCACATTGATCACCTGTTTTTTCTTGTGAAAAAAAAAATCTCCTAAAAATGAGTGGGAACAAAATATATTATATAAAAGGCTAAAGTTTTATAGATATATGAATACTTTAAAGTTATTATATTTTATTAGAATATGAAAGAGTTTTAAACATTTAGATTAAATATTTATACACTAATAATGTATAAAATATTGAAAAATGAAAAAAACACACAAAAGAAAAACATCATATTTAATATATTATTTATAGTTTTTCCATTTTCATAGCTTTTTAATAGATCATTAACCAGTCATTTATAACAATACATTAATATTGACAAAACCAGTTAATTTATCATGTATAAAAACGGTATATAGAGCTCTTCAGACATTTCTAGAAAAAGAATTATTTAAAAGCATGAATGGTAAAGGGAGCTGCAGTGTTTAATTAATGACAAAAAAAAATTGTACAAAAAGTAAAATATATTGTAAATTCTGTTTTGTGAAACATAAAAAAGGGCCGTTGGTAACGTCAACATACCTTTTTGTTTGACAAATTTGTTTTTGTGTTTTTAATTGAATTTGTTTTTGTAATAGAACCCTAACCATAATTACTGTATTTAATAATTTATATGCTAAAACATAAACTTTTATAAACTGTGGAAATGCAAACGTACACAGAAATCCAAGGAGTGCTAACTACATGGTTTCAAACCACGTCAGGGGCAAACTTTTGTTTCTGTGAGCAAGAAACAGTACACTCATTGCTTAATACTGGCTAGTTCCAGGAAGGGATTCGAGAGTGTTTCGATAAGCTTATTGCTTCCAACAGAAATTGAAGTAAATTTATATAAACTAATCAAATGCTACATTCAGTTGTTTTAGGTATGATATTATATTTCAGAAACTGGGGGTCTGTTTGGATTGGCTGTTAGACTCATGCAGTTATTCAGTGACAATAAACAGTGAGTAAATAAAATGATAGAATTACAAAATCATTTAATTTAATTTCTGGCTTCTGTGGCATTTAAATGAATTGAATGATAGAATAAGGTTTCAAATATAAGGATAGTTTTATGAAAATATGTATAGTATACATTGTTATGTAAGGTATGACTTGGTTTAATGAAATATCAAATAACTTCAAGCTACATGCCTGCACATGATCCCCTTGTGGCTGAGGGGTTGCCTTTAAGGGTTGAGGCATCAGAATTGCAGCCACTGTTTATCCCTGCCTGATCGTAAGTGCAGACTAATGGGTTCGAATTACTGGAGTCTACACTTCTCTTTGCTCCAGGAGATGAGATGGTTTGGACCCTTTGTGTTGCTTTAAGTATTTAACACCCAATGTTAGCCAAAATCATCTTTCCTGTTTCAGTGCCGTATGACCTAAATTGTGTTGGTGCACCATATTAAATACGAAGTAAAACAAACAAATCTCTAGATGAACCCAAGTATTTCAAGAAACTAAATACTAAGAAATATGTTGTATGATTTTAAGATAAGCAAAAATATTCTCAATTTAAGAAATAATTTAAATGTTTTATGCAATTAATGACAGATTTTGCAGTTTTAACACCATGTTTACCCTTTCCCCCATGAGCATATTGTGAAAAATGGCCATTTTTACTGAAAAGCCTCCTCTTACAAGTTCAAACTGCTATGAAACTATGAAAAATGCTTCAATACTAATCAAACTTGGCACAAATGTTGACTGGACCATTGCCTTTGTGACGACATGCTCAGTCTTAAATTTCCTGTTACCATGGCAACGAGGGGACATCTCAAAATTGCCAAAAATCACTATTTTGCCTCGATTTTTTCCATCAAAATTTATTTCAAAGTGCTGCAACTTCTCAAGGGATTGATATAGAGTCAAAGGCTTTTCAGCGTTGGTTACACGTTATATTATGATCGACCTGGGGTCATTTTTAGCCTCTCACAAGTCCAAAATTTTCTTGGCGATGAGGGGGACTCTGCCCCCCTTCAAACCCCCCTAACACAAGGGGGCACATCCCCCTTCTGGCAACCCCCTGATGTAACTTTTGGATGGGGGGCGGCGCCGAAAAAGTGCTCAATTTTTTTACCAACATTTCTCAAAAGGAAAACATGTGTTTGGGGCCCAAAATAGGACATTTTTTCACTATTTGAGGCCTAAAAAACGGGGGGGGGGGGGGGGGGGGGTCAAAAATGCGTTGTTTCGCGTATATATGTGGTAAAGGGTTAAATGATGTTTTACTGTGAACCTAACAGAGTAAGGGCCGTTTTCGTATATTTTGAACCTTTTTGGTAAATACATGTATGTTGACTGTTTTAATTAGAAAATAACTTCCTGTGTTCACTGGATGATATTGTACTGTTTTAATCATTTTGAATATTAATGAAAATTAGCATGAATCTGAAGGCATGCTGTTTCAATTGAATTGATAAAGATTTTATTGAAAGAAGTACTAACAATATATTTTTGTCTGATATAGAATGTAATAAAAACTTGTCTAATTTCAGTGACTTCAAACCACTATTGGATAATTTAGGACTGTATTTTCAAGTGAGGGATGATTATGCAAATCTTATTTCAAAGGAGGTAAGAAAATATTGTTGTATTAAACTTACATTTTTATGCCACAGCAGCATATGCGGTGGCATATAGCGATTCACCTGTGTGTTTGTTTGTGTGTGTGTGTGTGTGTTATATAGATTATATAGTGAACTTAAAAAATCTTCTTGTGAAAAACCAGTAGTCCAATTTCAACCAAACTTGGCAGGATTGATCCTTGGGTGAAGGGCTTCCAAAGTTGTTCAAAGCATTTCATTCCATGCAGAAATCTGGTTGCCATGGCAACCAAAAGGAATTATAAGAGTAAATTAAAAAAATCTTCTTGTAAAGACCCAAAAGGCCTAGAGCTTAGATATTTTGCATAAGGCATTGTCTGGTAGACCTCTACCAAGATTGTTCAAATTATAGCCCTTGGGTCAAAATCGGCCCCGCCCCAGGGGTCATTGATTTTCACTATACATTGTATGTACATATAGTAAAAACTTAACATACCTTCTTGTAAAGACCCAAAAGGCCTAGAGCTTAGATATTTTGCATAAGGCATTGTCTGGTAGACCTCTTCCCAGATTGTTAAAATTATAGCCCTGGGGTCAAAATCGGCCCCGCCCCGATGGTCATTGGTTTTCCTTATATGTATCTAGTAAACACTTATAGTAAAAACTTTAAAAAAATTTCTTCTAGCAATTGACAAATGCAAGAGGTTAGATATTTTGCATGAAACATTGTGAAGTGAACTTCTAGCAAGATTGTTCAAATTATAGCCCTGGGGTCAAAATTGCCCCCGCCCCGGGGGTCATTGATTTTCAATATATACATATAGTAAAAAATCAAAAAATCTTATTGTCTGAAGGTACAAGGCTTAGAGCTTTGATATTTGTTAAATGATATCATCTATAGGTACTCTACCAAAGTTGTTCAAATTTTGCCTCTAGTGTCAAAATTAGCCCCGCCCCGAGGGCCATAGGTTTTCCTTATATGTATATAGTAAAAACTTAAAAAAATCACTTTCTCTAAATTTTCAATGGCTAGAGTTAAGATATTTTGCATGAAACATTATGTAGTGAACCTCTAGCAAGATTGTACAAATTATAGCCCTGGGGTCAAAATTGGCCCCACCCAGGGGTCATTGATTTTCACTATGTACATATAGTAAAAAATTAAAAAATCTCTTTGTCTGAAGGTACAAGGCTTAGAGCTTTGATATTTGATATATAATATCATCTATGGGTCCTCTACTAAAGTTGTTTTAATTATGCCCCTCGTGTTAAAATTGCCCTGCCCCAGAGGCGATAGTTTTCCTTATATGTATAAAGTAAAAACTTGAAAAAGCTTCTTCTCTGAATTGAAAAATCATCTTCTCTAAATTTTCAAAGGCTAGAGTTAAGATATTTTGCATGAAACATTATGTAGTGAACCTCTAGCAAGATTGTACAAATTATAGCCCTGGGGTCAAAATTGGTTCGCCCCGGGGGTCATTGATTTTCATTATGTACATGTAGTAAAAAAAAAAAAAATATTTTTGTCTGAAGGTACAAGGCATAAAGCTTTGATGTTTGCTATATAATATCATCTATAGGTCCTCTACCAAAGTTGTTCAAATTTTTCCCCTGGTGTCAAAATTGGCCCTGCCCGGGGGCAGTGATTCTCATTATGTACACATAGTAAAAACAAAAAATAAAACAAATGTTTTCTGAATGGGAGAAAGCTACAGCTTAGATATTTGACTTGAAATGTTGTTTGGTGGACCTGTATCAAGATTGTTTTGAATTAAACCCTTGGGTCCAAAATTTTGCCTTGCCCGAGGGGACAGTGACCTACTTTCTTGTCCTTTAATGTACAGCAATGAAATTTTGACCATGTGCACAGATTAAGATGTAAAGTGAACTTTGATTTCAGCTGACCTTGATTTTGACAAACTGTCTTACTGTGTTGTCCTTTGATGTAGTCATGAAATTTAGGCTGTGTGAAATATGACCTTCACCACCAAATTCACTAGACCTGAGTGCAATGATATATTCCTACTCTGATCGTTTATTGAGTTAACAACAGATTTAACCACTAATCTGATAATAAGAATTAGATAGGTCAGGGATCTATGCATTATGACAATCTTCAAAATTGTATAGAAACAAAAAAAATCTGTTCCTACACTACTATTAAGTGTTGTATTCATGCGGTGGCATAGCATTTTTCTCAAATGCAATCTTGTTTTTAATCCAAAAATAAAATTTATTATGTAAGTTTGTTGTCTTTTGTTAATAAAGTAACACAAAATGGTATTTGGTTCTCTCATATCTAAAATGAGCATTTTTGCTGTAATATTATATTTAGTGAAGCCCATTGTGGCTGAGGGGTTGCCTTAAATGGTTGAGATATAAGAATTGCAGCCACCATTTATTCCTGCCTGATCATAAGAGGCAACTAAATGGGTTTGAATAACAGGAGTCTATGCATCTCTTAGCTCCAGCAGGTGAGGTGGTTTTGACCCCTAGTGTTGCTTTGAAGTTTGTAACACCAAAGGTTAGCCAAAATTATGTTTCTTGTTTAGGTGCCATATGACTTATACTGTGTTGATGGGCCAAAACCAAACAAACATGTGAGGAAGTGTCCAGTTAGTGAACCAAAGGTTGATTCTTCTACCCAGTTATGCCTGAAATAAGGCAGTGAAATTAGACATTTTTTTCTTACAGTAAAATGGAAAGTTGCCATGTCTTAGATAGAGTTTTTTCCTCATGTATATAACATTTAACACTGATAGCCTATATTAATTTATATACCTTGTTTTAGCATATAATGTATCATGTAATATCATGTTTACAGTATGAGGCCAATAAAAGTTATTGTGAGGACCTTACAGAAGGGAAATTTTCATTCCCACTAATCCATGGTATATTATGTGACCAGGGAGATAAACAGATAATAAGTATACTACGACGAAGAACAAAAGATAATGATGTGAAAAAATACTGTGTAGATTTACTTCACAAAAAAGGTTCATTTGATTACACCAAGGAAAAATTAATACAGCTAGAACAAAAGTAAGTAAATTTGTAATTCATGAAAGAAAGATGCTGTCTTTATCTTACAGTTATGAATTACCAAATAATCAGATTTGATATTTGCTCAATTTATCTATCTATCTATCTTCCATTAATCAAACTCCTGCTTGTGACCCAGACATTACACATCACTAAGAAAGATAAAAAACAGTTTTTTAAAGACAGATAAAAATTCATAAAAGAAATAAACAGGGCAGATGTGTTTAGGGTAAGACACGTGCGATCTTGCTTACAGTCTTATTGAACATTGGTTGAAACTGGGTGACAACATATGTTAATTGAATATGCTAAGGGGTTAAGCAGTATTGTGTGAATATGATTATAGCATGATTTATAAACTATAAAATACCATTTATTTCTCAGTTATGTTAGCTTAGAGAGACCCTTTTTTGTTAGTCACATATTATTCTACTCGTAAGCAACACATTTTTTGATTTCATTAATTTATTGGTGTGTTCAAAATCGTTAATCGTGTGAAAAGCAACTGCATGATATTTTTGTGCTATTTTTGTGACAGCTATCATAGTCATTAAAATGACATGAATGTTTTATAAGTGAAGTGTAGCATTTTATATAACTATAGTATAAATATTATTACACTAAATGTTTAAAACTTACATAAAAGTTTAAAAAATAAATACTAAAAATATTGAGAGAAATAGAATCTGGGTAATAATAAAACAGGACAAGTAAGTGGAGATTAGCCACATCATCTTTCATGCAGTCCAGTGTGTGTGCTGCTATTTTGTTATAAGAGAGATGTAAATTAACTGGTGTAATATTTGAGCAGTCCTTTTGTTTTTCAATTGTCTTAAAATGATATAATGAAGTTTATCACTGTGATATTTTATAATAACAGTAATAATTAAGTCATGTTACTGTATGATTTAAACACTATGCCTATATATCTATTGCCTGTCAACTAAACGCCACTGTAAGACAATTTATATAGTTAGTAGTTTCTTGCCCTGTTATTATGCTCTAGATAGAAGGCTTGTTAATCTCTTCACTTTTGTTGTTTTAGAATATATGAACAGATAGACGAGTGTGGAGGAAATCAACATTTGAAGGGACTCATTGATGAATTGAAGAAAATCTACAGATCTTGATGTAGAATAAACTTAGAAATGTTAATAATTTAATGATAATTCTCTGAAGGTAGTTATAGGACTATAATTATTTGTTCTGTATTTTGTCAAGAAAGGACAGCAGAAAGGTATTTTATGTTATAAGTGTCAAAAGAAAGTTTCTGTGTTTAAAAATGTTCACCTAAAGCTCAGCAGACCCTGTAGTTATTATTATTGCTTCTGACTAAGCTTCACCATAAGCTACCAACAAAAAACATAAAGTAATAGTTATGATAAAAAGGAAAAGGCAGATTGTTGTCCATTATTGGATAGGAAAATAATTATCAAGTACAATAATTAGTACTGAATGGAATAAACTAACAACAGCATTATTGCAAGCCTGCAGTATGCAACTTTACCAAGTGTCTTAGTTAGGCAACAAGATAATATACAGTTGAAACACTACTTCTTTCACTTTTATTCCTGATTAACATAGAATAGCATACAATAGCATAAAATAGCAAATGTAATGTAAAAAAATTGTAATCTGAAAGTAAAACATTCATTCTCTCTCAGTTAAATATAAAAAAGACAATTTGTATATACATGTACAAGAATTAACAAAAACAATATCATATACCTTTTACAAAGAATTTGTGTGAAGCCTACAGTTAGTTATGTAAACAAAGTCATAGAGGATATTTGTTTAGTTCAGTGTAAGATCGGAATATATTTCACCGAGTGAGCACCAAAAGGTATATTTCACGAGTGGCACAGCCACGAGTGAAATATGAACTTTTGGTGTTCACAAGGTGAAATATATTTCGATCTTACACTAAACTTAACAAATTTTCTTTTTATTATATGCAAAGAAACGTTTTAAAAAGACATTAAATTTAATACTGAATGAAAAGCGCGTCAAATAATAATACAATGTGATGTCATTTATGACGTCACGTCTTAAAGTTGGTTCCCAGTACTGTGCACGCTGGTATTTCACTGAAACAACGTAAGGGGCTTAAATTCAAAACAGTGAAATTATCAAATTGATAATTTCACTGTTTAAAACAGTGAAATTACCATTTTTAGCTCGACTATACGAAGTATATGGAGAGCTGTCCTACTCGCCCCGGCATCGGCGTCCGCGTCCAGATTTCAGATTAAAGTTTTGGTGCAGTAAAATATTGTTCACTATAACTTTGTCATTTCTTAAGGTATCAACTTCAAACTTCAAATGTATGTTCCTTATCATCAACCACATCTTATGTGACAAGGTTCATAACTCTAGCACCAATATTTTCAGATTTATCTCCCCTTGAACTTAGAATTTTCCTTAAAAAATACTATTTTTTACTGTTACTTCTTTATTTCTTAAGGGATCAACCTCATACTTCAAATATATGTACCATATCATCCCCATCTTATATGACAAGGTTAATAACTCTAGCACCAATATTTTCATATTTATCTCCCCTTGAACTTAGAATTTTCCTTAAAAAATACTATTTTTTACTGTTTCTTCTTTATTTCTTAAGGGATCAACCTCATACTTCAAATATATGTACCTTATCATCATCCCCATCTTATGTGACAAGGTTCATAACTTTAGCACCAATATTTTCAGATTTATCTCCCCTTGAATATTATTTTTTACTGTAACTTATTTATTTCTAAAGGGATCAACTACATACTTCAAATAAATGTACCTTATCATCATCCACATCTTATGTGACAAGGTTCATAACTCCAGCACCAATATTGCAAGAATTATCTCCCCATCAACTTAGATTTTTTTACTAGAAAAATGTTATTTTTTACTATAACTTTTTTAGTTTTAAAGGTATCTACCTCAAACTTCAAATACTTATTCCTTATAATCAATTATATTTTATGTGACAATGTTCATAACTCTTGAAGTAATTTTTACAGATTTATTTCTCTTTGAACTTAGGATTTTCTTTAAGAAATATTATAACTTTGTTACTTTTTAAGGTATCTACTTCAAACTTCAAATATATACATGTACTTCTTATCATTACATACATGTTGTGTGACAAGGTTCATAACTCTAGCGTGACTATTTCTAGAATTATTTCCCTTGATCTTGGAATTTATTTTAACAAATGTTATTTTTTTACTATAACTTAATACATAATTATACATAATTGATTTTTCTTTCATAGTTTTGTCCTCCTTACTGCGTCCAGTATTTTATTAGTCGAGCTTGGCTGTCTCCTGTGACAGCTCTTGTTATTTCACTGATATATTTCTATAAACCACCGAAAAGCATGTAATAAATTACTTTAATTAACTGAAAAATAAATATGCATTTACTTTAACATTAAATAATGAAATTGAACAAAAACCATTCCTCTGAATAAAAAGAAATTAACTGATCAGTGCTATATGTATCTGTGCTTAAAAGGTAGTGAAATCAACTCTGCACTGGCATGGCAGCAAATTTCACATCTGCAGAGGATTGTTATTTTTAGTGTCAAAATGCTAAAAGCAGTCTCTATCAGTTTTGTGACACTCATCTTTTTATATTTTGGTATTGAGAGTGTTGTTTTAAATACTGTTATGTTTTCAGGGACCAACACTTGCATGCTTTTGCCATTGTTATTTTCTCTTACCATTTATTTATTGTTTTTGTACATGTATTATATAAACATTATTGATAAAAATCTTGTAAAATGTCTTTGTTCATGTTATATGCTGAAGTTTTGAAAGTACATGGCATTGAGAATCTTTGAATAATGTGTTCATATATATTATGTGTCATAATCTTAATATTTATTATTTCTTATCTTTGAATTGCACTTCCATTGGCTATTTAGATATTTTTAACAATTTGGAGAATAGGGAGAGCTATTGTACTCATCTTTGTGCCATTTCACATGTGTAAAGTTTTTCCGTGCAAGTTGGTATCTACAAAGCTACTGAAGGGAATGGGTTGGAACTTTACACACTTGTTTGAGGGCATAATAGGACGCCACTGTTCAATACTCATAATATGGATTTTGACAGAATTATGGACCATTTTGAAATTATTATTACCATACCATTATGTCAGTAAATATTTCTGTTTGTTATATTGTTTACCTAAAGATACTAGACCAAGAATGATAAAATTATCAAGAATATTTAGCTTTGGAGAAAAAAATTGCATGAAATTTTCATGATACAATTATGGTAGCCTTTATTTATTCATGATTGGACATTTAATCCTGGAGTAATTATTAATATACATGTATACATTTATCACATATTCCGCAGCTCTGGAGTGTAATAAAGCTGTTAAATAAAAATGATATTATACTTTGACGTGACATCATTTGTGTTAGATATAAACCTTGCGTTAAAGCACGCTAATATTAGCATTACACTACAGGCGTGTCAATAAAAAAATGACTCTTTTTCACAATTAACCATCCTTATTTAATATATGTGATGAAAAGAATATTAAATTCGTGTAGATTCAATACTAAATTTTTTGAATTTGTAGAATTAAAGAATATTATGCTTGCCAGAGTCTTGCATAATATGATTTTATTCAATATTTATTTCATCTACACTCATTTAATATCCTCTATGTAATGCTTTTATCTACTCATCAATTCTCATATTTTGATACTTTTATTTATGCACCATTGATATCACTTATTTATACAACAGTGCAATCTTATTATACAAAATAAATATATATGTGTCAAAATATTACTTGTTGATGATATATTTATTTATTTTTGACACTTCATTATTTGATGTGCTATAATTTTTTGATATAGAAATATTCTCTTTCTCATTTATTGTCGCTTAGACAGATACTCATTTATTGTCAACTTATAAAGCTTAGACAGATACAAGGGCCTGATTTCACCAAAGATTTTTAAAGCAAAAATTCAAAATTCTTGAAAAGAAATATACTCTGAATTTACTTGAAAATTGACTTATTTTATGATTCTTAGCCCAATTTTAGATTTTGATCATTTTGCACTAAATGAAATTAATAATTATGCTGGAAAATTGAGATAGTAAATAATAGGAAAAAGTATGGCATCCAGACTTACATTGATGGTACACAAATCTCAGATAGAATTTGAACCTAAAATTCTTAATAATGTTCTTTCTTTGATAAAGTAAACATTTAAATAAGTCTGTGCAAAAATGTATATTATGTAATTTCATTTTTTATACATAAAAAACATTTACTGACATAATTTCCATATTACACTTTTTTTGCAAATGAAATTTACTACACTTGTGAAATCTTAAAAAGTGATGTTTTTTGGGGTTTTTTTTAAAAACCTATATTAACACACTGCTAAGTTTTGTTGCCAAGTTTTGCAATATTTTTTAGCTCACCTGTGTACAAAGTGAGCCTTTGTGATGCAAGTTTCCTTAAATCATTTGTTTTCTAATCGGTATACAATATCATCTCCTTAAGCACAATGCAAACTACACCGGAATGGTCTACTGCAGTATAGCTTAGATTTGTGGCTTATAAAAGTTATATTGATTATGCCCCTTGGGTCAAAATTGATCCTACTCCATTATAGGTTTATGCTTTTGTTGCAGATTAAAGAAAGTTATGTTTCCTTACCAAGCATTCAAATAACTGACACTTTTCTTAGACAAGTAGTGCAGTACATATGAACATTATTGTAAAAAAAGTAATGTAATGCAAAGATTTTTAAACTAATTTGTCCTTGAATATTTCCTATAAATGTAAAGCAATTTCAACCATGCTCTATTAACCCTTTCCCCCATTAGCATATTGTGAAAAATGGCCATTTCCAGTGAAAAGCCTCCTCTTACAAGTTCAAACTGCTATGAAACTATGAAAAATGCTTCAATACTAATCAAACTTGGCACAAATGTTGACTGGACCATTGCCTTTGTAACGACATGCTCAGTCTTAAATTTCCTGTTACCATGGCAACGAGGGGACATCTCAAAATTGCCAAAAATCACTATTTTGCCTCGATTTTTTCCATCAAAATTTATTTCAAAGTGCTGCAACTTCACAAGGGATTGAGATAGAGTCAAAGGCTTTTCAGCGTTGGTTGCACGTTACCTTATGATCAACCTGGGGTCATTTTAAGCCTCTCACAAGTCCAAAATTTTCTTGGCGATGAGGGGGACTCCGCCCCCCTTCAAACCCCCCCAAGAAAAAGGGGGGGGGTCGAAAGTGCGTTGTTTCGCGTATATATGTGTTAAAGGGTTAACATGGCAGTTTAATTGTTATACCCTTAGGTCTATAGGTTGGGAGGACACATTGTTTTTTGTCTGTCAGTTGTTAAATTGATGTTCAAAATATCATTAAACTCATCTCCTCAGCAACTGTGATTTTGAGCAAACCAAATTGAAATGATCCTTTGGTGGCCATCTACAATACTTCTATAAATGATGCCAGTTCATTGCATTAGTAGGTCACAAAAGTTAAAAAAACAAAACAATTTTATAAATGAAGTCTGTGAGAAACTTTCTTCTCAGAAACGAAAATGCCCCATGCATAGATATTTGGCATGAAGCAGCACCTTATTGTCCTGTACAAAAATTATAAAAATCA